TGCCAGGGTGGCACTGCTGGAGATCCGCATGTCTTCGCGGATGGCTGCTGCCGGTGTGCCGCCCAACCAACCGTGAGCCCTGCAACAACCCTGTCACCCCTCCTCCCCCCCTGCCCCCCCCTCCCACCCGCAGCAGCCCCTCCACGTAGCGCTCATCCAGGGGGGAGCCGCCTGCAGGGGGGGGGTGGCAAGAGGGGGGCGGCAAGAGGGGTTCACGTGATCAGGTGGGGAGGCAGGCAGTGCCGTATATGCGGGGCTGCCGTACGGAGGGCCGCGACAGGAGGAAGCACGGATGCTATAACCGGGCGTTCAACCAGGCATGCGTGTGTCGGTGGCTGACACCCACCCATGCACGCACCCATAACCCCCTCACCCCTCACACCCCTCAAAACACACACACACACACACCTCACCACCCACCACCCACCCGTCACGTCCGCCGCATCCACCCAGCTGCCGTCATCCCGCACCACCCGCCCCTGCTGCCCCGCCGCCTGCCCCTCCGCCTGCTGCTGTGTGTGCCGGGCGGCCAGGCGCTCCACCACTCCGCGGGCGGTGGCGGCAGCACCCGTCTCGCCGGTGCCGGGGTTGGGGTGGGAGTCGACTGGCGGGGGCAGGAGCAGGGCGCGGGAGGGGGGAGCAGGAGGGAGGGAGAGATGTGATAAATGTAGGACTAAGCGAGCGTAGTGGTTTCCCTGTCAACTTGCATGTGTTGACAGGATAGGAGTAGATGATAACCAGGCAATCAGTTGCCGACCCATGGGTCACAGATGGCTGGCAAGGAAACATTTGTCGCATCTCGCAGCTGCTGCCGATGCGACAATGGGCACGACGAGAGCAAGGGATCAACAACATGCATAACCGTCGCGAACGAAAGCAGGAAAGGCAGCGCCGAAAGCAGCCAAGTCACACGCAACACAATGAGCGCCGTTACAACAAACAAATAAGAGTGAACCTATTTAACCAACCCTTGCCACGAAAAAGATACAAGGCTCAAGACACAAGAGAGCCCAACCTCAAACCCCCGCCCGCCCGACCCACGGGTCTTCTCCGCCAGGTCGTCCACCCGCTCCGCCACGCTGCGCCTCAGTGCGCCCAGCGAGGCGCGCAGCTGCCGCCGCCCCTCCGCGAACAGCACGTATCGGTACCAGAACCAGCAGCTGTAGCCCAGACCCACGGCCTGGGGGCGGGGAGAGAGGAGGCGAAGGGGGGGGAGGGCTCGTTAATGCTGATCACGGGAGTAGCAGCAGCTGTGTATATATAATGGTATGAAGTGGAGCTCATCATAAGCCGCGAAGCTCGATTCCCCCGCCCACTATAAAACACAACATATGCAAGTCCTTCTTACGATTTGTATTTTTTACACCTCTGCTTCACCACAGCATGCCACTGACACCGACCCATGGGTCGGTCCCCCACCTCCCTCACACCAGCTTCCCCCCTCCACCACCTTTCCCTCCTCCACCCCCTTACCTGGAACACTCGTGGCAGCAGCGGCACCCTGTCCACCGCCGCCACCACACTGCTCCCCAGGTAGGCGGCCGCGGCGGCTGCAGCGCCGCCCACTAGCAGGCTGCGCTTGTCCTGGGAGGGTGGGGGAGGAGGAGGATGGTCGGATGATCGGATGAATGAGGGCAGCAGTAGTACTGAAGATGTGCAATGCGTGTAACATGAGGCCAAGCAACGCGTTTCGCGGCTAGTTGAGGGCTAGAGAACGAAGCTCTTCGTGCCAACAAAGCCAGGCGAAAAGGCCAAGCCGAGTGGCAGGGCCAAAACGTTCGCCCCTTGCAAAAAATGCGCCATTCCCAACCACTCTTTACCATTTATAGCTAGTCGCCGGCTAAAGCATAAACGTGGCAAAGCAAAGCGACCTGTCTGAATGTTGACCTGTCGAACCTGTCTGTATGTCAAAGGAAATTACCGCGACGTTCAATGACTCACCGGCACGGCCGCCCACCAGTTCTGGGTGCGCTCGAACGCCTCCATCGCGGCCCGCTGCACGTCCCGCAGCCGCTCCTCGCGTTGCATCTGATCTAGCGCCGACTCCTCGTCATGCCCCACAACCTCGGCAATCGGAGGAGAAGCGTTGTCGTAGCGTGGCTTGGCCGGCTTGCTTCCATTGTTGGTGGTAGTGGTGGTGGAATTGGTGTCGGAATCATCCCAACGAAAGCAAACAATGGGAGAGGTGCGGCGGAGGTTGCTGTGAAGGCGGTTGCGGTTGCTGCTGCTGTTGCGGGGAGCGGCATTGCGAGGAACGAAGCAGATCTGGCTGCTGCCGGAAGCGGCAGAGGCAGCAGCCAGGCCGTGATGACGAGAGGAGGAGGAGGAGGCAGATGCCCGCGCGGAAAGGCGCGACAGGGCGGTCACGGTATTCAGCATGGCCACCATTGTTGGTTGTCGAAGGAGAGAAAGGAGAAAAAAGCGGAGAAGGCGGCGGGAGGATAAGCGCGCTTGGAAGCTCGCACTGCTAATGTGCAAACGCTAGATCGAGGCAAGCTAGATATGCCGAAATATTCGAGACGAAGATTGTTGAGTTATAGCGTGGAATGCAATGTGCACTGTATCAGTCGATGTATGACAGAGAGATGCTTTATGTTTTGGCTGAAAAGATTACGGTAATGTGCTGTTAGCGCGATACTGTTGATGTATGGGCGCATAAAGCGCGCCAAAGAATCGTCCAGCAGAAGCCCCTCGTCGACTCATCGCATGCCGTACCTCGGCCCGCCCAGCGTCTCTCTTTTAATTCCGGAAAGTCCCTCTCGAGAGGCCTTTCACGAGAGGCAACGCTCGCGACCTCCTGAGGCAACTACGGTTGCAATTCCTTCATGTAATGATAACACAACCCTAGGGCACGAAAGAAGGAGCTAGCAGATGCAGTGCATTAGCTGAAGCGCATTGCATATGGGATAGCATCATCTCGTTTGCTGTTTACAGCATAACGCGCTCGGGCGCAGGAAATGCGATCATCTTACCAATAATATGGTCGCTTGTGCAAATAACGACCCACGGGTCATTACTTAGGCGGAGGAGGTGTTCACCTGCCCTTGCCGCATTGCAGGCGGCACGGATTGCCATGCTTCTATATTCATGTTTTACAGACAGATTTCGCTGCTAGAGACCGTGCAAATGGTGTCGCTGCGGTCCAGCTAGTCCAGTTACTGGTAAGTCATAGGCGGGAAGCCTGGCGTGAGAAATCCGGAAGCAAGCGCGCAGCTTCTTACAAGCGAGCCAAGAGGGAAAGAGGCCGCCCCCACAGACAAACAGACACAAACAAGGGAAGCCACGCAACAACGGGGGGTCCTGCAGGGCAGGCAGATCAGATCATACACAGTCCAGGCTGCTGATAAGGAAGCAAGGCGGGCACCGGTAATCCGTCATTGCAATCGTCCCACCGCCGCCGCCACCGCCACCATACACACGTGCACAAGCCACCAACCTTTCGACCTTCTGCCGCACTTTACCCCCCCCCCCCGCTCTCCCCCTTCCCAACAAACAACCTCCATCTTGCAGCACCCGCTCACAGCCTCACACCCGGGCTCTTGCTCCGCTGCTGTTGGTGTTGCCTTCCCCGTGTGGCCCTCCGTGCCTCCTCCCCACACAGCACAGCACAAATATTGCCGGCCGTGCAGCAAATGAAACCCATGAGCCCTAAACGCTTAGCGCACAGAAACGGCAGAATCCCTATATACAATTCCGCTGCTTGCTTTGACCTCCGGTAGGCAATCCAGCAACACCGGTAGTGTGATGGGCGTCGTCTTACCTGGCACACAGCATGTAGAACAACATTCGTACGACATAAAGACACACAGGATACAAGTGTACGACCGACAGGCCTGACAGGTTACAGCAGTACGGCAACATCCGCGTCATGTCTAGTGTACGGCGGTACGAAGATAACAACAATTACAACAAGAGATGCGGTAGATACAAAAGAGAAACCAACCGTGAGCTGTAAGAGCTCACGGAGCACGGGAGAGGAATGTCGGGTCAATAGTACGACAGCAGCGACTCGTACTGATACCGTAGTAACTAGTGACACACAATCTTCTTCGGGGGTGGGGCAGTTTGGGCGTTTCGTGTGCGCGCGCGTAGATCAACATGTTGCCGCATAAGAAGGAAAACCAAAAAGGCCTTCACAACAAACCAGACTAACCACAATGAACTAACCCACGTAAGTACCGATACTGTCCAGACGTGCAAACGGCGTCACTCGCTACTTCAAAGGTCGTAGCTAGGTGGCAGCATGGCCGCGGTAGCGGTGTGTGCAACCCTGCTCCCCCCTCAGAGCTGTGGTCAGCAGGCCCCTTACGCGGCGGCCCAGTTGAGGAGGCCAACAAACAAGGCGCGTGAACGCGCAAACACACATGCCATACTCTGCGTATGTGGCTGATGAACGCACCACCCGTAAGACACATGCGCGTTGCTTGCGCCTGTTTCAGCGCACCTCAGCCGTGACTGCAACAGCAGTAAACAGCACAGTGGAGTCTTGGGAACCAGTGTTCACATCCATTCAATCATTCATTCCTTTATCCAGCCAACAGCAACAGCAGCACAGCACAGCACAGTCAGCGTCGGTGTTGCAGAGCCGCCGAGACAGCAGCAGGCAGAGGCGGGCGGGGTTTCGAGAGCTCGTGGAGCCCTCCAGGCTGACGACACACTGCAACGGACAGCGCATTCGGCACCCTCCCCCGCCGGCCTCCTCCCCAGCAGTCCCCACATGTATGACTAGCAGGCACGCCCTGGCACTCGCGCGCTCCTCCCCCGTGCCGTTACTGCCACCGCCCCTCAGTTCCTTCCTCTCTACCCTCCCCCCTTGGGACTCGTTGTTTCACTTATTTAATCCCCCCCCCTCCCGCCGTTACTGCCACCTCCCGCCGCTACCTGCCCCACCTGTCATCCAGCAGCACCGCCACATCGCGCAACGTCAGGTGCTCGCTCCCATCCCCCCCACCCCCACCCCCGCCGCCACCCCCCGCATGGTGCCCCCCGTGCCCGCTCCCCCTGCCGGATGCGCGGACGGCAGCCCGGGAGAGGTCCATGCCGCGAGCTCGAGCCGAGGCCAGCTTGAACACCTGGAGGTGCCGTAGGGGTGGGTGATGTGGGGGGGTTACATTCTTAACGGGCTGGGCTAGTGTTTAGGAGCAAGGTAGCGATGACGCTGTCTATGCCTTGCTTCCCCCACCGACCCTGCGCCACCCAAGCCTTGTCATACACGGTTAGTTTATTCCCCTTTCCCCTCCCCTCCCCCCCCTACTACCGAATCCCTCCCTCCCTCCCCTCGGCTACCATGTTTGCCCCCCTTGATAATGCCTCGTCATGCAGCTCATCAGCTTCTTCCTTCCCATCGCCCCCCTCCCATTCCCCCCACAGCTCCAATACAGCTTGTACCGTGACTGCTGCTACTAACCCAACTAGTAAGACTGTGCGCCATCCTAAAATCCAGCCAAATGCGGAATTCCGGTGTGTATCCCTGTTACTACCCCTCCCCCCGCGGCTCAGTTTATCTTATCCCCCTCCACCTCCTCCCCCCCCTCCACCTCCCCCCTCAACCTCCTCCCCCTCCCCCCTCCCCCCTCCTCCCCACCTGCTCCTCCACGCTGTGCCCCACCACGAAGCGGTGCACGTGTGTCCCACGGGTCTGTCCGATGCGGTGCACCCGCCCCACCGCCTGCGCCTCCACGCCGGGGTCCAGCTGCGGCTCCAGCAGCACCACATGGGTGGCCTCCGTCAGGTTGAGACCCGCACCGCCCTGCTTGAACTGCAGGGGGGGGGTGCATGGGGGGGAGGGGGTATGGCGGCGGCAGGGGGAAGGAGGAGAGGTGTTAGGTGGCAGGGGCGTTACGGGCAGCAAGGCAGGGGAGGATTGGAGACTTCAGGAGTGTTTCAGGACTGTTGAGGCAGCACCGCCGAGGCAGCGGGAAGCACCTCACCCCGCCACCACCACCACAACCACAACCTCCTCCTCCCACCTGCAGCATCAGCACTCGCGGCTTGCCGCCTCCAACCTGCGGCCGCTGCCGGGCTGCTGCTGCTGCTGATGTCGGACTCCCCAGGCTGCTCCTGCCGCGGAGCAGCGCTGACCCGCGGGTCACTGCCGCTGCTGCTGCCGGCGGACCCAAACCCGCCACATTCGACACATTACTCGTTGCAGATCCATCGCCCGTTGCAGCTGCAGCAGTCCCTGTCCCGCCGCCCCTGCCTGCTTCATATGTCTCGGCAGCAGCAGCAGCAGCCTGCTTCCCTCCCTCGCCATGAACGCTCTTCCCAGACTGCCTGTCCTCCCCTGCTTGTCCATGCGCCCCCTCTTCGTCCTTGTCCTCCACCTCCTCCTCGTCATCTTCTTCCTCCCCGAGACTCTCCATGCCTTCTGCCTGGGTAGTTACAAAAGGCGGTTAGTAGTGCGATTAGTGTGCAGCTGGTTGGTGGGTTAGTTGGTTGCAAACAGAGCGCCCGTGCGGACGGTTGAAACTATTGAGTAACAGGAAACGGTTATGTGGCCGCTACTGGTATACTCCCCCCATTCCCCCTATCCATACTGCTTTGCCGTAACCTGTGGCGTACTACAGTCTGATATGTTTGAGCCCCCCTCCTGCTCCCCTCCTGCTACTCCCCTACCTCATCCCCCGGGTGGTCTTTGAAAGCCGCCAGGGCCGCCGCCATGCCGCCACGTCCCTTGCCGTACACATACGGCACCGCATTCACTCGCAGCGCCGCCCCAACCAACTCTAACAGCTCGGACCAACCGCTGAACACCAGCATCTGTTAGTTAGTCGGTTGGTGCGACAGTTGGTTAATATAATACCGTTGTGCGGCAAATGTGGAACCACATATCTACTCTTGGAATGCATACTACGTTACTATCATACAACATAGCCGCAGCTGGAAGGAAACTGGCGCAGTGTACGGCAGTGCGAAAGAACAATTGTACGGCAAAACACAGAGGCAGCCGCACCGACATCAAGTCATCACCTACCTTGGCTGTCGGATCTCCCGCCAATACGAACTTGATCCGCCGTACCACCGCCTCAATCTTGGTTCCGAAACTGCCTCGTACAGCCACAGCCGCCTCACCCGCCCAGGGGCTGGTGGCGGCGGTGGTGCCGTCACCGCCGCCACCCCCCCGGGTAGACAGCTCCTCCTCCTGCTGCTGTTCCTGCTGCTGCTGTTGTTGGTCGTGGCGGTTGGAGGCGCCGGAATCGATGTAAGCAATGTCGGCCACATGGACCCTGCAGCAGGAGGGGTGTCAAGGGGGGGGAGTGGGGAGTGGGAGAGGAAATGTAGGAGACAGAATAGAGGGTTGGAAAGTGGGCGTAGGGGCCGCGCAAGTACTGGGAAGGCGCGCATAGGACAGGGGAGTAACGCGTCGTGAAGTGCGAGTAAGGCTGTAAACCCTAAACCCCACTCGACACCTCCTCCTCTCCAGCACCCTCCCCCTCCCCCCAACACCTCCAGTGTAACTCACCGCGTCCTGCAGGTGGGGCAGTTGATGCGGCGGTGCGAGTAGGGTGTCCCATGGGTCACTGACCGCGCCACCAGCGCCTCGCAGCAATCGGAGTGCAGCTGGTGGCCGCACGGCAGGATGACACCACCCCCACCTCCATTAGTGCAACCACCACTACCTCCTCCACCCGCACTTCCCCCGCCTGCTGCTGCTGCTGCTGCCGCCTGAGGTGTGGAGGCACTGTCGCCCCCACCCAGGCTGATGACATCGTGGCAGATGGGACACACCTCCGCAGCCTCGAGATCCGGGTCGGGCGGGTTGGAGGGCGCGGGGGAAGGCTGGCGGTGGGGGTGCGGGGGGACGGCGGGGTGGGGAGGCAGGTGGGGGTGGGAGGCGGGAGGAGGAGCGGCGGAGGAGCGGGGCTCGGAGCCAATTCCCGTGGGTGGGCTGCTGGCAGTGGTGGCGGCGGTGGCGCCAGTGGTGGTGGTGATGGCACAGGTGTCAGAGGGAAGGGCGTTTGATGGGAGTTGTTGCTGCCCCTGCTGCTGCTGCTGCCCCTGCTGCTGCTGCTGCCCCTGCTGCTGCTGTTGGCGGTTTTGAATGGCCTGCAGCTTCCGCAGGTACCTGCGAGCAGGGGTGCCGGGTGGTAGCATTGGTAGTAGTAACGGTAGTAACACGCACGGTGGTGAGAGGGAGGTTGGCGAGCGGGGCGGGCATGCCATGCAGTGCACGGTGAGATGGGCAGACGGGTTGGGAGCTGCTCTGCTAGCTCGCGATGCTAGCCCGACGCAACCCTCGCTCCGGCAGCCCCCCCGCTCCCACCCACCCACCCCGCACCTCAGCGTCCCCAGCTTCCTGCCCAGCTCCCCCTCCGCCACCGCCCGCTCGGTGGACAGCTCCACGTTCTTGTGTGGCAGGGCGGCGGGGTGGAGCTTCAGGTTGGTCTCGTGGGGGGCGATGGGCTCGCCTGGAGGGGGAGGTAGGTGGGGCAGGGGGGGGAGAGCAGGGGGGGAGGCAGGGGGCCGGGTTGGGATGCGTAGCTTAAGAGGTGGGGTTTCGGCGGTAGGTTGGCCTGAAGGGATCCATGTGGAACGGGGCAGCCTTTGAGACGGGGAGCGGCGGCAGCTTGGAAAACCAGAAGTGTCGGAGAAAAGGGGAGACGTGGGGACGCACGGCGCCGGTGCCCTCTCCCACCCCCACCCCCTGCCACCCCCCTCACCCTCCCTGGCCAGCCGCATGCGCCCCTGCGCCATGGCCAGCTCGTCATGCGCGTACAGCAGCGCCCGCTGAGCCAGCGACAGCGAGCGGGCGGCCACCAGCAGCCGCCGCTGGGCCGCCAGCCGCTCCACGTGGGCCTTACAGGAGGGGGGGGCGGGGGGGCGGGGGGGTAAGGAGAGGGGTAAGGGAGGGTAATGAGATGCATCAAAACCACAGGTTAGGGCGTACCAATGGGAATATCGCAAGAGGAAAGCAGTTTGGGGTGACAGGGGGGGCGGGTAAGGAAGGGAGGGCAGGGGGAGGAGGAAGGAGGGATGTGGTGTGGATGGGGAGTCTGGGGATGGGCATTGCTAAGCGAGCCAAGGTGCATGCATGCAAGTGGGCTGCAAGTGCCTAGCGCCCCCCTCCTGCAAGTGCCTAACCCTACCGTGTGTCTAGAATATCCGTTAGCCGCTAACCGCGCAGCTACACGGGTGTATGCCCCCCCAGGCATCCTACCCCCATTGCTTTGCCCTAACCTGTGGTCTCCTATGGTTGGTATGGTCTTTGACCTCCCTCAGGCATCCAGGCATGTGCTAACCGTCTCACGGCCTCAGTCCTCACCTTGCCCTCCCTGACCAGCTCCTCAACCCGTGGGTCGGCCGCGTGCCTCAAGTGCTGCCGCAGCTGCCCCAGCAGCAGCCGCAGCACCATCTCCGCCTCGCTCTGGCGCCAGGAGGTGTTGGCGGTGGCGACGTTGGCACCCCGCCGGCCGTCTGGATGTGTGTGTGGGGGGGGGGGGAGGTGGAGGGTGAGGGTGAGGAGGTGGGGATGGGGGCGGGGCTATACGGTACAACCTAGCACCCGTACTTTGCCCCATACTTCCCAAGCTATCCTCCCAAACCCATCCCTTCCATCCTTTCGTAACCTGCATTGCAATCCGCTCCCTCCTCCTCCACCCTCCTCTCCTCCCGCCCCCACCCCACCCCCTTACCTTCGTCCTCCGCTCCTTCTCCCCCCTCCGCGCCTCCTCCCTCCTCCTCCGCGCCTCCCTCCTCGTGCAGGCCCCCCCGCCCCGCCCACCGCACCAGCGCCGCCGCCGCCCGCCTGGCCGCCTCCTCCGCACTCACCCGCCCCCCCGCCGCCAGCGCGCGGGAGTAGAGCGCAAACACACGCACCTGGGGGCCACAAGCAAAACACACACCGAAACACCAGGTTAGGGGGTGCACAGTCGAGTTGCACAATGGGGGCTAACGTGTGGCGGATCCATTCCGTTCCGTACAGGTGACAAAGGGAAACGTGCAGGACGTGCCACTGAGACCGCAGCCCTCGATACTAAGAAACACGCTGCTCCAGCGCTGCCGTGTCGTCTCCTGTGTTTTACACCTCCCTCTCCCCTCTCGCGTTCCCTCACGCCCCCCCTCGTTGTAGTTGGTTTTCCTCAACCCCTCCCACCCCCCTCCCCCTCACCCACCTCCCATCCGATCAGCTTCTCGTCCAGTCGGCAGTGCGCGCACACCAGCGCGCGGGAGGGGCCGCTGCGACACCGCCCGCACTGTCCCGCCTGGGTGGGCAGGAGGGGGGGAGGGGGGGAGGAAAGGAGGGGGAGGAAGAGGAGGAGGAGAGGAGGAGAAGAGGTGGGGGAGGTGGGTTTGGGGGTTGGAAGAGGTGGGAAGAGTGTATGTAGGCTGCACGTGTGGAGACCGGGGGCAATCGAGAGCGCACGAGGGGTAGGAATCCCATCACTCCCCACATCCCGCGACCGATCACCTATCTAGCCCCTCCTTCTCAAACCCCAAAACCCCAAACCCTCCCCCCCACCCTTCCCCCCCTACCAGCTCCACCAGCTCCCCCGGCGGCCCCTCCCCCCCGCCGCCCCCGCACGCCGCCCCCAGCTCCTCCAGCTGCCGTACCGCCTCCCCCCGGTGCACCTCGATGGAGTCAAGAGCCTCGTTGAGGAGGAGCTGGGGGGGGGGAGGAGAGGGAGGTGGGGGGGAGGCGAGAGGAGAGCTAAGGGCGAGCGGTGGCGAGCAAAGGACCTGGGGTAACTGTACTGCGAAGTGAGCCGCGAGTCTCTCGACGCATGCAGAAGAAATACATGTACGTCATTATGCTGCCGTACGACACCCTAGTAGTACTACTACCACCCTTGTTGTCGTACCTTGAGCCCCAGTAGGGATGTGAACTGGTGGGCCATGCTGCTCGCGTTGACCTCCGTCTGACAGGAGGGGGGAAGGGAAGGGGGAAAATTATATAAGAAATGCAAACAACTAAGTCCCAATCCCATATCCCGACTCATGCAGTGAGCGCATTCGGGGGGGCGGACACACAGGATTGGGACCCCGTACCATGCGTCCAACCAATCGTACATCTACACTTCATCTTCCGACATCCCAGTACGTTCCTACTCGCGGCCAGTTTTCTTAACACACAGTCGTACAGAAAGTAGTTGGGATCAGGTGGGGTCACAACACGGTATACAGGTCAATGGCTGCTAAGCTCACAGCAGCAGCAGCCGTCTCCCTCCCTCCTCCACCCATCCCCACTGCTTTGCCCTTACTTGCCTACGCTGTGAGCCATCTTTGACCCCCCCCCTCCTCCCACCTTTTGTCGATAGGTGTCGCCCTCCATCAGCTTCCCCCGGATGTGCTGCTCCGCCGCCCCGCCCGCCCCCGCGGCATGCAGCAGGTCGATAGCGGCCAGGTACCTGCGGGAGAGGGGGAGGGGGGGAGAAGAATCCCAAGGTGTTGAATGATGATAGCAAGCAAGCTGACGAGCTCCTGGTGACCTGAACCGAGTCAAGAAGGTGGCGAGGGGCTGCAATCACATCACGGGGGAGAGGGGAGCAGGAGAGGGGCTTGCAGGGGTGAGGGCGGAAGAGGTTGAGGGCGGGAGAGAGCTAAGGTGCATGCCGGAGGACAGGGTTACAGTATCGCCGCAGAGGTGCTGGTCCCCACAAGTGCTCTTCCGATCCTCGCAATCCGCGCCACACACGTGCCCCCCCCACCCCCCACCCCGTACGGTAGTTGTTTCCTCCTTACCCCTCCACCCCCCCACCTCCACCTCCCATCCCACCCCCTCCACGTTGCATGTATTACAGAAGCAGCTACCACCACCACCCTCCCCCTCCGCCGGTCCCTCCCTTCCGCCGGCCCCCCCTCTCACCAGCCCGCAGCCCCGTGGAAGGGCGAGGCGGCGGCAACCTGCTCCCGATAGGTGAGCTGGGGGAGGGAGGGAGGGAAGGGGGGGAGGGGGGGGGGCACAATTCATGGGGGGTTGAAAGGGGGGGCGGCCATGAAAGGGAACTGCGCCACCCCCTCCTTCATATCCTACAGTATTGCCCGCTCAGCCACATGCACGCACAAGCCCCTTCCCCTACTCCCTGCCCCTTCACCCCTCCCCTACTCCCGCCCACCTCCTCCGCCCTCATCTTGCTCCTCCTCTGCTCCAGGTAGCGGTCCCGGATGGCGCCCGCAGCGGCCTCCAGACCCGCGTCGCGCAGGGTGCGGGGGAGGGAGGGAGGGGCGGTGGGGGCGGTGGGGTCTCCCACCGCCCCTCCTGCTGCTGCCCCCGCCTGCAGCAGCTGGGAGAGGTTGTGCAGTGTGTGCAGGCGCTGGAGCGGGTCCTGGGGTGGGGAGGGAGGGGGCCGGGGGGCGGGAGGAGAGGCTCGAGGTGAGGGGAATGCAGGTAGGGGAGGAGGAGCAGGTTGACTGGTACGGATAGTTTGCAGCGGGTATTCAGAGGATCACAGCAGCAGTGACAGGAAGAGGCCTTGACAGAGGCGGCTTGCTTGCGTGCGTGCGTGCGTGCGTGCGGTGATGGACCTACCCCTTACCAGAACACCGCCCCCAAGGCCTGCTCCTCTCCTCTCTGCCCCCTCCCCCGTGCTAAACACACCGTGTCGATGCCGTTGTGGGCCTTATTGTCCTCCATCACCCGCAGTGCGGTGCGGTAGGTGGCCACCGCCTGGGATATGTCACCCTGGGGGAAGAGGGGAGGGGGCGGGTTGAAGAGGGGGGGGGAAAGAGGGGAGCGTTGTTGGTCTTGGCTGTTGATCCCGGCCGCATCATCATCAGCAGCAGCAGCAACATCAACAGCAGCATCAGGAGGAGGAGGGTATCGTACATCAGGAGGGCAATCGGGCTAGGTAGCATGCGGACGCAGGGTGGCAGGAGCCCCAGGGGGACACACACACCTGTATGATCATGACCGCCCCGAGGCCGTTCAGGGCGGCAATCAGCTGCCGTTGCGCCTCCTCAGCCTCCAACCGGGCCCGGGTGACCTTGGGGGGGGAGGGGGGGAGAAGGGGAAGGGGTTTGACACATACACACGTGCCGTGCGCATCCGTACGGAACCCTCACGAACTGTACGGCACATCAACTATTCGGTACTGCCCCAGCTGCTGCCCCTCTTTTCCTCGCCTGCCCCAGCCCCAGCTACCCTCTTCCCCCCAGCCTCTCCCACCATCCTCCCCCTCCACCCCCCCGCCTCACCAGCACTGCCAGGATCTCCCCCATGCTCAGGGGTGCATCTCGCCCGCCCCCTGCATGCGGGTGGTGGGGGTGGTGGGGGCTGAACCCCGCTCCCCCCACCGCTGCCCCCGCTCCCCCTCCCCCCGCAGCTGCAGTCAAGGCGCGGATGCCACCCGCGCCAACCTGGCAGGCACACGGGCAGGCGGGCAGACGGGCGGGCAGGCGGGCGGGGATGAGATACACACAAGCGCAGAAACACATACCGTACACAAGTGGGTATTGTGGGAGGAGAGGGGTTAGTACGGCAGTGCTGCAAGACGTGCAGGGAGTAGGAAGGTGGGACCCTGTGCGCATGCGTGTATAAGTTACTACCTACCACAACTCCTTTCTCCCCTGCACCTTGTCCCTTGCCCCTCCCCCTTCCCCCCAATTTGTGGGTTCCCTATGGTTTGGTATGGTCTCTCCCTCTCCCTCCCCGCCACCTGCGGGTGGCAGCACGCCTGCCTCAGCCTAAGCAGCGGCCCCAACAGCTTGCGAGCTTCGGAGGGGGCCAGCGGCCGGTCTAGCAGGCTGGAGGTGGAGGTGGCGGTGGCGGTGGGGTTGGTGTCCGTGGCGGTGCTGCTTCTGTTGCTGCGTTTGCGGCGGCCGGGGGCGGACAGCGGGACGGCACGCTGGCCGGGGGCAACAGCAGCAGCACTGCTGCCACTACCGCCGCCACCGCCATTGCCGCCGGCCTGAGGGAGGTTCCCGGCGCTGCCGCTACTGCCTCCCCCGCTGCCACCTCCCTCTTCCTCCCTCGCAGCACCTGCTGAAGACGGAAGAGCAATGTCCACTAGCATGGCGTCCCCACCTCCCCCGTCTAGCAACCCTCCCCCTCCACCGCCTCCCGCCCCCACCTCCTCCTGCTGCTGCTGCTGCCCCTCCTCCCCTTGCTGCCCCTGCCCCTGCTGCTGCAGCCAGCGGCGGTGGTGCAACTCATGCAGCTCCCGCAGCTGAGCTGAGAAGCTGCCATTGCTGCTGCCACCGCCGTCGCCGCCGTTGTCAGCACTGCAGCCTGGGGCTCCGCTACCTACCAATGCTGCGGTTACCGTTACCGAGCTGTTGTCGCCGCCTGGCAGCTGCTCCGCCCGCACTGCTGCTACTGCCGCCGCCTCCTCATGCTGCTGCTGCTGCCGGCTATCCTCTCCTACCCCGTTTGCGTTTCCCACCACTCCCTCCCCCTCCCCCTGCCCCCCCATCAGCCCCCTGCCCGACTGCATGGCGGCCACCACCCGGGGGGGCAGCACGGAGCGAGCCTTGGCGGCGCAGTCCTGAGGGGTTGGAGTAGGGGGGTCAAAGACCATACCAAACCAGGAGTAGGGGGGGGAGAGTTAGCAGGGGGTAGGGTAGAGGGGGTTAGGAGGCCGGCCATGTGAGGTGCTTCAGGTGTGGAGCCGGTAGGCCGGCGCGGGTCTCTGGCAGCCATATCCCCCCCCCCTCCCACCTCCCCACTCCTCCCCCCCTCCTCCCCCCACCTGGTGTTGCCTGTTGTAGAAGTGCCGCTCCACCGCATTCAGCCGCAGCAGCCGCACGTGGGTTGCCTGAGGGGGCAACCCCAGCTCGCCCTCCACATCCCGCTTGGCACTGCGCCACAGCAGACCGCCAGCAGCGGGACCCCCGCCACCCCCACCCCCACCCCCACCCCCACCCCCACCCCCACCCCCACCCCCACCCCCACCCCCACCCCACCCCCACCCCCACCCCCACCCCCACCCCCACCCCCACCCCACCCCCACCCCCACCCCCACCCCCACCCCCACCCCCACCCCCACCACATGCTGCTGCTGCCTTTCCTGAGTTGCAACCACCAGCAGCAGCACTGACAGCACCAGCAGCATTCATGGCCGTGGGTCGCAGCAGCCGCAGCAGCAGGCGCCGACCCGCCGGGTCACTCGCCTCCTCCACGGGTCGCTGCACGCATCGGGCCCACCAGCGCCGCTCGCTCCAGGGGCGGGCGCGCAGGAAGGCGAGCAGGCCGTACAGGTCCTCCAGGCCGCGGGAGATGGGCGTGCCGCTCACACACCACCTTTAGAAGGGGGGGCGGGAGGGGGGGGGAGGTGGGGTCGGGTGGGGGAGGGTTAAGGAAGTGGCGTAAAGGGCTCTCTTTTGTCAGGCCCGGCATGTGCCTTTTGCAACACACATCTCGGCAGGTAGGCGGTCTAGGCACCAGGGTGTGTTAGGGAAACCTGGCCGTGCGTAGCAACGTACAGGTAGAGGCACCGCCTGTGTTAAGAAAACCGCGTGTGTGTTAAGAAAACTGGCCGCGAGTAGGAACGTACTGGGATGTCGTACTGCGTGTGTGTATGCACTCGGTAGGCACCTGGTGGTGGCGCTACCCGAGCCCCTCTGCTCCTCTACAACAGCGTCCCCCCATCAACCCCCCCTTTTCCCCCCCATTCCCACCCAAGTACCTGTGCACCGTGTGCAGCTTGAGCGCCATCTCCGCCGCCCGCGCCGCGCCGCTCTCCACCATCTGCGCCTCGTCCAGCACCACCCGCCACCAGCGCAGTCGGGTGAGGGGCGTGGGAACCACCTCGTAGCTGGGGGGGGAGAGCAGAATGGCATGGGCATGTGTGTGTATTGGTTTGGGGATTGGTGGTGGTGTAGGGGAGGGCCCAGGAGGGATGGCAGCACCGCAGCAGCAGCAGCAGGCGACCCTCCAGCAAGCACAACAGGCTCCTAACCACCCCCTGCTCGCTCCCCATGCATGTGTCTTTCCTCCCCCTCATCCTCCTCGCCCTCAGCCCCCCCACTGGGCCCCCTCTCCCCCACCCGCATGAACCATCCCACCACTCACCGCTTGCCCCTCCTCAGGCTGCGCCCCTCCTGCTGCTGCTCCTCCCCCTCCTCGCCCTCATCCGGCCGTACATCCCCCTCCTGTTCCTGCCGTACCACATCCGGCTGCCTTGCCACATCCCGCCTGAGTGCCTCGTAGGAGGTTAGCACCACGTCAGCAGAAGCTAGCTGGCGGGCACTGACAACCTTTGGGGGGGAAGGGGGGAAAGAGAAGAGGAGAGGAGGGCATAAACGAGACCAAACCATAGGAAACCACGAAGGGGGAGGGGAGGTCTGTTAGACCAACTAAGCAGCGACAGCAGACTGACCATAGCTGTCGTTGTATAGGGGTTATGGTGGCAGCAGACCGTCAACAAAGAGGTGTGAAGAAGGGGAGGGTCAAGGAGGGGGAAAGGAGGAGACAAGGGGCCCCCAGCAACACCTCCTGGACGCCTTACGCGAGGCCAACATAGCATGCGAGCATTACGGGAAGTCAGAAGGACTCGAGGAACCTCCACACATGGTCCGGTATGTCCATGTCTGCTACGTAAGAAGAAAGAAAGTAACACGACGAACCGACAGAGCCACCGCTCCACCCACCATCGATTCGGCGACGTCCTCCCCGTCTTCCTCAGACCCCCCAACCGCCGCTCCTCCTCCTCCTCCAGCTCCTCGTTTGGCACCACCACCTCCGCAGCCAAGAGCTCCGACTGATCCACCAGCTAGGCCACCGCTGCTGCCGCCGCCACCGTTGCCATTGGATCCAGTTTGCGTTTGACCGCCGTACAGCACCACACGTAGGGCCCCCGGGTGCACGTGCCGCCGTATTTCGTCGTACCATTGCTGCAGGATGGCTGAGGGTACGACAATGAGGGTCGCACCGCACGGCTCCGAAACCTGTGTGTGCAGAGGAGGATGAGGTACAGCAGCAGTACGGCAGTACGGGGAGGTGCACCGGTGGTGGGTGGGGGTGGACGGCGTGCTGCTTGGCCTACATTAAAGTCATTAGGGGTTCGGGACAGGGAAATTAAAGCATGGGCTTCTTAAGATTGCGCACACCCTGACCAGGGCAATCGCTGCTGTCCCTCTCCGCTCCCCCACACTAGCTACTGAATGTCAAAACTACGTCATCCAGCCCTGCGCGGTGTAACCCATCAACAACTAGCAAAACCCACCATAACTGACAACCTCCCCCCACCACCCGCCGCTGCCTACCGTCTCCAGTGCTCGAGCCCGCAGGCAGCGAGTGCACACCCACGCGCCCCTCGGCGCCCGCTTCACCCCCACGCACGCGCCATGCACCCAGGCATTGCAACTGTCGCACTGGATCCAAATGCCGCGGTAACTGCCGACCCGTGGGTCATTCGGGTCCGCGAAACGCACCCCGCACGGGCAATCCACGCGCTCATCTTTCTGCTTGGTCTTCTCCACTGCGGCCTTTCCTGAACACTGCTGTTGTTGATGTTGTTGTTGCTGCCGTTGATGCTGCTCCTGTTTTGGTTTGAAGCGGTGAGCGGTGATGAGTGCAAGCAGCTCAACCGTCTTCCCCAGCCCCATCTCGTCCGCCAAGATACCGCCGGACACGGGCTGCGGCGCGGGGAAGCGCTCCGAAGCCAGAGCACCCGTGTAGGGGTTGACGTACAGCTCCTCCCCTTCTCCTTCCTCTTCCCAAACGGCTGGACGTCCCTCCGCCTCCATGCCGCCGCCGCCGCTGCTGCTGCTGGCTGCAGCTGCTGCAGGTGACGGAACTGCTGTTGTCGGCGGGAGTAGCCGCAGTCGCCGCCAGAGGGGATGCAGAGGCGGCCTCCGCCGCAGTACTAGTTGCGGCAGTTGCTCCCCAGCTTCCTTCCCCATCCCCACCAACTGCTGCTGCTCCATGCCGCCTCCACCACCACCCCTCCCACCCCCTTCCTCCTCCACCTGCCCCTCCCCCTGTCCCTCCCTGCTCAGCATCCACGCCACTGCCCGCCGCTGGTAGGGCCGCAGCACGGGCCGCAGCTCCGGAGCCGTGCCTCGCCACTGCGGCTCGGTGCCCGAGGGTTTTACCGCGTCGTACAACCAACCCAGATCGAACCCCACGCCTGCGGGTGGTGCTGCTGGTGCTGGGGGGGCTGGTGGGGATGCTGTGGTTGGGGGTGCGAGGGGGTTTGCTGATTGGGATGGGGCTGAGGGTGGGGGTGCGGCTGGGAGGTGGGGTGTTGGGGGTGCAATGGGGGGTGCTGCGAAGGAGGAGGGCTTGGGTGATGCGGCAGGCGAGGAGGGGGCGGCGGCAGGGGAGGTGACAGCAGCTCCTGCGTCCTGTTGCTGAGGCCGGTGTTGCTCAGGTGGCTGCTGCTGTGTGAAGGCGGCGGCCGGGGTTGCAGCTGCGGCGGTGTGAGGCAGCAGCCAGGAAAGCACCTGCAACAGCTGGGACTGCGGGTGGGGATAAGGAGGGGCAGGGGCCGTGTCCCATGTGGGAAGGGGAGGAAGGGGTTTAGGGTTACGGGAAAGGGATAACACGGGACACACAGCAGCTCGATCAGAGCACCCGAGGCAGCTGGGTGTCCACATTGAGCATGAAGGGGAGTAGTCCCTTCCCCTCCCCTTCTACTACCGTTACCGGTATAGGCTTATAACATTCCCCACTTCCCCCCAGAGCACACCCCCACCCACCTGCCACAGCCGCTGCTGCACGTCCTCCGGGTGCCCCACCCCCACCCGCTGCAGCGCATCACGCCGTACACCCAGCCGCAGCGAGCTGGAGAGGAAAGTGGTTTCGGTGCTGCTGCTGCTGCTGCTGCGGGTGCTCGTGGCGTTGCGGCGAATGTATGTGCCCGCCTGCCAGTCCTCTTCATCGCCATCATCATCAGCGGGCTTGCTGTTAGGCAGTGCCACCGGCTGGCTTTTTAGCCGTTGGGGCAAGGAGTTTGGGCTCCAGGAATATTGAATTGGGCTGCTGCAGCTTCTGCGATGCGAAGATTGGGCAGTGGATGGTGCGACCGTGATGCCGAGAATCCCGGTCTGGAGCAATCGAAGAAGGCTGCCTGCTGCGGCGACTGACGGAGCAGGTAGAGTAACCTGCGTGAGATAATGTCGAATTGTTGTTTTCACCAAGTGGCTGGAGGGCTACGGCAAAAGGATTGCCAAGATGGCTGGGTCAAACCTCAATCGGCCGAAAGGACCCACCAGCTCCTCGCTAGCCGGAGTTCCATCTGTAGAACGCAGCTCCAATGACAGTAGCGCTAAGCTGCCTTCCGAGTCGGCGCTGCTAACCCGCACGACTGCCGCTGAAATACGTTGCGGTTGAGCAGCAATGCCAACCGCGTCGGTCAACTCCAAAAAGCCTAGCACCTCCTGCTCTTCCGAAATGGCTACCTGCACATCTGACTCTGATTGCTTTTGGGGGAGCGACTTGCGCCTTCGTTTGGTTGGTCGCGGCGACTGGGGTTCCACCTCATCCAAGCAATCCAACTTGGGAGTAAGGTACTCCTGGTCTAAGTCTACAGCACTATTTAGTTTCACGCCGCCTTGGCCGGCGCTGGCCTGCTCAACATCCGCTCGTCGCGATGGTGCAGCCTTCGTGCGCGGCATCGCGTCGTGCCTTGCTCAAAGGCGTTTTCAGTGACAGCCAAGTGCTCCTGGTGAAGCTGCTGGAAAGAACAACGCCTTTCCCAGCAAGCGAGGTGCCCTCCGAGACCGCTACCGTACGCACCCTTGGAGGAGTAAAAGTCTAGAAACGAGGCTCAATCGCTGGCCTTGAAGGCAAAATTTGCACGGCCAATGATAAGAAATTCGCCTTGATGTCTAGAAGGCTGGGAAACCCTCACCACCTGCCGCAAAGGGCGCCGGCCATCATTGCGAACAGCTTAGTAAGGGTCTAAGTGCCGATTTGCACAGCACTTGCTGACGTTCATAATACGCAATGCAGTAATGCAATATTCTTCGTATTGTAGCGCACTGGCAGCTGCCTTAGCAGCAAGCGGCAGGGAAAAGGTCTGCCAACACATCAAAGGTTACCAATCAGCAAAAAGCAAAACCCATCTGAATGCCCCGAGCGCCATCCCTGCCGGCGGAATGAGGCACGGCGGGACGTTCATCCAGAGCCACGCGTCCGTGCCAGCGGCACGGCCACTGTGGCCATACGTAGCGCTCAGGCGCCGGGGCTTCGTCTCTTCGTCTGGGTTGAGGAGCTTGTCTGATTCGAAGAATACAGACAGGTGTATGACCTATAGAACAGATCCTGTTCAAGTACGGTCATACTGATAAGCCCCTAGGCCGCACCTATATACCGGGGATGGAGGTTGATGGTGGGTCCAACACCCCAGTCCGCATAAAGGCGCACATTACTGGCCTTTACACTTTCCTTCTCACGATATGGTTTCTATTAATTGTAGATGACTTACAACCTTTACATCCAAAGGCAATCACCTTGCAATCCACATCCATAACGGACCGTGCCTGCACCGCCGCACACCGCACACCCGATGTGTCCCAACCCTCCCAAGGGCCGCGTACCCGGACGAGCAAGCAGCTTGCGAGGGCGGCATCAACCCCTTTGCGTACCAGCATATTAGCATTTGTCTATGCAGCCAGAGCTCAGGCGGCACCCAAGTCTTGCTTGTTGCTCGCCTTGCCTGTTGTCGTACACATGCTAACGTGGCAGCAGTCGCTCGTCCAGCCTGGCAACGGCGCACACATACACACGCTATCCTCACGCTATCGTGTTGCTGCTGTACGACCTGTACATGTACACATACACTCTGCTGATTGCAACCAATCACAACAACATTTGTGGAATGCGACGCTTTCCAGGTGGTCAGCTCGTGTGGCCGTGTCTTATGGGACGTCAGGATTCCTTCTTTACATGCTCGTACAGGGACGCCAGCGACGCTGTAGGAAGCCTAAGGGCAGGGAGGCCCTATCACCCCTTTGCTGCCGGCACCTCCGCTAGCTGCTAGGTGCTCTTGGATGGCCAAGGTGGCTCGTCGCATAGTCCCCGCACTGCCTCATTTGCCAGCATGCCGAAACGAGATGGGTCCTGCTGTTGGGTAGTGTGGGTACATACATCTCCACAGCCTGGTAATCCGAGCATTCCCGTCATGCCATGCAAACGCCTTGTCATGTTATCGCAAACTGCCGCCAACCGTATTCCCTAGCAACCCATTCCCTCACTTATCCAAACTTTTGCAACACAGCAACCTCAGCCTCCCTCAGCCTTCTCCACGTCTTCCCTTCTCCCCTTCTTCCCTTCTCCCTTCCTTTCTTTTTGCCTATGCCTTGACCATTTTCGTGTTCGCACCCGATTCGGTAACGATACCGAGTTCCCTTCCCCTCCCTTCCCTCAGCTAGCCCCCGCCCCCGCCCCCGCCCCAGCCGCCCCAGTCGCTTCATTGAGTTCATTCACCGGAAGGAGCCGGCAGCGACTGTAGCCGCAGCAGCGCTCCTAGCGACTCGCACAGCGCGGGCGGCCAGCGCCTGCTGCCGTGCAGCCAGGCGGGGTCGCGGTAGCGCGGGTCATCCACACGGGCCCTGGGCGGTGCGACCCATGGGTCATCAGGAGCGAGGCGGGAGGGAGGGATCAGGAGGGGGCATTCAGCATTTAGTAGTCTGCGCGTAGAGGGAAGTCCCAGCAGAAGGCAGTGGGGTGCTGGACTGTACGGCAATACACACACGACCAACGCCATGGCAAAACATGTGGCCATGGCAAAACACCCCACCGCGGCCCCCATTACCGCACCCAACACCTCCCTACTGACACCTCCCCCTTGCACTGCCCCCACCCGCCTGCCACCCACCACTGGCTCTCCGCCTCGCCCTCCCGCCCCGCCGCCCACAGCGCCCCCGCCAGCGCCGCCCGCATGTCGGAGAAGTCCGGGTAGCGCCGCAGCAGCGAGCGCATCTCACTGGGGGGGTGGGGGGGATGGAGGAGGGGGGGTCAAAGGCCATTACAGACCGTAGGATGGGGCGTGGGGGGGATGGGTGCGGGTATGGGTGCGGGTGGGCTGGAAGAGCAGCATGAAAGCTGGCAGCAGAGCGCATGTGAGGCACACTCGGCAGTGGCTGACACAGCGGCCCCAGGCGCATCCTTTTTCACAGCCCAACCAAGCCGCGACCCCACATCACTCTCCCCGCCTCCTGCCACCATCAGCCCCACTGCCCCCACTGCCCCTTCACCCATCCCCCCTCCTCCCCACCGCAGCGCCTCCTCCTGCCGCCCAACTTGGAACAGCGCGACGGCGCGGTTGGCGGCCGCAAACGCAAAGTTGGGGGCCAGCTGTACGGCACGGCTGTAGTACTGTACGGCGGCCTGCCAGTCGCCCATGCCGCCCGACGCATTGCCCAGGTTGTTCCATCCCGCCGGGTCGTCCGGCGCCACCCGCAGCACCTCGTGGTAGTCCGCAGCCGCCTCGGGGAAGCGACCCAGCGCCTCCAGTACGACACCCCTGTTGTGGGAGGTGATGGGAGGTGAGGGGGGGGAGGAAGGGGAGGAGATTAATGGGGATACATATTCCGCATTGGGGGAGGTGAGGTGAGGGGGAGGTGTGGGGAGGGGGAGGTGAGGGGGGCATCGCAAGCATGCGGAACCCGTCTTGGATCACCCGCTAGCACTCCCCACCCATCCTTCCTCACCCCACCCCTCCGCACCTGTTCAGCAGCGGGTCCACTGCCCAGGGGCACAGCTGCAGTGCGGTGTTGTAGTCCTGCAGCGCCTCCGACAGCCGACCCTGCCGGCTGCGGGCGTTGCCGCGGTTGCCCCAGGCGCGACCCACCTGGTGAGGGTGGTGTGTGACCCATGGGTCGCGACACAGCAGAATGATACACAGCGGGAGGATGCACAGCAGGAGGATGCGCAGCAGCACCCACATACTACACATCTCGTAATGCTCTCTCCCCAACTTAAAACAGGGGAGCCCTAGTAAGCAGTACGTTCGAGTCCAAGAGCAACGAGAAAGGGAACAAAGATCGTGCGCGCTAGAATACAAGACGCCGCACTTGCACCCCTGCCACACTTCACATGCAATCCCAATCACCCAGGTCCCCCCCACAGCGGCGTTGCATGCCCCTCCTTTCCCCGACTCCCCCTCCCTCCTCTCCCTCCCCCCCTCCCTCCCCCCCTCACCAGGTCCGGCACCCAGGGCCGGTCCAGCCCGCCGTACGTGTCAATGATGCGGCTCCAGCCGGCCTCCTCCGCAGCCAGCGAGGGGGCGGACAGCGCACTGCGGAGCAGGGAGGCCGCCTCACGCAGCTCGGGGTCCTGGGGGGGAGGGAAGGGAAGGGGCGGAAGGGAGGGGCAATAAAAAGATACACCAACGTGTTGAAGGGGCGGGAGGGAGAAAACCAACCATGACGACTAGGCAAACAAGCCCGCCGAATCCAATTCAAGGCCGGCCCAAGCCAAGCCAAGGCAGCTGGTGAACGGGCAAGCAAGAAGGGGGGTGCCTAAGAGAAAGGGGATAGAGGGGTGTGAGAAGGGTGTTAAGAAAACTGGCCGCGAGTCGGAACGTACTGTGATTGTGTGTGCGAAGGGGGGCGGGTGGGTAGGGCGGGGGGCCAAGGAGGAGCGACGAGGAGGAGGGAGCGAGGGGTGGGGTGGGGAGCCGGGGATAGCCAGCAATGCCTTCATATGCGGCAGGGAGGCAATCCGCAGCTCGGTGTTTGGGAATGTAGGTGTAAGTGGTGGGTTAAGGGTGCAGTTCCGTACCGAACCCTGCCATGCACCCACACCTGTGGGTCATACTTGGACTGGTCGGGGGCCAGGCTGGGGTCTATGGCGGGTCGCGGGAGGGGCGGCCACTGGGGGGCTCCTGCAAGGAGGGAGGCTTGGGACGAGGTTTGAGGAAGGGGGAAGATTGAATAAGAAGTGAAGCAACTAGGGACGGGTAGGTGAAGTGAAGGGACGTCGGTGGGGGGTGTTGGGCGAAAAGCGCCGGAAGGACAGCTGCTGCTGGTATGTAAGACCTCACGTTTGCAGCAAAATACATGGCTTCCGGAAAGGCTTCTAACCTTGTTCCGCTGCCGACTCCACATTAACTGCTGCTGCTGCCGCTGGTGTTGTCGAGGTGGCAATGCAGTAGCCGGGGAGCAGAGCCAGCAGCAGGGCTCGGCGGGGGAGGAGAGCGGCAGCGGTAACGGTACCGGTGGTGGAGCATGTGGTGGTGGTGGGAGGAGGAGGGGGAGGGGGAGCTGGGCTTGCGGTGGCTGCTGCTGCTGCTTCCGTTGTTGCTGGTGGTGGTGATAGTCTTGCTGATGGACGGTGGGTGCTGGGGATTGCAGATCCCACACTTGTTGGTTTTAACGGCGTCGTTGTTCGTGATTGGGATGGTGCAAGGTGTTGCGGGGAGCGGTGTTGGAGGACGGCGGCAGGCGGAGACCTAGTCGTCGCGCCGGGCGGTATGCTTGCAGCAGCAGCAAGCGGTGGGACGACGAACCGCACATTCCCTCTGCTTGCCTTTGTAGTTCGTATGTTTAGTGAATAACCTAAAGATCTGACTTTAGCGCCAGTGCGCGCGTCTCTGGAATTTAGGGTGTGCATACTTTAGTTGGATTTCGAGGTTTATCGTTCAGGAGCAGAGCGCCAAGGCCCGTTTGTGGCGCAAGTGATAAGCAACAATAAGTTAAGCGAAAGGCGACCAGGCTACTCTCTCCTTCAGGCTTGCGCGCGAAATTGAGTGACTGCCACGCAATGCCTCCGAGACCATAAACACCCTTGGTCATGTGCTGAACGAGAAGCATCAACGCGTTTTCTTACCTTCAGCAGTATTTCTAAACAGAGGACACGGCTTTCCATCACCCAACTGCTGCTCCGGAGCACCGTCCGGCTATCAATTCAGCGTTCCTCGGCTCTTGCGGTCTTCTTTGTTTCATGCCTCCAGAGCTGCAAGCAACGCGAGCCCTCTTGGCTCTTTCTGGACGCATCCTTATGACATACCGGTAGTCTCCTGCTTCGCCACATCGCCAGTCCTGGACGGCTATTAGAGTCCCTGGCTGGCATCATCACAAACACCCGGCGCGCTACCTCGCTAGCCGTGCCCCAGTCCTTCTGGGGCATGGCCCCTGCTGCAAAGCGCTATAGGGGGGTGGGGGCAGCGTCCTGGGGTTCTACGAGTCTTCCAGGTTCAGGGACTCAAGAGTAGTAGCCTGGGTTAGGGGATAGGTGTATGCCTGCCTATGGGACGGCAGCCCCCACCTTCCCTCCCTTCCCTCCCATCCCCACCTATCCCTCCGTCCCTCGCTCCCTCCCTTCTGCCCCCACCTACCTCTCCCTTCCCTCCCGCCCCCACCTACCTCACCCTTCCCTCCCTACCCGACCTACCCCGCCCCTCCCTCCCGGCCCCTCCTACTCCTCCCTCCCCCACCTAACCCGCCCTTCCTTCCTGCCCCCGCCTACCCCTCCCTCTCCCCTCCCGCCCCCGCCTACCCCTCCCGGCCCCACCTACCCCTCCCTTCCCGCCCCCACCTACCCCTCCCTCCCACCCCACCCTCTCCCCTCCCGCCTACCCCTCCCTCCCGCCCCGCCCACCCCTCCCTCTCCCCTCCCGCCCCCACCTAACCCGACCTTCCCTCCCGCCCCCACCTACCCCTCCCTCCCGCCCCACCCTCTCCCCTCCCGCGCCCACCTGCCCCTCCCTTTTGCCCCACCTACCTATCCCTTTCCTCCCGGCCCCACTTACCCCTCCCGCCCCCACCTACTTTTCCCTCTCCCCTCCCGCCCCCGCCTACCCCTCCCTTCCCGCCCCCACCGAACCCGCCCATCCCTCCCGCCTATCCCTCCCTCTCCCCTCCCACCCCCACCTAGCCCTCCCCTCCCACCCCCGCCTACCCCTCCCTTCCCGCCTCCACCGAACCCGCCCATCCCTCCCGCCTACCCCTCCCTCCCACCCCCACCTAGCCCTCCCTTCCCGCCCCCGCCTACCCCGCCCATCCCTCCCGCCCCCACCTATCCCGCCTCTACCTACCTCTCCTCTCCCTCCCGCCCCAGCCTACCTCTTCATTCCCTCCCGCCCCCACTTACCTTTACGCACCCGCCCTGTCCACTTACCTTCACGCATGCTGATCAGTTGTTCCCCCCTCCTTGCTGATTTCGTTACAATCTATATGCCCTCATACTGGAAACACTACGGACAAACCACGGCACTAGGATACGTCATAATACATACGTGCGGTTGCTGTGTATTGGACCATGTTGTTCCAGGTTACGGTATTGGCTGGTTGATAGGCTGTCGTACATTGCCCAGACTGCAGTCATGATTTGCCAACTGCTGCCATCTAACACCCGGATGTTCGGACTCCCCTGTAATAACCGCATTCTAACATCGTTCGTAGCCTAATGCGCATGACGTAGAGCACCATCTGTCGTCTATGGGTGAATGCCATATACGTAGTGCGCGTGAGGAGGGGGACGGAGGCGGGAGCATTCCTTGGCGTGACGAGGGTGGGCCGCAAGCACCCCCCTGTCCGCCCCCAACATTCTTATTACAAGGGATGCAGCCAGGCATCGTTAATAGGCTGTGTCTTAACCCTAAAAGACTCCTGTGTGACCAAAGCAAGTTGGTCCGCGAGAATCCAGCTCAGCTTGGAGACACGGTATCGTGGCGGTCTCATGACGATGGCGAAAGAAGAGTGGACGCGTGTCGATGGGGGGCTGCTTGATCGAGCTCGTTGGCCTTCTCACAATGGGTGCGTGGAGAACCCGTGCCTGCACAGTGGGGTCGAGAGCGGAGGACACAGGGGTGTCATGTCTCATGTGTGTTTTACCACATGATCGAGCGGCACAGGGATACCGAGCGTGTTGCATTTCCTCTAGCAGGAGTCATGTCAATAACCCGTGCGCCCCCAACTAGGCGACAGCAAGCCTTTAACCAAACTCTCGCATTGGCCAGACATGTGAATCTCAGATGCACATTGAAGTCCGGTGCCCCACGCCATAGACTTACCGCCAACAACGCTGGCCGGCAGCGACAACTTGCTTGAGCATGCTGGACATTCTCCCGGGCCTATTTGCTCCAGCAGTAGCGGTTACCACACTTGCTACCTGCACAGATCAATTAAGGTTCGTGTCAGTTACCATTACGTATTAGGTATGATGGCTTATAAACAGCTGCGGGGTCGGCGCTCACAAGGTTATGCATGACATGCATATCTTGACCTTGACAGTCATGCTCCTGCGCCCCCCACGAAACGAGCTGAAACAAATTGGCAATGTCGCCAAAGGATAGCTCACCTGAAAGTCAGTTTCGTCCCTCCAGCAAGATAGAAGATGCTCGATGACGAAAGGCTAAGGCTCACTGTCGACGCCAAATGCTGGTCGAAGAGCAACATTTACCATATTGTTTGCCGGAGAATAGGAGGTTACAGACATGACCTGTGACACTAGGAAGGGTAGGTTTTGGCCGCATGCCATACAGTACTGAATTTCCCCTCACTGCCGCCATATATAAGACGTTTCGGCGCTACCTATTACCATATATAGTGCAAACCAAGAGGCAGCGGTGGTCGTATGGTTACTACTGCGAAAACTGAAGTTGTTGTCAGTGAATTCTTAATTCATATGAAGCTATCATGGTAAGCTATTTCTCTACGATAATGTCTAAAAGGAAGTTGAGGTCTTAAACTCGCCGTCTTGTCGTTACGCCGTACACGCCTTGTCAACGCTACTGCCCAGTGCCAAAACCGCAACATGGTGAAAGCGTTCCATTGCAATCCCTTTAGTTCAGGCCCCACCGAGAAGCAGGAAGGCGGCATCGTCAGAAGACGTCAGTAATTTCATATTAGTTTCATTCAGTGCCGGATGGGAAGTTCCCGAAAGTTATTTCACGAACGGCTAGCTAGAATCATTTTGGCTAGCTCAAGAACAGAATCAGGCACGCAGCCAACTGGAAACGTTGTTACAAAATTACGTACCGTAACATTGCCCTTGCCTTGCCCTCCACTCTCTCCCATGCGTATCCGGCCCCTTGCTGCTAGCCCCGTTCCCCCCTTCCCCGCCCTTTCATTCATACAGCAGATGCCCTTTCTCTAGCCTTGTTCGGTTATCATTAACACGAGCCCAAAGAACAATGAAGCGACGCAGTGCGAACACCCACGGTAGCTTCACCACGCAAACGGTTATTGCGCTGTTATGACTCATGTTGCAGATCAGCTCGGTTCTAGAGCAGGCCAATCCCCAAACGCACATTAACAAGCATCAAAAGCCTTTCATACGCACGCAAAGAATGCTCCTCTGGCCTTATTATCGCGCGCAAAACACTTTTCCTCAAGAAGTGAAGGTCCTCCCTCCCCAACATACCGCATTCGCAGCGGCATCGCCCAACTCTCCTCCTACCTCAAAACCCACCAAGGCCGGTCAAAACAACGGAGCTCCCTCCTGCTCCTCCTCCCCCCTCCATTCCACCTCCTCCTCCCATCCTCCTTCCATCCTCCAGCATCTCCGATACCTCCAACCGTCAACACCACGCACTCAGGAACCCCGCACCACCTCCCAACCGCCCCAACATATGCCCAGTACGGCAACCTAATGGCGGAAGTGCCGTACGCCGGTGGTCAGCAGCACCACGCCGTACTTGTTGCAGCAGTCGATGGCGTCCTGGTCCCGCAGCGAGCCGCCCGGGTGCACGATGGCGCTCACACCCGCCTTGCACGCGATCTCCACACTGTCGCCCCAGGAGAAGGGGAAGAAGGCGTCGGACGCGAGCACGGAGCCCTGTTTTGGGGGGGGAGGGGGGGCGAGGGAAAAGAGGATGTGCTGAATAATAGTGAGAGGGAGGGAGGGAGGAGGAGAGGAGAGGCGGGAGAAGAGGGAAAGGGGATCGAAAAAAACGTATACAGCATATTATGTGTATACGGTTTGCAGCATGTGAACGGCAACAACCCGATGAGCGGCGGGGTAGGGTTAGATGGGACCCTGTCACATCCCGCCTGCTCCACCTCTCCTCTTCTTCTTCTCATCCCACTCTCATCCCGCTGTCGTCCTCCTCACTTTCGGATCTCTCCCCCTCCCTTCCCATCTCCCATATACACACGCCTAACCCTCCATCCCCCCACCCCCCACCCACCTGCACCTCCGCCGCCGCCTTCTCGATGGCGATGCGCACCGAGTTAACCCGGTTGGGCTGCCCCGAGCCCATTCCCAGCAGCCGCCCCTCCTTGGCGATGGTAATAGCGTTGGACTTGACGTGCTTCACAGCCCTGGAGGGGGGGAAAGACGGGGAAGATGGAGGAGGATTAGACCAAGTCGGTAACAACGGTGGGAAGCCCTGATGGTGGAGGCCCCTGACGAACGGACGCAGGGGGAAGGAGCCCCATAGCCGTGCCGACACAGTTGACCTTTCCTGTTTGCCACCTCCAAAAGCCCCTCTGCACCCCCTCCCCTTCTTAAAAACGAAACCCTCCCACCTCCAAGCACCCCCCCCAACCCCCCACCTCCAAGCGAACTTCAGGTCCTCCAGCTGCTGCTCCGTCGGCTGCGCCTCGCTCACACACTTGAATGCAATGCCCTCCGGCCCCAGCGCGTCCGCCCCCTGCACCAGCCACCCGCCCGCCACCTGCCGCAGCGAGGTGCCGGAGGGGGGGCGGGGAGCCGCCTCGAGGATGCGCAGGTTCTTGGACTTGCCCTTCAGGATCTCAAGACCCTCGGGCGTGTAGCCGGGCGCGATGACGATCTCGTAAAACATCTTGGTCTCGTTGTCCTGGGGGGACCTGGGAAGGGGAGGGGGAGAAGAGGGGGGAGGGTGAAGAGGAAACTGAGTAATTCCATGTCTTTTATATTGGTGGCATGTTGCGGATGTGGAGGCGAAGGGGTGTGGAGATGACGGGGATTTTCCACTCGTGAACTCTATTAGCCCGCCCCCGCCCACCCGCCCCCTGCCATCCCCAACCGCCGCCCCACCCCGCCCCACCTGAACTCCCTGATCTCCCGGGCTAGCTCCGCATCTACTGGCCGGTTGAACGCCACGATACCGCCGAAGGCGCTGTAGAGGGGTGGAGGGGTGGAGGAGTGAGGACAGGAGTGGCCAGCCGGAGACACCTCATGTACAGAACATCAAGCAGCGAGCAGCCCAGCTCTCCCCCCGCCGCGAACCATGTGGCTATGGCTGTTCACAACTCGCAAACCGAACACACAGCTGGAAACGGACCCTTCTCCTCTTCCCCCTCCTGCCTCCTCCCTCCTGGTTCAACCCTACCTCCCCCCCCCTTCACCTGATGGGGTCCGCCCGCACCGCCAGGCGGTAGGCCTCCCGCAGGTCGCCCCGCGAGGCGATGCCGCAGGGGTTGGTGTGCTTCACGATGACGCAGGAGGGGGCGGGGTAGTCGCAGCAGCACTGGTAGGCGGCGTCGGCGTCCTGTGGGGGGGGATGGGGGGGGTGTGTGGGGTGAGGCAGGAGCGAAGGCTTCGGGTTCCGAGAGCTACCAGCGGCCTCGGGCGCTATGCTCTGTATGCAAACACCCATCCCCATCCCCAACCCCAACTGCCCAATCCCAACCCCCCCCCCCCCACCCGCCCCCGCCTCACCAGGTAGTTGTTGTACGACATCTCCTTGCCCCAGTGTACGACACTGGTGGCCACCCCACCCGCCTGGAACTCGCGCAGGGAGGCGTCCGTGTAAAAGGCGGCGGACTGGGGGGAAGGGGGGGGGGGTAAAGAGGAAACAACTAACTGACCGTGTCATAAGGCATCACATGCAGGAAGGGGGGGATAGGGGGGTTCAAAGACCAAACCAAGGGGAAACCCGAAACCACATGGGGAAACCACGTAGGGGGCAGGATAATGCCTCAAGGCCTTAACGGCCGTGCAGCCCTCCCCTTTCCTCACCCTCACAGCAATACGCCCACCCTTACAGCAGTACAGCAAAACGATATCCCAAATGCACATCTCCCCCCCTCCCGCTGGCCCACCTGGTGCGGGTTCTCCCCGTATCGCAGCGTGTGCGCCAGCTGCAGCGGCACCGTCATCTCGGGGGCGGGGCCCGACCCCACCTGGCCCCACAGCCACTCCGACACCTGCGCGTCGTAGGAGGAGCAGTGCTGCGGCCGGGGGGGAGGGAGGGGAGGGGGGGAAGGGGACAGGGTCATTGAACGGATGTTGGGGGCAGCAAGGACGTGACGGAAGGACGGGGGAACGGTGCGGGAGGTTTATGTTAGTGGAGAGGGGCCGAGCCGAGCGCGGAGGAGGTCCGTGGGGTGGTAAGTAGTAGGGCTGGGTGGGACGCCCCTTCCCTCTCCCGCCCTCCTCCTCCTACCACCTGCCCCGCCTCCTCCAGCGCTCCCTGCTTGCTCCCGCCTCCTGTTCCCTGCCGCTATCCCGGCTGCTGCTGCTGTTGCCCCCTGGTGCTCCCCCGGCTGCACCGCCCCGCCCCCTGTTGCCCTCTGTTTCCACATGCTCCTCGTGCCTCACAAGACCCACTCCTTCCCCCCCACCTGGAACGCCTTCCACGCCAGCCGCTTGCGCAGCTCCGCCAGCGCCGGGCCGCCCTGCCGCAGCGCCTCCAGCAGCGCCGGGTAGTCCCGCGGGTCGGTCACCACCGCCACGTGCGCCATGTTCTTGGCAGCGGCGCGGATCATGGCGGGGCCGCCGATGTCGATGTTCTCAACACCCACCTGAGGTAAGGGAGGAGGAGGAGGGGCGATTGGGTGCGGAGCATTGCAGGTGCACAGAAGACCGCAGCGGGGTGAGGTTGGTGACGGTGATGCCCCCCCCCCCCGTGCTCAGTGCTCAGCTGTCCCGAGCCCTATGTCAGCCCCCAGCCAGCCAGCATGCCACCCACCTCGAAGGCGGGGGGCGGCGAGGCGGTGACGGTCTTGCGGAAGGGGTAGAGGTTCACGACGACCTGAGGAGGGATGGAGGTGGGGGGTGGGACACAGGTTGAGGGTGCGGGCAGGGGAGGAGGACGGGGATCAGGTGTGCGGAAGAGGAGGATGGAGGGCAAAGGGATGAGGGATTGTGCTAAGGGTCTCGGTTCCTTCCCAATTCCCATTCGGTTCCTTCCTCCTCCGCAGCCCCAGCCCCAGCCCCATCCGGACCCCTCCTGTCCCCATCACACGCATGCAATCCACCCAACCCACGGGGGTGTGCACATGGGACATGGCCACCCGACCCATGGGTCAACTCCGACCCCCACATCCAAGCCCTCCTGCCACCCAAGTCACCAGCTGCTGTGCGACCCACCAGGTCGATGGTTCCGATGTTGTGCTGCGCGATGGCGGCCATGTGGTCCGCCTTGTCGCGGATGGCCAGGATACCTCCGTGCACCGCGGGGTGCAGCGTCTTCACACGGCCTGGGGGGCGTGGGAGGGGAGGGATGAGAGGGGGGGGATGAGAGGGAAGGAGGGAAGGAGGGACGTGGGGGGCGTATAATGGGATCGAGGAGAAGGTGTTTGGGAGAGGGTGAAGGGGGTTTGGGAGGCAATTGAGGGAGGGCTGTGCGAGAGGAGGAAAGCTCAGCGAGAGGTTTGACTTGGTACCGTAATCTCGAGCTTAACAGTAAGAGCCGAAGGCTTGCATATGCTGTGGCGCAGTGGAAAAAGGGTCTTGTCGCATGATCCTCACCATCGAGCATCTCCGGGAAGCCGGTGATGTCCTCGACCTTCAGGCAGGGAACCCCTGCGTTCTGGATGGCTGTGGCGGTGCCGCCCGTGGACACAATCTCGATGCCCAGCTCAGCCAGACCCTACAGCATGGATCGTTAGCCATTTTGGTAACCGTTTGACCATCGTAACTGCGCAAATCTTATTAAATGAGTACCATGGTTTCTTACCTTCACCAGCATGTCCAGATCACTCTTATCGGACAGCGAGATTAGGGCCCTGGGCTTGCCCGTGCCAGCTGCGACGCATTTGATGGAATGTCAGCATGGTCAAGCAAAGACCGCGTCTGAGGCCCCCAGTTAAGCCCGCACCATTATTAGGCATGGCGCTGGATGAAGGCGAAGGCGGGGCAGCAGCTGCCTTCAGTTGCTGGCGCACGGCACGGCTGCAGGCAGGGTGTAACGAGCGTAAATAGTCCGTTTCGCCGTGTCGGCTGCGGCGGCGACTTTAACTAACCCGACGAACAGCTGTGAAGATACGTTAGCGACAGCTGGTCGACCGGCCAGGAAAGGCTTAACAACAACGCGTGGTTGGGCAGCGACAGCGGGCGCAAGCTGCTGCTCAGCGCGCACCGCGACTGACTTAGAGGTATGCTGCATGCACGCCATTTCTGCGAAGCCTAAGACCTATGCCTATTCGTGGCACCAACCGCAGCTGCTAGAGTAGGGCTATCATGCCCACTTGTCGGCTTCACGGCGTGCCGTACGATGGACATTCTGTTGATTCTCTTTACTTGCTGTTCTCTACAAACAGACATTCACAAGCCAATTTGGGCTGGGCAGAAGCGTGAGCTATGCTAGACGTAAATGGTGTATTATGTGAAGTCAACCCTTATCCATGTGCTTCCTGCATCTTAGCCTCGTTATGTGTCGTCTATTACGCACATTCATGCCAGCTTACACCTTAGTCATGGTCGAAGCCAAATCTTCCTGGTTGCGACCTCATCCTTGTTTGTCAATGCATGTCTGACCCATCTGCGCAACACTACCTGTGCGCGTCACTCCATCTGTGTCGCTTTCATTGACATGTCTTGCCAGGATCAATACCTCCTGGACCAGCGCTGCATGCGCAAGCCATGTGCATTCCATGTCCTCTTGCCAACTGCTGCAGCTGGCCTGTTGGATATACACTGGCTCTCGTGTCGAAAAAACGCACATAAAGAGCAAAGTCCATCCCTCATAGTTGCCGATGGAAATCTTTCAACGCTCCACGACTCATGGATACACATGGAAACGTAACCAGTACCAGGATGCTCGGTACACACGATGGTGCTGCCGTGTGGCATCCTGATCGGTCCCATAGCTACAGCACCTTGCGGCTGCGACAGGCATCTCGTTCGAGCTATGTGGCCTGGGGCAAGCGCCACGGACTCCTGCTTCTTGCCCTAGCCGCATCACCCTTGCCCCTTACAGTGACCCCACCGCTGTCAAAAGCTAGATTGCAGCTGCTCATCCCGTAACACACACCTTTCACCGCAACTTCGTAGCTACAATTTTGCTAGGCATTTTTTAGCGCATTGTGTCACTTCCGGAATAACGACAGGACCAGCTAAACAGTGAGATGCAGCTCTATGCATTCACGCAGACATGCAGGAACATGGTAAGGAGACACAGGACCTGCACTAACCACGGATGTATCCGGACCCCTATCTACCTTCACCCTGGGTCAAAAAACGGTCAAACGTCCATGCTTTGCGAACGTACAGCCTAACGTGCAATCTACCAGGCACCCTGCACTGAACCCATGCACACGCACTTCACAAAGTACAAGCTCTCTTCCTGCTCATGCTCGCTCTCCCAGACATCAAACCAGCTCCGCCTACCAGAACACACATCAACACAGCACTCACACACAAAGTGAAGCAAGCGGGTGCCGTACGCGGTATACATGCATACCCCACACGATGTATCACACATGCGAAATCCAACCGTCCGGCATACAAAGATACACCTCGCGACCTTTTTAAGTTCCCTTCTGCAGCCGCTGCAAGGCAAGGCACGTTGGAGGCTTTTGCGGGAGCCAGTTGCCATAAGCACACACATGAAACAAAACCGATGCCGCTCCTCTCTGCCGCTCTGGCTGTCTTTAACACCCACACCACCGCCGCCGCAACCTGCAACCTCCTACAGCCTCTCAATATAACAGTAGCTGTCGTACATTGCAATTTCCCGGCGGCGCTCCTCTCCGTACAATCCGTACGGCTGAGGAATGGCGCCTAGGAAGTCTCCAAACTTGGCCCTTGCATGCAGCTGAGCCACGTCATAGTGCAGGAAGGCGTTGTGCTCCACTTGTAGCTTTTGCTGCAGCAGCGAGCGGAGCTCGGGAGAGGGGTCGTAGTACGGCGATGGCGCTGTGTAGGTCGTTGGGTCCGGAAGCGGAGGCAGCGAGCTTGAGCCAGCAACCGCATCCGCAGGTGCACCGGCGGGTGCCGTCGCCGTTGCCCCGGTTGTGGTTGTTGCTGCTGCGCTGGTAACCCTTCCCGCCGCCTCGCCCTTCGCCATCACGGCACCGCCCTCCTGCTCCGCCTCCGCCTCTTCCTCGCCGTCCGAAGAGGAGGAGAACAGCAGCAGATCTGCCTCCGCTGTCTCCGCCCCCGCCTGCCGCTGCTGCCCCTGCTCCCCCTTCTTCTTCTTCTCCTTCTTCCTCTTCTCCGCCTCAGGACACCCCTGTCGCGACACAGCACCTGCCCCAACCGCAGCACCTGCCCCAACCTCACTCCCCCCCGCCTGGCGGCTGCTCCTCAGCCTGGCCGGGTGCGGCTCGTAGGGTCGCGGGCGGTAGGCGGGTCGCGGCTGCAGCGCCCACCAGGGCTGCAGCTCCCAGTTGAGCCCCAGGTCCTCCAGCCCCAGCCCCAACATGTCGCTCACCTCCAGGCCCGCGGTGAGCAGCTTGCTGGGAGGCAGGGAGGAGGGAGGAGAGGGAGAGGAGGAGAGGGGAGGGAGGGAGAGGAGAGGGGTTCGGAGCGGAAGGGGCAAGGAGGGAGATTCAATAGCGTCGCTACACCTACTACCGGTACACTTAAGCCCCACTCGCGTCCTGTCTGTGTCTCTCACTCACCGCTGCCGCTCCTCCTCTCTCGCCCGGCTGGCTGCCTCAGCCGCCGCCCGCCGCCGAGCCGCCGGGTCCAGCCCACCAGCCGGGGTACCACCCAGGCCTCCTGGGCCTCCCAGGCCGCCTGCTGCTGCTGAGGGCGCTGCGACCTCGATAAAGTCGTTGAGGACGGGGATGTTGGAGGTTGCGGTTGCGGCGGTTGCGGCCTGGGAGGGGCTGACGAGCTGTGGGAAGCAAGGGGAGGGAAGGGACGGGGACGGGCGAGATGAAAGTGCTGGGGAGAGAGCAAAGAAGAGAAAGAGCTAGAAAGGGAGAGGGTGGTATCCCGGCGCTATGGCAAGGGTCGAGTCCCGACGCCGTGCTATGGGGTGTCCATACCGCGCATTCTAGCACACACACTACACCGACGAGCCCGCACCTGCACCCCACCTGTTTGCTGCTCACTCCCCCAGCGGCAGCCCCGCCGCCCTGCTGCTGCTGCTGCTGTGCGCCGCCGGGCATCAACAGCGTGCCACCAAACATCTGCGCAACCGTTCGTACGGCTCCCTGCCGTGCGGCACCGCCTCCGCTGCCAGCCTGCCCGCTAGCCGCCGCCGCCTCCGCATCCGCCGCCGAATAGTAAAACGCGCCCTCGTCGTCGTCGCCGCCCGACCCGCGGGAGCCGATGCCATCGCCATCAGCGGCACCGCCGCCGCTGCCAAGTGCAGGTATCGTATCCGCGACCGTACGACAAGAAGTACCGTGTTTATGATGCTCGTCCGTATGGTCTGCGTCGATCATGGCTTCCAAGATGTGGCCCAGATGTAGTGCAGTACGACCGACGCCGTACGACGCGTTAGCGGCGGCGCCTGTCGTACCACTCGCGGCGGCGGCGCCGCCGCCTCGGTCGGCAATGCTTGAAGACCAGCCCGGGTCGCTCAGGGTGCTGAAGCCGCCGTCAGTGCCGGCCGTCAATGTGCGCCGAATGGTGCTGGCGGCGGCGGCGACGGCGGCGGCGCCGTGTCGTGAGGTCTCGGGCGAGTACGGCAGCGACGTCAGGCCGGATGGCGGCGAGGCGATTGGGGAGCGTACGGCAGTTGGGGAGGCAGGGGAGACGAGGCGAGCACTGACGCCGCGATCCAATGGGGTAGCGGGGGGCTTGGGAGGCCTGTGCAGGGTAGGGGTCCAGCGGAGGATTGAGTGCCAGGGTTGTGTACCGTATGATGGGTAGGTTGGGGCGGTCCTTCATTCCTCCTAGTACCTATACTGCGAGGGTATACTACGTACTGGCGTGCTAGCGCGTTCGAATAATGTTAAGCAGGGTTGCTTACTACGTGTGGCTCTCACCTCGGCGCATCATCTAGTTGGTAGTTGTTGCGAGGCCCAACCCCGTCACCCGCGCCGCCGGCCGCGTTGCTGGTCCAGAAGAAGGAGAAGGCTGCTTGTACGGCAGCCCAGCGCCCCTGCTTGTCATCGTCTCCATGCAGCCGAATGGGCCATATCTGCAGGAGCACAGGATATATGACATGCGGCATGAGACGAGGCGGTGGTGGTGAATTGGTGATCGTGGAAAGTCCAAAAAGAGCGAGACGCGGGGTAGTGGAAAAGGCATACAGCGTACGGCAATCATGGGCCGTCGGCAATCTTCGTACCTGGTTGGGTGTTCGCGACAGGGCTTGGTCAAAGGAAAGCAGCAACTGCGCCGCACCGCCAGATGCGCCGCCAGGCAAGGCGCCCCCGCCAACACCCGCAGCGGCGGCGCGCGCGGCGGCACCGGCGCCTCCGGGTTGAAGCAGTGACGTCACCACACGCTCAAATAGCCCGGCGCCGCTGCCGGCACCGCCGCCACTCGAACCTCCGCCGCCGCCGCTACTGCCGCCGCCGCCGCGGCGGAGCCCGGGAAGCAGGCTGGCGAAGAAGCCGCCAGTAGAGGGGGCGCGGTGGAAGGGGATGGCGGCGGAGGAGTAGGCGCCGGCGCCGCCGCCGGCGGAGCCTGAGGGGCCGGCGGCGCCGCCATCGGGCCCACCTGGCATGTGGTACGACGGGTACGACTGCGAACGAGCGTCATCGTCATCATCTGACGACATATCAAGCGGTAAGGGGGATTCCGTCGGTGGCCCAAGGAAGCGACTGGCGTTCTTGGGTGCCGGAGTAGCTGGCGGCAGCGGTGTCACACTGTCCGCGCCACCGTCGACACCCGCCGCCGCCGCCACCACCCCCGCTGCGGCGGCGGCCCAGACGCCGCCTGCTTTCGCTGTCATGGGCCCCACCGGCGCCACAGCACCGTCCACCGACGCCGTCGTCCCCATCAGTGCTAACGCTTGGTCACTAGCAGACTGTGACACTGGCAACGGTGGAGCCGCCTCCATCCCCATTTCAGCCCTGACAGACGCCGCGGCTCCGGACCCCGAACGAAGCAACGATGCTGACGCTGAAGCCGACATGGCAGCAGCACCGCTAGCACTGCTGCGACCGAAGGCGGTGGCGGCGGTGGCGGTGTAGCGGCTGGTGAGGGTGGGTCGCAGCGTGGTTTCGGAGTGCAGGTACTGGTCGGTGTCTAGCTGCCAGAGGTGGGGCTGGTTGGGCTGCGGGACGAAGTTGCCCAGGAAGAGGTTGATGGCGTCCTGCTTCTCGGCGTCGGTGTAGGTGTTGGAGTAGAGGCGCCTGCGGAAGAGGGAGGTGGAGGAGGAGTTGAGGAGATGGGAGGAAAGGTGGCGGAGGGACACGTGATTGGGAGAGGCTCAAGGAGGAAGGCGGTAGAATGAATTACTAAACGATCGAGAAGCAGTGCATTTTAGTGAACTCAATAAGGGCAAGCTGAGAAGGATTGAAACGTACGGCTATCGGTATACGCTTACAGGGGGCAGGGGCTTAAGGCACAGATACGCGACCCAGCTCCTATCCCCAACACTCACTTGATGGACGTGACCAGGTCCTTCGACTGCGTTGCCGCCTCCCACTCGCCCTTCTTGCGCTGGAAGAAGATGGTGTGCGCCTCAGATCCGCCGTACTGCAGACTCAACACGTGGCCCATGGCTTCGTACAGCGCCATCAGTGTGAAGGCCGCACTGCTGTCGGCATCAATGTCGCGCACGTCATGCAGCCCCAGCTTGTAGAGCTGCCGACCAAAGGCAACCAAGCCAAACGCAAACTGCGCAACGTTGGTTCGGTCCAAGCAATCGATGCAGTTGGTACGGAGCACGCCGGATTGCCATTGTACGGCGCCGCCGCCGCTGCTGCTGCCGGCGGCGGAGGATCCGCGAGCGAGGTTGCCGCCAGCACGGCCGCCGCCGATGGGGGAGTTGCTGCCGGTTTGGGGCGATTGGGGGTGAGCGCGTTGGTGGAGCTGGTGGTGGGGATGAGGGTGCTGCGCATGGTGCTGAGTGTGCGCCTGTGAGGCGAATCCTGAGGAGGAGGTTGCGTATGGGTAGCCGGCGGAGTTGAGGCGGGATTGGGCGTAGGAGGTCCCGGACGCGGTCATGCCGTAGCCGGAGGACTGCCGACTCAAAGGAGGAGGGGCAGCACTGGTAACGCTGCTGATGCCGCTGCCGCCAGTGTTGCTGGGGCTGCCGACATCCAAACTAGGCCGCGCCGGAAAGAACGAAGCCGCCGTGCTGGCAACAGCAGCAGCGTTTGCATTCGCCCTCGCCGCCGCCTTCCGTGCACGCACCGCTGCTGCCGCCGCCTCCGCCGCTGCCGCCAGGTGCATGCTGCTCCCACTCTCCCCCGACGTCCGCGCCAGGCCCTTCCAAGACCTGCCTCCCGCCAGCCCCCCGCCACCACTCCCCGCACCAAAGCACCCCCCGCTGCCGCTGCTCATGCCGCTGCAGCTCCGTGCCAGCGTCAACGACGACCCCTGCGGCGACAACGGCCCACTGCCTCCCGCCAGCCCCACCCCTCCTCCCGCTCCTCCCCCTGCTGCATGTGCTCGGTGCAGCTGCTGCTGCTGTTGTCGCTTGGCTGCCGGCGCCGCTGGGTTGTGCACGAAGAGCCCCGTCATGTCCAGCGCCAGACGCGTGATGGCGGCCAGCTCGCTCAGCAGGTTGGCGCCGCTCTGCTTGGCGTGCTTGGAGAAGTCCCAGGGGCTGGGGGGTAGGGGTGGGGGGACGGGGAAAAGAATAAGACTGAGATGGTAAGGACAGGGCAGGGCAGGGCGGGGAAAGCCAAGGCGCTTAGGAGAGAGCGCGTTCTCCTGACACAGCGCATGCATCTACTCTCTTCCGGCGTTCTTCCCCGCTCCCCCCCCGCACTGCCTCTCACATGTACACGATGTGCTGCTTGGCCCGCCCCCGCTGCGCGTTCAGCTGCGCGATGGCGGAGGCCAGCTCGCGCCGCAGCAGTACCTCCCGCGCGCGCCGCTCCTTGCTCTTGAGCAGGTTGAGCACCACCGCGGGGGCACCGTAGCGGGACTCCAGGTCGGCGAAGTGGGCGGAGGTGACCTGTCAGCAGGTGGGGGGGCGGCGGGTGGGGGCAGGGAAGTGCGCAGGGGGGAGCCGGGTAAGGGAGGGCGCGACATGGAGTTCTGGGGCTGCACCGGGAAGACAGCAGTGCGGCGCCAGCCGGTCCTAGGTCCGAACTCCAGGTCCGGGTGCTCCTCCCACCTCGTACAGCGGGTCGAATTGCTGCAGGATGATCTCGGGTTTGGGGCTGAGCGCGGTGAGCTGCTGCGACCAGAACAGCGGCACGGAGCCGCGGACCTGCGGGGGTGGGGGCCAGGGAGGGATACAAAGGGAGGTACTGAAGGAGAGAGGGTTTGTGTGTGGAAGACGCGGCATGAAAAGGGGGGACTACCGGTACCAAGGCGGCCCTGACTCAGGAGCCCGCACGCACTCCCTGGCGGCATACCTGTCCCACCAGCTACCACCCCCCCAGCTAGACGTTTCCTCTTTACCCCCAGCTCCTCAATGACACCGATCCCAAATCCCGGGCGGGACCATCAGGGCCCGGCCCCTGGTTTCTGCCCCCCCCTCTCCACACAGAAGGGGCCCCTTCACACACCTGCACCACGGACGACAGCAGCGGCGTGCGCGTGCGGTAGTCGATGCCCGCATCCACCACCTGCGCGCCGCCATGCCACACAGCACACAACAGATGGGAGGGAGGGAAAGCAATGAGGGATAGTGAGGGGCGTCCCTGATGGATGGAAGCAAGACCTGATCAGGGAGGAAGTACCGGTACAATTGAGCCTCTTCAAGGGCTCCTTCCACCCCTCCCGCCCTCCACATGCACAGCCAGTTCCGGGTACCGTCACCCCTCCCTCCCTCCCTGCCGCCCCACCTGCTCCGTCTCCACCTCGTTGGCCACCTTGCCGCCATCGTTGATGCCGCGCTTGCGGAAGCGGGTGCCCGCGAAGTGGCGGGAGCGGCGCGCGATCAGCGTCAGCGTCAGCGGCCGCCCGTAGACTGGGGGTGGAGTTGGTTGGCAGCAGCAGCAGCAGCAGCAGCAGCAGCAGCAGCAGCAGCAGCAGCAGCAACCGCAGCAGCGGGGTTCAAGTAGATTAAGGAGTAGGAAGTGGGTGTAGAGTGGGGGGTAAAAGGGAGGGAGACAGGAACAGGGGGGGAAGAGGGTCCAGAAGGAGCAGGCGAGCGATATGAGAACCAACTACCAAGCTCCCGTCGACGCCATTGTCGACGCCCCACTCTCCGCACTGTTATGCCGCTACCGTACTAAGGCGCGTGTGATGTCTAGCATGCTGGTCTCCTCCCATGACCGGTTGAAAGCCCCAACCCCGACCCAGCTAGACTCACTGCTCAGCCGCCTCTGCTCCCAGAAGCCGTGTATCAGCGGCACCGTCCAGCGCGTGTTGCCGCCCAGCGCCCGGCGCAGCGCGGCAGTCAGGAAGGCGTTCCACGTGAACATGCTGTCGTACACGTCAGATGAGGAGGGGGTGGGGGTGGGGGAGGAGGGGGGCGAGGTGGGGCAGCTGGGACCTCCCTGGGGGGAGAGGGAAGGGCGGGGAGGAGGGAGGCGGGAGGAAAAGAGCTGTCAAGAGACGGCACGCGAGCGCGCCTGCATGGCCCCGGCCGCGCACTGCCGGGCGCTTCTGCGGCGCTCTCTAGTGGCCGCTGCCGCTGCCCCATCTGTAAAGCCGACTTGAGCACCTGCTGCCCAACCCCTTCCCCCGAGTCCCCCTCCGTTGCATAACTCCTACGCCCTACCGTGCATACCAACCCTGCTGCCCCCCCTTCACCGCGGCTCAGTTGCATCCCCCCCCGCCCCACCTGCTGCTGCTGCTGCGCCGCCTTGCAGTTCCGCTGCACGGTGTGCGCCAGGTTGTAGGTGTAGGAGAAGTAAAAGTGCTTGGTCAGGTCCATGCCCATCAACAGCTTCACGTATCTGAGGAGCGGGGAGCGGGGGGGCACGTGGGGGCGGGGGAAACACGGGGGGGGGGGTAATGTACATAGGGGTTGCTCGTAACGGGCTGTGAACGGGGGGAGGGGTGCAAGCAGAAAGATGGGGGTTACCGAACACTGGAAGCAGGCACCCTGAAGGGCCCAAGCAGACGGCGAGGGCGATGGGAAGAACCGGGATCCGGGTTGGAAACGGCGCTTCAGCGCACTGCCAGGTGCCCCGCTCTCACATCAAAACAGGCGGGCGGGATCCAGGGCGTCGTCGTAGAGGGGCATGGTGCGACATGCGGCATGTGTTTTTCCTCCTTGCTATCCATGGTGCAGCCTTGTCACATGGTTCGCCTCTTCCTCTTTCCTTCCCCCGCTCCTGCCCCCCCCCCACCTTCGGTAAGTAATTTGAGATGCGTGTTATTAGTGCTTCCGAATGCGCTCACTGCATGAGTCGGGATATGGGATTGGGATTTGTTGTTTCACTTTTATATAATTTTTTCCCCCCACCTCTTCTCCGCCGCGCCGCTGGGCTGCCCGCCCGCCGCCTGCTGGTAGCCCGGGTGCAGCGGCACCAGCGCGGTGGCCGCCACCGTGTACACCCTGTGGCCGCCGCACAGGCTGCCCACGTGGGCCTTGCGCGTCACCAGCAGCAGGTAGTAGGTCTCGGTGAAGCGGAAGCAGCCGATGATGCCGCAACACTGGGGAGGAAGAGGAGCAGCGGTTGGGGAGGGAGAATGAAGAGGAGGGAGGATGCAAGGGGGGGGGGGAATTTATATAATATATGCAAACAACTAGAGTCCCAAGAGGGAGGATGCAAGGGGGGGGGTAGAAGGGATATGGTTGGGGATTTGGTAGGGTCGGCGCAGCCGGTCGATACAGTAATGGACGGAGGAAGGTGTGCAGTAGAAGGGAATAGACGTATTAGAAGCTTTGCACTATAGCGAGGGCCCAGTCGCTCCAATTCCCTCAATCCGATACACCCCTCTGATCCCCCGGGACAGCGTGCGGCCTCACATGCGTGACGAGCTGAAGTCCGCCTAGGTGAGCGTTGGCCATGTGGATTTGCGACAGCATGGCGCGGATTTCCTCCAGGCTGTAGTGCCCCACCACCTCCGCCACATCTAGCTGCGTGGGCTCCTGCTTGCTGACCTGCAAAAGAGGGGAAAGGGGTTGTGAACGGGGTTGATGCGAGTTGGTCCGTTGGTGGCATCGGCATGGATTGGGGGAGGAGATGAACAAGACAGTGCGCGATGAGGCGAGCAATGAAGCTGCAAGGGGAGGGGAAGGTATCTTAGAGGTCGTTTGCTCAGGTGACGTCTGACATGGCAGGTATCTGGCTACCGGTAAACCCTATCGCGCTATCGGACAGGCACTATCACACGGCCTCTGTGGCTCACCAGTTGCGATTAGCTGCTTCTCCCAAGCAAACCTTCAAGCCTACAACTCGTACCCCTCGGGAGGTGATCTGAGGCTCTGTTCCTACCTTGAGAAGAGCTGCAGTTGCCCGCAGCTTGCAGTAGCCCACGATATATAGTCGCGCCTTAGTTTGATAGATGGAAAGCCTTTGATATGGTATGCCATTACCGTCCATCGTAAACCTTTACAGGAATTGCAAGAGCAGAGACCAGAAGAACTAGCTAATGCGAGCCCTGTTCGGGAAGATAAATTTCCAAACCATCTACATGCTTCCGAAGGAAATGTTTTCACTTCCAATTGTATTCACCTGCTGGATGAGAGCCGAGCCAGTGGTCAAGCATTGCACGACAATTGCACTGCAGTACGGTAAAGGCACCAAGAACTAAAGCATTTGTCCGCGGGAAAGCTTAGACCTGCTTGTCCCCATACACCTCGTGTCTTATACGTGTAGCACCTGGAAAGATGCAGGCCCTCCGCCGCTCCGCCTCCGCGGTCCTGACCGGCGTGCGCCGAATGGGAACCGATGCTTCGATGACCCAAGACAAGCTGTGGGCCCGGCACTTCCCTAAGCCCGCCGAGACCCCGGAGCAGATTAAGAAGAACATCAGCAAGGAGATGGTGGGCTTCATGCTGCTGGGTGAGTTCGGCGGCAGGCCTCTCGCAAAAGCAAACCGGTATTAATACAGAAAATGCTCTCCGGAACATGAAAGTCGCTTTAAAAAGCTGGCGCGTTTGGGAGCCTCTGTTCCGGCGCAGGTGTGATTAGCACACGTCTTACCTTTATGCAGGCCCCGTCGGCGTGGCTTTCATGCTCTATGACTTCGTTGTTGGCCTGGAGGAGGAGCACCACGTTACCATCCCACCGTGAGTATGATTGAGCAGCATGGGACCCCTGTACCGGCAGCAGGGACTGGTGATGCAGTTTAGCACATTCAGCCCAACTAGAGCGCTACTTCGTTTAGGAATAACGTTCCTGATTCATATTCACCGTCCGCTCGGCGCAAGGGGTGTTGGGTGAACCACTTGCGTTCCGGCTTCAACTTTTAAGAGAACAAGTTATCCACGTCCAGCGAAACTTTCTCCAGCGCTCCGCCAGATATATACTTGGACGGAATCTCATATTCGTTTGGATTGGCACAGCCCTTTTATGTAGAGGATTATGCCAGCTTGCATCCCGGATTACGCCAACTTGCTTTTTGCTGCGCTGTTCGCTCCTTTCTGCAGGTACCCCTGGATGCGTATCCGCCGCTTCCCCGGCATGCCTTGGGGTGAGGACGGCCTGTTCGAGAAGCACCCCCGCGTTGCTAAGGTCTGGCCCCCGGAGGAGGGCCTGCCCGCCAAGCACTAAATGGACCCTGATATAGCCTGAAGCTTCAGCTCGCAGCAGCTGTAAGCTCAGGCACGTGGCTTAATTCCGTTTTGCGAGCTGTTGTAGAGTAGGTCAGCATCGAACGAGGTGGTGGGATGGTAGTGGGTAGCAGCCTTGTGCTGTGTCACTGGGGTATGATACATGTATGTGTATGCGTAACATTCGCCAGGGCGCGTTTGGCGGATTGGGCACTGAGAGTGGGAGCTGGTGTGCGTTTTGCACGTAACCCGCTCACGCGTGTAAAGTATTTACTGGTTCTCTATCTAGCACCTTGCGCTATCCCGTGACATCCAAGTCAGTAACTTACCCGTAACGGCACTGGCGCCTTGTGCAATGCAAGGAACCGGCCTCAGCCTGAGGCACTTTTCCATTGACAAGACACAAACCCGTTGGATGTAGCATACAAACTGTCAAGAGCAGAGGTACCTTTTTACATATGCAGAAGGGGGCGCCGCCATGCTTCAGATGAGGCCATGCACAATTAGGCAGGTCGAGATTGAAACGATTGGATAAGTGGGCATAAGAGGTGCTCAATGACAGGTGCACAGTGCAGTACGACGGTATTGGAGCTGCTCCGCATGCGACGGGTGTCTAAGAAAGGAAAGCTGGTCCTTCAGGACCGTTGTGTGCTGCAGTGCGCATATGTTGCATGTCCAAAGGGGTTTGTGTGGAACGGGCACGTCAGCTGCATGCCGACATAGGAGAGTACAGCTGCACTGTGAACCAGCCATTACGCGCGGTATTCAACGACATGCTTTATGGTTTCTTCTCTACAGCAAAGAGTGAGATGCCGCAACTAGCCGAACCTAATGGCATATTATCTCTTTGCAGGCCTTAAGGCCGTGCCAAGGACAACCAAAGGCGTCAACGGCTGAAACCGTGCGACCTAGTTCAGGTGCTTGCGACCTAGTTCGGTTGCTGCCGACCGGAACCCTGACATTCATGTACTTTTTGTCTTTGCATTGCTATTTTTACCTACTGGGGTGCAGTTAGGCAATACTATTCCAATATGCCATTGCGGGTTTAGCACCAAATCTCGTGGTTTTTTCCTTCTGCAATTCTCCGAATCCCTTATCACCAAATAAGGCAAGCTCTGGTGGCTCTACCAAAGGAGGCAACAACAAATTATCGTTTGCTGTCCTTGCTTACTCAATGAGCCATCCTTATGACCAGAGAAAAAACACGAAGCATGTGCATATTCCTTGTGGCAATAGGAGCTCGTTTTGTGGAAGTTAGGCAGATGGGACACATTAGGTAAAAAGTGTACGAGTGACTCTCTGTCTCCCATAGGAAGGAAGAGGCAACGTTTTGCAGGAAGTAGACTAACTTTCCAGGACCTAGCTGCGACAGTAACATCTTGGCAACTAAATCTGGGTTGTTGGCTTGGAGCTCTGTCGACAACGAGCGATGCACAGTTGGGCCGACGCATAACTCGCCACGAGCAGACCTGATCACTGCACCTAACTACATATAATAGAATCCTGATTCATGAAACTACTAAAGCGGTGAGAATCTTTCGGTTCGGAGACGACCTCCCAACTGCTTATGTGCCATGGTCGCTTCGCCTCCCTGGCGAGTTGCCAACATTCATGCCTAAGGCTACAGCTTAAGTCACTGTCCTGATAGCGTCAATGCGACCTGATAGTGAGCAAAATGCAATACTCGCGATGCCAGGATTGGGCGTACAGCACACTGCGAACTACAGTGAGTGCGGCTTGTTTGCGCATGATATCCACATGCCTGTTCTTTACTACATCTCTGCAGGGTCTTTACAAAATCTGAGGCAAGGGCAGATGCTTCTGCCCCTGGCGACGGTGAAGACGAGGAAATGACAGACAATGAGGGCAGGTGGGAATTCCAGTCCAACAGCCGTTACGGCGCTGGCATCTATGTTGCCTGTGGACCTTCCGTCTTGCATAAGCCAAACTCCTTCACGCGCATTACTATGCCCATGTCCTCCGTCGCGCCATTGCCAAGCACCAATCCACACCGCTAACGTTCGGCTTGCTTCCTTGTTGCCGCAGTATTACATACAGCGGCGACGGCTACCCAAAGGCAACGATGGGCTCGGTCCAACAGCCCAAGACGCCTGGCTCGCAGCCTCCCGAAGCGGTCTTTAAGAGCGCAGCCGAAGTAGCGGGTCATCCCTGGGGCACGCCGCCTGCTATCTACCAGACCCACACGCCTCCCGCTCCGGCTGCAGTGACGGATGCGCAGCAGCAAGCCTCCGCATCGCTGCCAAGCCCGCCCCGAGATCACGTGGCCCCCAAATCCTACGAAAGGTACGACAGAATCCTGGAGATGGGATTTGGAGACCTTTTTTGGTTTGACTTTTGACCAACGGAAAGGGGCCCAGGAAGGCCGCCTCCTTAGGATCTGCAAGGCCCACATGCGGCTTAGACGTATGTGCGGGCGGTCATGGGGTGAGATCGCGGTGTGCGCATGTTGGGGCCCGGCCCACAATCGGCCAAACACTCCTGGAACCTGTTTTTTTCCACCGAGCCCACCGCACGCCGTTTGGTGGGCTCGGGGGGCACGCGGTTGTTCACTGCTGGGTTCTTTGCACTGTTTGAAGGCATGTTTGTGTGTTAAAATAACTGGCCACGAGGCGAAACGTACTATGTAGCGTACTATGTTTGTGCGAGTGTGTGGAGGGGTGCGCTGCCCGCCGTTCATACGAGGGCCGCCGCGCCCTGTGGTAGGAAGACACGCCTCACTAACATCACAACACATGCGCTTCTTCACAGCTGTCCTTCTTTCACGTTCCTGCAGTGTCACCATTGCGGTGGGTCGCAACTGCCCCCCGGCGCTCAAGCGTCCCGTGTGGTGAGACCGGGCCCGGCGCGTGGGGGGCTGGGGTGGGAAGAGCTAACCTGTTGTTAGGTATCATGCTAGTTGGTATCATGCTAGTTCCCATCCTGAATTTCGCGCTTGGCAGCGGGACAGGTGATGGGAACTTGCTAATTTTGATTAAGGTAGGCCGTTGGACCTACAGCCTTATGCGGTATTTAGTATACCTTACTGAGTTACAATGGGTGAAGTAGTGTATACTGACCTATGCCGCCGTATCCCTATGTACTGTTGTACAGGCACGTGACGGATTTCGATCTCCGCAAACTGATGTACAACGGCGCTATCAGCATGGTGTACCACGCCGTTGACAAGCGCTCCGGCATCACGGTTGCCCTCAAACTCTACAAACGAATCAAGCTAAATGAGATCGAGAGACACCAGGTAAGCGTTAAGTGTTACGACCTCTGACGTTACCGGTATAAACAAACTTCCATTTTGCCTCATGTGCCGTACGCACCTTGTGCCGTACCGCTCGATAGCAGCTCCATCGGTCTTTCCAGCTGACATCCTGACCCCTACCACCAACAGAATTTCAAAATCCATCCGTCGCCCCCCCTGCCTCCCTTCCCCGCCACCAACTCTTGCCCCAAACCCCAAACCCCACCCTCTAACCCCCCACCCCCCACCAATCCCCCCCTCCCACCCCCAGGTTGCTCGTGAAATCCGGCTGCACTCCGACCTGGCGCACGACTCCATCATCGCACTCTACGCCGCTTGGAAGGACCGAGCATACGTCTACCTGGCTCTGGAGTGGGCCCCGGGGGTGAGCGGGAGGAGGGGGAGGGTGTGGGGGCTGCGGGTGGGTGTACAGCTGCGGGGCGGAGGGAGGGCGGGTGGCGGTAATGTCGACAATGTGGCTCCTAGCCCACCCTGACTCCGCGCCTCCCAGCCCCTTCCCCTCCCTTCCCCTCCCCTCCCCGCCCCTTCACCTCCCTTCCCCTCCTCCCCCCTCACCCCTTCACCTCCCACCCCTAGGGTGACGTCTACTCCTACCTCAAGAGCCAGCGCGGCCGGCTGGCGGAGGAGCTGGCGGTGCCGCTCATTCTGGAGCCGTTCATGGCGGGGCTGTGCGTGATCCACGAGAAGGGCCTCATCCACCGGGACATCAAACCGGAGAATATGCTGCTCACCAACTCCTTCCAGGTGGGATAGGGCCGTGTGAGGCGGGTGGGCGGGTGGGGCGTGAGAGGGGGCAATTGGATCCGCGAGACGGTTGTTTACTCGGATGTTTGCCTGCCTCACGGATAACATCGTTTGTGCCCTAACCCTGCCCATCCCCGGCCGCCCACCACAGGTTAAGATCGCGGACTTTGGCCTCTCCATCGACTCCAAACAAGAGATCGCCAACACCAGGTGCGGCCGCCTCCCCTTGTCCCTCCACCCCCCCAACCCCGGCCTGTGCGGACTACCGTACAGCGTACACCCACCTCATGTACGGTACCGTACATCCACCCCCAACCCTCCCCTCTCCTATCCACCTCTCCAATCCACCCCCACCCCCCCCACCCCCCCCCAACCCCCTCCCAGGCTGGGTACCATCGACTACCTGGCCCCCGAGATCCTGGACTGCCCCGTCAAGCAGCACCCCGAGGACCACAAGGACCGCCCCGACACCGGCTACACCAACAAGGTGGACTGCTGGAGTGTGGGCGTGCTGGCGTACGAGCTGCTGGTGGGGCAGCCGCCCTTTGCTGCGGTGAGGGGGGGGGAGGGGGGGAGAGGGGGGAAAATTATATAATAAATGCAAACAACTAGAGTCCCAATCCCATAGCCCGACTCATGCAGTGAGTGCATTCGGGGAGGGGGAGGGCGGTGGAGGGCGGGAAGGGTGGGGAGGAAGGGGTGTGTTAGGAAAACTGGCCGTGGAGGGATGTTGGGGGGGTTGGAAGGAGGAGGGAGGTGTGGTGGTGCGGGTACCGTAGCTACCCCTCCCCCTTCTCGTGCCTGCCTGTCGCATGCTCCCACCTGCCTGCCCTCCGCGTCCCCTCACCCCACCCCCCTCCACCCCCCTCCACGACTCCCGCAGCCTACCGCCCAAGAGACTCTGCGCCTCATCCGAACCAAGAAGGTCGAGTACCCGGCGGGGCTGTCACCTGAGAGTGTGGACTTCATGGCAATGTAAGGGTCCTCGAGGAAGTGGGCGGAGAGGCGAGGGGTGGAAGAGCAGCAGGGAAAGGGGCGGGCGCCTGGCCGACCCGTGGGTCACACCCATGAACAGAAAGTACTTGTCTTTCGACATGCCCCTAAAACCACTAAACGCCTTATTGTGCATACAGCTGTCGAGGCACCTAGGCTTACCAGGTCCTGTTACTACGCATACTAACAGCAATCCCTCCTCCTATCCATTCCTTTCACAAACTCACGAAGGGCCTCTCCCTCTCCGTCGCCCCTTCCTTCCTTCCCTCCTGCATGCGCGTGCGCATCCGTGTGTGTGTCGTGCAGTGTGTTGGTCCGCGACCCCGCGCTGCGTCCCAGCATCGCCGAGCTGCTGGATCACCCCTGGATCCTGAAGTACAGCAGACGCGAGGGCGGCGGGCTGGCGCGGGCGCGCAACCGGCTGATGCAACGGCGGCCGACCGTGGATGGCGGCATGCTGCTGCGGTCAAACACGGTGAGAGCGAGGGTGGAAAAATTAATGGCTAGTGCAGCAACGGAGGGCAAGGGTGAGGGCGAGGTTTGGTGGGGGTGGGGTTACATGTTATGTTTAGCTTTTTTTTAAATTGTACGGTACTGGTGTTGGGGAGGAGTTCATGGTCCGATGTGCCATATATCGTACTTACGGGTCGTACCTGGTGCGCTCTCGTCAATTCGCCCACTCGCCGCAGACGGGCATGGCGGCGCTCTTCCCTGCCACTCAGCAACCGCACTCGCCAATGACGCAGCAGCAGCAACAGCAACAACAACAACAACAACAACTCTTCATGCAGCAGCAACACCAAATGATGTTCCAGCAACAGCAGCAGCAACCGTTGCAGCAGCAACCGACCCAGGCGACGGATGCCAACGCAACCTCCCACCACCACATGCAACCCTCCCACCCGCCAGCCCCACCCCACATGCTGGGCCACCCGCAGCTGCTGCACTGCCATACGTACGGAGGCCAGCCAGGCGCGTACGGACAGCTGAGTCAGCCGCAATCTCAGCCCCTGCCATCGCTGCAAGTTCACTCGGTCGCCTCCGCCGCGGCGGCCGCCGGCGCCGCCACGTCCTCTTCCCTGTCGGCGGCAATGGCGACGGCGATGGCGGCGGCACCGGTTAAGACCTCAACGCCCATGAATGGCGGTGGACCCAACATTGCGCCAGCGTCACCGCTGCAAGCGCTACCGTACGACAAGGTCAGTGCGTCGCCCGCTGCTTCGTCGCTGTCACCGCCGCCGGCGATGCCGCCGCTGGCTGTAATAGCGGCGGCCTCTCAGTCCTGTTCGTCACCCGGAACACCCGCCGCGGCCGCCTCCGCCGCTGCATCGGCTCAACATCACATGCTAGGATCGCCAGAGAAGAGTTTCGGCTCACTGTCGCGTAAGCTCAAGTTCTGGTCCATCGCGGCCAGCGGCGGCAGCGCAACTGTCGGCAGCAGCGGCGGCGCTGCAGCCTCCGGCGGCAGCAACAGCTCACATGTGACGTCCCCCTCCTCCGCCACGGCGACCAGTGTGTGGGATCAGATGTCTTCATTTGGTTCGGGCTCCGCTCGCGGCGCTTCGGCTGCCGCCGGCTCTTCATCTTCTTCGGCATCGCAACAGCCAGTGTCGGGCGGACTGTTCGCCTTCGCGCGGCTCGCCAGTGGCCGGTCTAAGAGTATGGCAGGCAACGCCGCCGCTGCCGCCGCAGCCGCCGCTCAGATCCGCCCTTCGTCGCCGCCTGCCGCTGCCACGGCGGTGCTAATCGCGCCGCCGCCGCCACTGTCGCCCAAGACGGCAAAGGCCTCGTCTCTTTATGCTGGCTTGAGCTCCTCTGACGTCAGCATGGGCGGTTGTAATGGGAATGGGCTGTGTAGCGGGTCGGCTGCGGTTCCGCCCGTGAATCTAGAGGCACCGGCATCCCCTTCAGTGGGAAACCGGTGTGCGAAGGCGAGTAGCTTTGCACGTGTCGGCTACTAAGGGGAAAGGGTGGTGCTTACTAGGGAAGAATAATATTGGTGCTTACCAAGTAAGGAAGGGGCAATGCTGCATAGGTGGGATCAGGTGACACCGAGAGCAAGTGGAAGCAAAAGCAAAAATAGGTGGGGAATTTAAATAGAGGGAGGGCAAGAGAGAGAGGGCAGCTCATGCGCCGGCAACGTGTTGGGAGAGATGTTGGGAGAGATGCTGGCAAAGGATGAAAGCCTAGTGATGTGCGCCGAGCGAGATACACGGAGCGTGCGGGGCCTCTTTTGTTTGTAGCATTGGTTTGGAAGGTATGTTCCTTTGCGTGCTGATTGTTATGGTTCAGGGCATGCAGCGATGAACCTTCGGATCGGTTGTTGCTTGCCGGATTTTAAAAGGGTCTGTGAGATACCAGTACCCGAATGTTAGGTCGTGTCCCCCATCATCTGTTGTCCGAAACGGGACGCAAACTGTTGTTTTTCGCAGGTGGTAGGTATGGGAGGCAGGTATGGCTTCATATTTGAGTGTTTGGATCCGGTTTGGAGGCAAACGGCTGGATCCTGTTCAAGGGATTCCAGGGGCATTAGCGAACGTGACCCCAAAAAGATAATATGCTACGAACGGACTAGGCGGCCTTTGAGTGACCCCCAACAGAATATGTCGAAGTTTTGCGGCATGGGGAGCAATGAAGTCATACGTCTAGGGCACGCGTGCTGCTGCGCTTACGGATTTTCTTCTGCAAGTTTAGAGTCCTTGCAGATTGGACGACTGGCCCTTAAACAAAGTTTCTCATGGAAAATAGGCCACAAACCGTGGCCTCAGTTTCTATCACATCCTGTATGAGAGTTTGGAGTCTTCAGTCCCCTGCCATGTGCGCTGCTTGATTCACTCAGGTGGAGGAGCAGGAGAGAGGCCAGTGTTTTTCCTAGGAGCATCAGTTTGTTGGGGTGTGAAGGTTCGCCGTCTTTGCAGACGTGAAAGGCGTGACAGTTTAGCAGAGCGCTTAGGAGGACGGCCGTACCTGTTGGTTGGAAAACTTGTGAGTTGCAGCTTTGCATAGCTTTTTGACATGTCGTGAACGCATGTGCAATTCCGTTCCGGGCGTACATTGGGGTCTTCGCCCCGTTGTTGTCTTCATGTGCTTCCCCGTACATGACGCATGCGCTGGTATGCTCGGACGACGGCGGGGAAAGAGGCCGCCAAAGTCCCGGAGCTAGCCTGTGGTGCAGGGCCGAATTCATGGTTTGGGGCTTTGTAATTGCTAGTTCTTGCTCGAGTTGAATGTGGTTCCAGCAAAGTTGTTTTTGTTTGTAGTTGTACGATATAAAGTATGGTACGGATGTGATATATCACGGGATACCACATACTATACCAGAGATGCAAGTTGCGCGGTTGATAGCATGTTTGTTGACACGAGCCCCCTGTGCTTTAGCTGCTTTTAGGCAATGGTAGTTGCCAAGAAACGGTATCGGGCCATGTGCCGGCCATTGGCTGTACCCGACGCCAGAGTGTTGCCACATTCGATGTTGCTGTAACTGAGGATGTAACCCCGATACCTGCACCCAGGCGGCCTTGTAGCGTCCATGCTAAAAAAGTTACCCACACTCAAGGTTCGCAGGCAGCGCTTGAGCGGTGCCTCATGTGAAGTCGACGAAAGGGCGACATGTGTCGGCGTGAGGGAGGGACTCTAAGAACCCCACCACCAAGAGCTCTCATCTTCAGGGAACATGCCCCTCGTCCCCTATAAGATGAGGCGGGTAGGCATGGCCAATAGGAAACCCGGCAAAGGAAGGGGACAAAACGCATAAGGAGCGTAGGCACGCATATTACAACGCACGGTTTTGTTACCAGCCAATCGGCCAACACAAAATAAATAACCAAATAATCCTTTCCGACGCCAGCAGTACCGACGGACGCATAGCATGCGGCATCCCAACAGTGTGGAATTGCACACGACAAGTCCAGTCCACGTGGCGCTGATGCGGCGGGACAGCAGCGACCCAGATGACACCGAGCAGGAAGGGCATCATCCTCCGCGTCCAGATGCCCAAATTGCGTCAGACTAATATTAAGTCACGACATGTCCAAGATCTGCGCTCGCAAGCCTAACACCAAGGAATGGTGGACGTCTTGATAAGTTAGCATCACGGAGTGCCGGGGGTTAGTCAGCTCACACGGTCACCACGCGGCCTTAGCCATTTAGCGGACAGCCACGCTAGGGAAATATACAAGCCAGTTCGCGGATCGCACGCCATCCAGGTCACCCCAACCGATTGCACAGCAGGCCACGCAAATAGGAAGTGGTTGCTACTATCCCATGAACCCGGCTACTCGACCCCAACCCAGTGCAACCACCGTGCGCCCCCTGAGAGCCGCTGTAAAGGAGCTATTGCTTCGTCCATGACCAACGTTAATGATCCCAACAAGGGCTACCCCGAGGAGAGCATGACCGATATGCATACAGAGGGTCAGATCAACCCTTTGCTCCTCCTACGCTTAGCTGCTTATCTCCTCGAGATGCCCCCTTGTGACAGAGCCCTTATGAATTGGCAGAGCGGCCACCCTTGCCGTCCTGGTTCATCTTTCCACGCTGCTTCTGGGGCTTGAACTTGCCGCCCGAAGCCTTACGGCGGTCCCTCCTCTCCTTCGTAGGCCACAGTAGCTCAGGGTAGTGGATCTGCAGGCATAAACCAAGGGGTGTAAGGGGAGTATCTAGGGGTACTTCGTCGTACTCGGGCCAAAAAGGGCACGCACGTAAAACCTTGATAGCATATTTGGAGCGCAACTATTTCTAGTTAGGTTCAGGTTATAAAGGCTTACCTGTAGGTAGGCGACGCGGGCTGCAACACCACCAGCAAGCAGCAGAATGGGCAAAATGGCTACGATTGCGACAGTAACGCTGCTGTTGTTAGGTGGCGGCACATAAGCCGTCTCCGGGGTGTCTAGGACCTCACGCGTTTCTGATAGCGCTGCAGGATGTGCACCGAACGGGGCAAGTCAAGAATCGATCACCATCAGTAGTGGGGACAAAATGCAGCTGAACCCACCTGGACCACGAGGATCATGCCACTGCGGCTGGCTTGTCTCCTCATTAATGAAGTAAAGCTGCTTGCTCTCCTTATCCCGGGCGACGTAGTACTTCGTCTGCGTGTCCCCGGAATTTACCTGAATATAGTGCTGACCATCCGAGTCCTTTTCAATACCCGGAACATCTACGTATCTCCGATAAATCTGCTGCGCAAAGCATCCACTAGACAAGCATAGCAGTGCCGCTACGGCCAATAGAACAATCTTTTGAGACACCATTTGTTTTACAACCAGCGAACGGTATATGCTATAGGAGTTTGTGTCACCAGGTTGTGATATCCGACATGCAGGAAGCGTGCATTGCATGCCGTACATGACTGGTCAACCGGTCGTTCCAAGTTTCACATCCAATCAATGGCATGTCACCCAGTATTCTTGAACCAAGTATAAACTATGTCCGGTTTATCGTTGGCAGCACGCGGCTGTAATAGAGTTACGGCTTATGGGACAACTGATGGCCAGCGGTCTCGTTAGCACCTTACGCCTGGCCCATTTGCAGCAGGTCTTGTTGACCCAGTCGTTGGGGAAGGTGTGTTCCTTATTATACTTAATAATAACGGGAGCACTAGGATTACTGCCTGTGTGTTTGGGACCTGGGAAAGACATACCAATAGTTTAATCGCAGGTGTCGGGCAGTGTGTTGCCAGGTTTCCTCTCTTCACGCCGGTGGGGTTGTAGTTCGTGTGGCGGAGCTGGAAGAATAAGCATAGACTTTGTCCGCGTTGGTTACCCCAGGCACCAAAGCAACGGCACCCCCTTACCACTCCACAGTACACGTAGTGGTTCGTTATTGACGGGGGCACGCAAGGGTGGCACATCACAAGCTACAAATACGCCATACTACAAGCGTTAGCCGTTTCCCATTTGAGCCCATGCGTGCTGCATGGCGATAAATGCCTGGCACTGCCCGGCTGCGTGCATAAGCCCAAGTGGCCCACATCAGTAGTGCGTCACACCTCAGGCTAGATGTGGCACTGCAATACACGTAGTTCTCCATGTTCTCACCCAAATTACGCCAAACGAACACAACCAAAAAAGTTGGAACCAACGCTGCTGGTGCAGAGCACATAATGCCGAAACATCGCCAGGGCCACCGCTGTACCATAAGGCCCACGATAGTTCAAAAAGGATGCAATCCATCAGTGCTTTACACTATATCTACTTTTGCTCCCATGTTTGGTCACATGTACATGTTCCCCGGGTACTTACCCGAATCCAGTAGCTAGCAATCCGTTGCATTAGACAGTTTCTTGGACTCGCTTGCCTTGCCGCCGTCACTCTACATACCGGTAACGTGCCTCCAAAACACACACGGGGCCCCGTGCCAGGGCCACTCCTGCCCCCGTGCGGCAAACACAGCACCCCAAACACCCATGCAGGACAACCTTAAATGAACCTACCTCCGATTATCACGAGATGTTGTAACAAAACCCCCACAAGCACTCCCCGCCCTGCATGAAAACCACCGCATTTAACTAGGGATGAATACATTCCCCGCCAGAGCGTCCGTCACGCACACAGCGCCCGTCCGACACCAGACGGGTCGTACAAATGCAGTCCGAACACGTGTCAAACACAAAAACCTTATGTTAACTCCTGCCGCAGTCCTGATACCAGCCGCCAAGCCGCCAGCACGTTCTCCTGCAGAGATATACCAGGAACCCCCACTGCTGCGGTATTCCCGACTGACGATGCCCTCCATGGGCTACTCGCCGTTAGACCTTGCCAGGTGGTAAACAAAAAACCATACGCAGCCGCTGGACGGCGGGTCCTGGAGCTGCACGGGGTGCGGGCAGAGGTGCGCCTGCGCGCGCTTGTGTGCCCGCACCCCGCAATCAGTCACCATGCGTACATGAACGCGTGCGGGCACACCCGCCTGAGCTAGTAAGGAGGAGGAGTGCTGCCGAGCAGACCTCATGCTATACTACTTGGTGCAGACCTTGTCCGAGAAGCGGGGACTCGTCCCGAACTGCAGTCAAGAAGAGACAAGGACAGGAACAGTGGGCACGGCGCAGGGTTGGCTGGGGACCGCCAAGGTGAGCAGAACGACCACGTGGAGCCACCCTGCGCGACATGGCGTCCTGAACCGAACCCAACCAAGGGGCCAATGTGGCACAGTGTGTCCAACTGCGCCCATGTATGTATCATTCGCAAGCTACCGCATCAATGGCAAGATGATAGCCCCATAGCCCCTATGCCGTACACAGCGGCCAAACAAGTCAGCACCACAGCATGCATTTCCAGTGCCACCCCAACCCCAACCCCGATCCCCACCTTGGGTGCAACCTTGGCTGCGAAGCGCGAGCTGCAGCCCACACCGCCCAGCTCCGCCACGTTGTAGCAGCCTGGACCGGGGGAGGCGGTCCCGAAGCCCTCAGCCGCTGCGTGGATGCTGCGGCAGGGAGTTGCAGGGTATTGGCGGAGGGGTAAGGGCATCTCGGAGTACAGAGTCTGTATAGAGTAGCGCCGCACAGGAGGGCGTTTAAAGTGAGGGCATTACCGGTATAGGGTGCAAGGTTTCAACCCAAGCCAGGAAAACCAGGAAAGTCCCCTCAAGTCCTCTGTATAATCCTCCGCGTGGTGTCACTCACTGTGAGATGTACATCTTGGACCCCGCGTCGCGACCCGAGGTGCCGAAGCGAGTGGCGGGGGAGCCGATTCGCGCGGTGGTGAGCGGCACGTCGTAGCAGCCGGGCCCGGGGGACTCGGTGCACATGGCTTCGTGCGCGTGGAGGGGCCCGTGGTAGCTGCGGTTGCATGAGAGGCAGGGTGGAGGGAGGGGAGCCGTGAGCCGCTGCAATCAATGCTTCAGAAACACACACCCACAATAACACCAACCCACCGACAGTTGGGTGTGGCACGGGTGGCATGGGTGGCACGGGTCCCTTTCTACACCCCCACCACCGTGCTAACCCAGCCATTCCACCCACCGGTTGGAAATGACGCTCCCCTCCGTCTTGACTCGTTCTCTGAGCCCAAAGGAGAAGCCCTTGCGCACGGCGCTGTATTCGCGCGGGTCCTCGGGCCGCCCGTAGGCGTCGGGCGCGGGTGTGGAGTTGCGCGCCACGTGGCTCAGGCGGCCGCCGGGGGAGGCGGCCATGGAGAAGCTGGGAGCCGCAAAGTTGTTGCTGGTCCTACACGGGGCGGGGAAAAGGGTGAGGAAAGAGGAGGGAAGGAGACGGGTTAGGGGTTAAAGCGGTTTAAGAGAGGAATTTTGATTTGAAACAGGTTGCGAACGGCTGTCATGAGCCAGGGGCTGCGCTTCCTTCCCGGCAAAAGCTTGTTCCTGCCTCTTTCCCTCATGCTTGCGCGCCATCTTACATTAACACATGCCGTGCTTACATCGGAATCCGCCACCCCCCCTTGCATCCCTTATCCCCCGGCTCCCTCACCTGTCCGCTGGCGGCAGCGCGTACGCAGCAGGTCCGGGTGTAGCGGGGCTGAACACCGTCCAATCTGTCCGGATGTTGGCTCCCATGGAGAAGGAGGAGGCGGTGGGGCGAACCGACAGCGCGCCAAAGTTCGGGTTGTGCGCGCCCGGGCCGGGCACCTCAACCTCGTTAGGTTTGGGGGTGCGGCTGGGGTTCGCGGGGCCGAACTTGGCGCCCCCTGCGGTATGTAGACAGGTGGGAGCGGCGTAGGCGCCTGGGCCGGGGGACTCTATGCCCTTCACTGCATCCGAGTGAAGCCTGTGGAGGGAGAGATGAGCGGGTGGGGATGGGGGTGCATGAGCAGGTGTGGGCGCGTGGACTTTTGGATCTTTGTTACGGGTTCCTTTGCCTTGCCGTGATGGCTGGAGAGAGAGCAGAAGGAGAAGAAAAGAGGGAGAGGGTTGTTCGCCGGGTTTAGTGTAAGGGGGGGGATATCCAGAGGGTTTGGCGTACAGGAGGGAATGGTTAGGGAATGGAGGGCACGGGGCGACGTCGATGTTACCTGCCGATGTAGGGTCCTTTCGCGTTGCCGCCCTTTTCAGGGTTGTAGTGCGCGGGGCCCCGAGGGAAGACCGTCACCTGCGAAGGCTGAGGCATGCTGGGGATGTCGTATATGGCGGCGGGCGTGGCACTGGCGGTGCTGACTGTGGGGTCGGCCTGCGGGGTGCGGCGAGGAGGATGAGGGATAGGGAGCCAGGCAGGTAAGCATTGCGGCGTTGAGGAAGAGGAGATGTGTAAAAGGATTGGAGAATTCGTAGGGATGATAAAGCCACGGAAATAAAATGGGAGAGCAGGAACGAGGCCATTAGGAAGAAGCTGGCATGCTGCAGGACGTGAACCGCACCTTTACCATTCTCTTACCGGCACGCTCACTACCGTAAGTGAACAATGCGCGTCAGCAATCAGTCATGCAGCTAGCCCGTGCGGCGCTTCCTCCTTGGCTTTGATGCGCACCCACCCTTCCGTTGGGGACTAAGGATCCACGCAGGTTAGCACATCGGGCTCCTAATTCCGCAACCACCCCAGCGGAAGGACCCCAGTATAAAACACATACCCCATTCATCCGCCCCATCTCTGTACCCTTCCACGTCAAACATGAATATTCCCCCCAAGTGTTTCTCATGTTATCCCCTCTCCGCTGCGGGTTCCACCTCGTACGCAGTCGCAACCCCACCTGCAGCTGCTGCGGCGTCAGGTGCGCGCGTGTTGCGGACTCTCGCGAGGCGCGCCCAAACGTGTAGCGCGGCACCGTCTCGTGTTGGGACATCTTGTCCGAGGGAATGAGGGGATATGCGTCCGGGCCTGCGCATGGGGACACACATATACACACACGATGCCATTTCGCCACCAGTTTTACCAGGATCGGTCCCAACATAGGATGCCCCCAGGCGCACAGCACGGGAGCAGGGAGGAACGGAATTGGACATCAGCAGCAGCAGGAGGGTTGTACGATGCGACCCGCGGGACAACAAGTGGATCCTGCGCTTGCGCTGAACCAAAAGGCAATGAGCAACCAAAACGCCACCACCCCAGTTGTTCCTGCCCGGATGAAGCAGCCAATACAAACCACCCAGTGGGCAGCCAGCCCCCTCCCTCCTACGCCCCCGCCAGGCAGCCACGGCACCCACCCGGCCCCTCTATGTGCTCCAGCGGGAAGCGCTCCGACTGCAGGGAGCGGGGGTCCCGCAGCGGCGAGTTGGGGTGGGCGCCGCGGGAGGCGGCTCGGGTGGTGCTGGGGGCCTGGGGGTCGGTAGGGGTGGCAGGGCGAGGAAGGGGAAGGGCAGGGTTTAATCAGGATGTGCGGGCGAAGCGGCGGCCCCCTGAGCCATGGGCAAAGCCGTCCATGCACCACCTCCTCAGCCCCCCTCCTCACCCCCCCTCCGTCCCTCTCTCACCGTGCCGAAGCCGGTTGACATGGTTGACAGCGTGGAGGGCAGGTCGTACACCGCCCCCGGCTTGCACAGCGACTCCTTGGACACCTCCGGCCGCTGGGCCGCGGTGCCGAACTTGGCGGACTTCTCGCTGCGCAGCAGCCGGTTGTCAGCGGTGCTGCGGGAGGCAGGGAGGCAGGCAGGGAGAGAGGGAGGGCCCGGGGGAGGGTGAGCGGGGGAGGAGGAGGTGTGTAGCCGGTAAGGGGCTTGCAGCACACTTACCAAAGGGGACCGGGCGGCACCCAGGAAACCAAACCAAAGTGAGGTGATCGGAAGGGAGGCCGCATCACAGGCCTCAAGACGCTCCTTCCAGTCATTCACGTCCCCCAGGAGCACCTCCCCAGGCACCCCCACATCCCGCAACCCTGCCGACAGCCCACAAGCCCCCCGCATGCGCGCCATGCCGCACCCCCGCAGCCCCCCCCCTCCGCATACCGGTAGGCTCCTGGCCCCGGAGTCTCCGGGTTGGGCATCCCCTGGTTGTGCAGGTTGGACATGAAGCGCTTCTCCTCCTGCTCGCGGTAGGCGGTGCCGAACACAGCGCGCTCGGAGGCCTGTGTGCATGTGAGAGAATCAAGGAGGAGGCAGGGGACAGGAAAGGTAGAGGGAGGAAGGAAGGTTAGGGTGTTGGTAGGAAGGTGGGATGGTAAGGGTGGCGGTGATGTGGCAGGTGGGGTGTGAAAGGGTGTGTGGAGGTACGGAATGGGCGATGAGTAAAGTGTTGAGGGGAGAAGTGGTAGAAGATTTGCGAGGAGGTAAGTAGGACGAGGTGGTGGTGAGATGGGCGGAGGAAGGCGTGATGTGTCCTCCCGTCCTGGAGCCACCGGTAGCGGCGGAGCTTAACCCCGCACGCATGGTCTTTGCATGAGGACCGTGGGTTCGTTCCCTCCTGTAGTCCTGACCCACCGATACTACTATTTGTATGGAAGGGTTGTAAGCTCCTGGCCCGGGGGAAGGTGTAGGGACGACCCATCCCTCTGTCCTGCCACCAATACTGCGACAATGAAAGTGAGCGGGGCAGAGGGGGGTCGCGATATCGTGAGGGACCAAGAGGTAGCGAAATGCTCCGCGATACACCGATACGTGGATTACGCAGGGATTTCGACTTGAATGACTATGATAATGGGCAGGGATGGACGATTACACCTCCGCAACCACGGTCGTAGCACAATTGCTGTTCGCTGTAGCCGTTTGCTAGGCAGTTAGGAGGCGGACGCTGAGCGGTAGCCTTGGTAGAGAAGAAATCTAATAGAGATATGCTGGAAACACACGCTTGCAGGGTCTCCAGGATAACTTCATCAAGGAGGAAGATATCCTGATTGGAACGACGTGTACAATTCGGAAACGGCTAGTAAAACTTTGCGGCTCTACAACCTTGATAGCAGACCGACTTAACCGACAGTACGTGCTTATCAACAGGCGCAACGAGCCTAGCTCGAAGCCATGCAAGTGCAACATTGCCCATTACCCCAGCACAAGACTTAGATAGCCAGCCGCCTTACCCCGGCGATGATGGTTTAGAGTTTGCTCTCCGCTTAGGACTTGCTGGCGGATTGGCCGCCGACCCATAGGAATAGTCGACGGCATCTCCACCCCCGACCGCTTGCTGCGCAGCCATTTCTTACCACAAAGCGGGTGCTTTGCGTCTGTAAGCGACTGGCCTTATTACTTCCTTGTCTAAAATTACTTCGAGGTGCTATCTAGTAAAGCGAACCTTGGAGGCACATAGGCAGATGCCAAAGCTGTACTATTGTCAATGCTCATATGCTTGTAATGTATTCCTAGCAGTTGCTGTTGCAAAACATGCTTGCTGTGCTGAAGTTATAAGCCAGATGCCGTACTAGGTACCTGACACACTATCCGTCCGCAAGGCGATGTATGTTCTCCATGGCTACATCGTCGCCAACTCTTTCAGTCAAGGCACGCATGAGCACTTTGACGAGTTACATTTGCTTGCTGAACCCGTTGAGACATAGATACTGTGTCTCATTGAGGGCAAACGTTAATGCTGGCCAATGGAAGCGTACTTATTCCGTCCCTAAGGCTTAAGACTTGATCTTTTAGTAATTTTGGCGTAAAGAGCTGCGGGACAAAGGAGCGTCGATGGCGCAACATGGCTGGAGACGGGGCTTGGAGGGTTGCAGGGCCCACGGTCGCGACGTACCATTATCTAAACGACTTATGTATCTGCCTATCCCCCCCAGTCTTATTGGGCATGCGCCGGCTTCGACAGTAACGACCCCTTGACCCAGGGGTCCGCCTGGGACGCTCGACCAGCACTCAGAAGCTGTGACGCTGTGTTATCCTAGTTACCCAGTTGCACATAAGCACTTCCTGCTTGTCAAGGATTTCAAGCATACTGTTCAAAAGGGGCCCGTATAAGCCAAACCTAGTACTCGGCTATCAGCTATGCTGATAGCCAGAGAAGGCAACGACAGGCGACGGCCTACCTTAGGAGAGCGCTGTGCTTCAATAAGCACCTTTTCTGACGCGCGACATCCACCTGTCGACAGCTTTCCCTCTCTGATGCACCTGTCCTTCTGCAACTCCTTTCTCTGGCATCATCATCACACCACACAGTTAAAGATGCACTAGACAATGCCCAGGGCACTTGCTTTTCCAAAGTACTGCAAGCTACAGTCCAATACCTTCCTCTTGGGCACCACAGAAACACACAACCACGGAACCATGTGTCTGCCTGGTAGCAGAGCACGAACAGCAGCCCCGGCCAGAACTTCCCGATCCTACCAGCCCACCATCCTCCTCGCAGCGCTTTTCGGTGCATGCCTTTCCATTAGCCTGGGAGATGCCCAGCAACCGCAATTTGACATGTCAGCCGCACTTGGCAGCGCCTCCTCATCACAGCAACAACACAAGCAGCAGCAGCAGCAGCCGTCTCAGCCCGTGTTTGACGTGATGGGGGTGCTGCAGGACCTCTCGGCAGCCTCCCAGCAGGGTACGTCAGGTGCACGCATCTTCGAGCGACCCACAGGCGAGGCCCGGTCGTCGCTGCGCGAAAGTAAGAAGGCAGTACTTTGCGTCTGTGTTTGGGTGCGTCAATGGGCGTATCATGCCTTGTCCCGGGGAAGATACTGCCACACAGGGACACGTTTCAGGCCGTTATGTCAGGCGATGCGGATGCATGCGGTCGGGCCGCCAGCCACATTGACCCCTGTTTCTGCGGTGGCGCTGGATCTGTCACGGCAACTGCACTGGCTCTCCTTCTTTCCTATGCGCATTCCCATCTTGACTATTAATCGCGCTCCACGGCCTGCGACACGCTCTTAGACAGTTCGCTTTGCTTCTACTACCCATCCACTCACTACCCGGCACTACCACACCCTTGGAAGCGTCACCACCCCATCAGCTCCCCCTGGCAGCCCCCCTCCCTCCTGCCCTCCTCCGTTTACCGATACGACCTTAGCCGAATTCCACCCCACCCCAGCCTAGCCCCTATCCTCCCTCCTGCCTTACCCTCCCCCCTGCCCGACCCTTCCCCTGCCTCCCAAGACACGTTGGGCCTGACCCGCGACGCCCTGGAGATTCCGCTGGACGTTGCTGACGCCACCGCCAAGTACCTGCAACGGCGCTACGCAGCCCGGAACAACGCAAGCAGCACCTCAGCTGCAGGTGAGCGAAGAGGGCAGCAGGTGGCGGCAGCAGCAGCACCGGGATACGGTAGCGTGCGGCCCTCTGTGTGAACACGGAAGGAACACGGGGATGGATCATCATGCATGGCCCGGGTTCGAGTTAGCGTGCATGCTGCATGTGCCGTGGGAGGGCAAGGGAGCGACACGGGGTGCTAGATTGGATGGCGTGTAGGGTAGGGGCCCAGAGACGAAGCCACGATGGAGGAGGAAGGGGTGAACGGGTTGTCACGAAGTCCATGCATGTGAGCACCCACGGGCCAGGTGCTTCCTTACGGAATTTCCGAAGCTCCAACCTCCGCAAGAGGTTTATGCACTGTTATGTTATTGCTATGGCAAAGCAGTACGTAGTTTCCGCCCTCTCCTTCTCATTACCCATCTATCGCATCCACTCCCACTCCCGCTCACCACCCCCCTTCCTGCCTCGCCCCAACCCCCTTTCCTCTCCCATCCCCTCCGCTCCCCCAGCCGACACCACGCAGACCTGTGTAGCTAGCTGCCCCTCCGAGCCGCAGCCCGTGTGCTGCCGCCGCCGGGTAACGTACAAGAACCTCTGCCTGGCTGCTCGGTGCTACGGAGAGTCACTGGCCGCCTGCACCCAGGGCCGGTGCCCCGCCCGCAACCAGACCACCACCACCACCACCACCACCAGCACAACAACACCAGCTGCTTCAGCGTCACCATCTGCAAGAGTGGCGGGAGCAGATACGGCAGCCGGTGGCGACCATGGCGGCGACCATGCTGGTTCGTCGGATGCTTCCGGCTCCGCTGTCTCTGCCCCTGTAACTACCTGGGGCGAGGAAGAGGAAGACGAGGAGGAGGGCGGCTCCGGCAGCAGCAACACGCAGATGCAACAAGCCTACCAGCCGGCTGATGGTGCTGCTGGTCCTGCTGCTGCTGCTGTTGACGCAGGCAAGAGCGGCATCACCCTGAAGCCCAAGTCCGGAACTCCGGTTACTCCTACCTCACCGTCCTCTTCTTCCCCTGCTGCTGAAGCTGCAGCGGCAGCAGTTGCAGGCGCCCTCCAAATCGAGCTCGCCGAAGCCGCATCCAAGACCAAGGCGGCGAAGGCCACCGCCAGTACGACGCCTGCCCCGAGTACGCCACCCCCGGCTACCCGCGTCAAAACAGGACCTCCAGCGGCAGCAGCCCTTGCCATCGGCGCCAAGTCCTGCGGCTGTCAGACCACCTGGGCGCCCATCTGCTGCGATGGCCGGGTGTTCATGAACCGCTGCACCGCGGAATGCAACGGCGGGCTGACCGACCTGAGCGTGTGTGTGTCGGGGACGGTGTGCTCGCGTGTGGAGCCCAAGGAGGAGGAGGGTGAGGAGCAGCAGGCGGGAGGAGGACAGGAGCAGCAGGAGGCGCAGGGGCAGGTGGGGCAGCAGGTGGTGGTGGAGGTGAAGCAGGGGCAGAAGGTACAGGCGCAGGGGCAGCAGCAGGTGGGGCAGCAGAAGCGTGTGCAGAGTCAAGTGCTGTCACCGGCGTTGGCGCAGCTGGATGCGAAGCAGGTGCTGCAGCAGCAGCAGCAGCAACAACAACAGCAGCAGCAGCAGGGTGTCCGGCAGGCCCCTCAGGCCCCACAGCAGGATGTACCGAAGGTGACGCGGGCGGAGATCAAACTGGCACAGCAAAAGTAGGGTTGAGCAGGGCAGGAGGTGCCCGGAGCGGCAGTGTTGTGATGCAGCAGCAGCGGTAGCAGCGGTAGCAGGGGCTGTGAGGTATCTGGCTTGAGGGTTGGGGCATGCAGTTGCGGTTAGAGTGGATGGAGAGGGAGGAGTGCGGGTCGGAGGTTGGGAGGTTGCAAGGCCTGCCTCGCGGGGGAAGTTCAAGAGCTGCGGGGTAAGGTACTGGGGAGGGATGGGAGTTGTACGAAGCATTGCGTGTTTGTAGCAGAAGCAATGATGCTTGGGAGTGATTTTGTTTGACGGGCGCAAGACCTGCTTTGACAAGAGGATTGTGGATACTTGTGCCCAATGTAGTGTGTTAAGAACACTCGCCGCGAGGAGGAAACGTATGTATGTGTGTGTGGGGGGTTTGGGTGTCAGTGTCGGATGAGGCTCTAGATGACTCCTTGCTTGCGCTGGGGGGACGTTCAGGTGGGAGATGGGCGGTGTGTTACCGGTATGCAAGTTGTAATGCTATTGAAGTTGACGGTACTGCGTACTGTGCGCGCTGGGTTTGGGATTTGAAAAACGCAAGCCTGAGGGGTGAGGGGTTTGCCCATTCATGTGCCGGACGTGGGCCCTAAAGGCGCCCTGCACCTGATTTCAAAGTGTCGCACAAGTACGGGTGCTCATGTCGACTTGCTTACTCATGTTACCAGGCGGTAAGACTGCGAATTGGTCTCGGACACTGCTTGTAACACTATGTACACACTTCTGCCTCATGTGCCCTTGTACCCTCCGTTGTACTCCCAAGCAAGCTAAGGCAGTAGCGAACACGTCCGCACAAGCTTTTGCTCCCCCTTCATCCCTTGCAACGCTCCCTCCAAACACTCCTTCCAACCGCTCCCTCCAAACGCATCTCTCGCCAGCTGTCAAGGAGGACTGTGACCGCACGGGGACCTCACCGACCTTACCATGAACTGTGAACCGCCACCATGAACCTCCCCCGGAGCTTAACTGCCTACCTACCAGGACAGCACTGCGCACAAGACACCTCCAAGCCACCAGCGACACCGCCAATAACCGACAGACCCATGCACGCACGCATGACGTCAGCACCCATTCTCTCCATCTCCAAGACTGTACGCTTCTACCCGTACCCCCATCGGCCCCATGTGACCCGTCCCGCCCATCTGGCCTCGTCCCTGCTCTTACTTCCACGCCTCTACCGCTTGCCCCCATGCTGCCAATGACTCCGCCTGTTGGTCATGATCTTGGTCACACAGCTGCCCCAATCCAGCACCTCCTCCTTCTTCAACACACGCCAGACCTGGTGATGCTGCTGATGCTGCTGGTGGGAAGAAGTTTGACTGCCTCCCTCAGCCGAGCCGACAGCGGCGCCACCCTCGCCGCCGCCCAAGCTAACCGCCGCAACCGCCGCAGCGGCTGCAGACGCCGCAGCTGCCTCCGGCGCCGTCAGAGCACTGCACTCGGCTCGTACAAAGTCGCCCTCGAGCAGTTGGTACGGCGGCCGCTTGAGGACCTGTACGGCAGTACGGCAGTAGGGCCGCAGTACGGCAACACACAACTTACACGCAACGCGTGAGGGCGACTCAGGAATACTACAACGCAGGGGCAGATGGAGGAATACGATACCATGTACGAAGTATTATAGGGCCTCGGAATGACTAGCAGAAGCGCTTAAAGGCATATGAGCCAAGGTCCCATAAGCTCCCGCCCCTATGAGCCCCTATGACATCTCGTACAGACCCACCACCCTCATCTAGCCCCTTGCAGGTGAGCCCCATAGTTGAATGACCGTTACAATGATTCCCTAAAAGGGGACACGGGTGATGAGCCCCCCATGTCGTACCCCATGCCGTACCTCAAACAGATCCACGATGTGGCTACCGGGTTTGAGCAAGATGCAGTCGCGCAGCACGCTTGGGTTGGCCCCCTCGGCCGCCCGAGCCTTGGCGTCGAGGCCCGAGCCCAGCAAGCCGCCTGACGGGGTTTGGGTTTGGGTTGCATGGCAGGGCATGGTAGGAGGCGGCGTGTGGGGCGAGTACGGTAGTGTGTGGTGCCTTGTGTGGCGTGGTGCGAAGGGGTGTGGAACGCAATACAGCAAAGTAGCGTCACAATACGTTCCGGTTTACGCAGCCGGTTTCGTAAACATAAACAATCACACGCACGTAATAAGGCACAACCCCCACCTGCTCCGCTGGATATGCCCCGTGCCGGCAGTGCTGTGCACGTCTCCAGGTCGGTCACTGGGAACACGGGGCGCGGCGGGCGCATGGCGACAGCGCACGTTAGCGCGAGTGCCGCCCCCGTACTGCCGTACCTGTTGTGGCAGTTGCAGTTGCAGTCGGTTAGTGCTCATTCATTTGGACTGCTGTAGCAAGGAAACTAACGAGACTGGATTGAACAGTAATAGTCGTTTCCATGCGACTGTCGTTGCTACCGCCACATGCCATTCGGCATCACTTCCGTACAAAGCCGCCAACCGCCCTTCACCTCACCCACCTGCCCAGCACTGCGGTGCGCACCCTGCTCAGCTGCTCAGCTAGCTCGGGAGAGTCTGTTGGTGAGGGAGGGTGAGGGAAAGGAAGAAGAACTAGTCGGTAAACGACACAGCAGTTGCAGCTTGCGAGGTCGGAGGACAGGGGCGTCAGGGAGGTCGAAGCAGCATGCAAGCGGGTGCCCCCCCCTCCTCCGCCCAACTGTACAACGGTACGAATACCAGCAACAGACCTACCAGAAACTACGGCGGTGACGTCAGCGGATGCATCGTTGTACGACACCCTGCCAGTACGGCGCTGGTTGCACAGCCAGCGCTCCGTAGCTGCACTGACGGGTACGGCGGGATCGTACGGCAGGGCCTGTCGTACCCTGATGATGTGGTCCGGCGATGAGGCCATGTCGGCTTTGTTAAGGGCGAGCAGGATGGGGAAGCGGGCCTGATGGGGAAGGGGGGCAAGCAGGGTAGGAGGAGCGGCAGGGGTTTTACTGGTGCGGTTGGATGACTGCGGAGCACGGCTTGGGGAGTTGCTCTGGAAATTAGTGGCACGTGGCAGAGGGGAACAGAACGCCCGCTTACAATTTGGAACCGAACTAACTAACCAACCAACGAACCAACTGACCTGCAGGAAGTGCGCCACTAGGCGGTGCAGGTGCGCCTCCGTCCAGTGGGCCAGAGAGGCGCCCTCAACCACCAACGAACCAACCGACACGCCAACCCTGGTCGGGGGGGTGCGGTTGGGGGTGGGTAGGGGTGAGGGGTTTGGAATATTGTGTATGGTAAAACATCCACTTCTGACAGCCGGTTTCAAGTAACCCCATACACACTACCCACCACCCCCTCATACAGCTCGTCAGTTTCCTCTCCCCCCCTCGTCATCCAGTTTGTCAGTGTTTCTTTATTTTTACCCCCCTCCCCCCCCCACCTCGCCAGCACCTCCGCCACCAGCGCCCTGCTCGCATGGTAGCCGGAGAAGAGCTCGGGCAGCCGCGAGGGTTTGCGCAGTACGAACGTCCACTTGGATCGCACGTTGTCGTACACCCACCGGTGCAGCTCCTCGCGAACCCAGCTGGGGGGGGGGGTGGAGGGGAAAGAGGGGGTGAAGGGATGGGGATTACGATGGATTACACCATAGGAAACCATGGGAGGAAGGTGCGGGAGAGGGGCGAAAACGGGACCTATAGAGGGCTGCGGTGTGCGGCTTGGGGGAGCCAGGCGCAGGGGAAAGGGCGAAAGCCGGGTGCGGATACATGACAAGTAACGGTAGACCACTCGCAAAGACAGTCCGTGCTGGGATGCATCCCCCCCACCCACCCATGCAACCCCACTCACCCCACATCATCCAGCGGGTCTCCCCCCTTGGCCGGCCCCCTCCCCTCCACTCCCCCCGCTCCTCCCCCCGCCGCCCCCGCCTCCGCCCCCTCCACCGCCTCCAGCAGCTGACCCTCCCGGTCGGTGGTGCCCGAAGCATCCACCACGTGAATCAACACGTCCGCGTCGCACAGGTCGTTGAGGAAGGCGTTGCCGCGCCCGCGACCCTGGTAGGCGCCGGGGACCAGACCTGCCACATCCTGTGTTGTTGGGGGGGAGGTAGGGAGGGAGGGAGGAAGAGGGGGAGGGAGGGAGATGGGGGGGAGGGAGGCGCCATTGCCGCATTGTTAGGTAAGCGACCACCATTGGCCCTGACAGGGTCGTATAACTTCACAATGAGGTAGGCAATGAAACATCTCGAACGCAGGAGCAACGGAAGATGATGGTGATAGCGTCACACGTGTTAACCCCACCCCGGGGTTTTGTACCCCCTCCCCCCCCGAATCCCACCCCAAACCCGCACCCCTCCACACCTCTTCACACCCACCTTGACCACCACCGGCACCTTGCGCCACAGCAGTGGTCGCACGGGTGGCGCCGACCAGCCCGCCGCACCCGCCCAGCGGCGCAGCGGGTCGATGTTGGTGAACCGTGGGTCGGCGCTGTCCAGGCAGAAGGACTCGGAGTAGCCGTGAAGCGGTCTGGTGGGGGCAGGGTTGGGGGGCGGTGCAGGGTGCGGCAGGAGGAAGGGAGGTTCAGGGTATCACGAAGGGCTATCAGAAGGGCGAACAGGGCCGTTAGTGAGGACTGTCATAACAAACCCGTGACAACGCCCTCACCCATACTTCACTCACTCACCCCTCCCCCCCCTCCCAGCCCCCACCTCGCGGCCCCCCGCCCCAGTCCCAGCAGCGGTGCGGGGTCGGGCACCAAGCAGAATCCCCTCCCGATGTTGGGAGCGATGGTGGTGAAGGGGAAGGCGGCCACTCGGGCGCCGTCGTCGTCACTGACCGGGTCTGAGGGTCGGGGGGTGGTGTGGGTTGGTGCGGAGTGGGGTTGGGAGGGAGGCGGGGGTTGGGCAGGAGAGGGGCGGAGGGAGGGGCTAAGGGCGGAGGAGGAGGTGTTGTGCGTGTTGTGTGGAACGGGAGGCTGCGAGATGAGGGGGAGGAAGTGATGTGTGTTGAGATGCTGGGGCTGTACACACATGATGCCGCGCACCTGTCACCGCATTGAAGAAGGTGCTCTTGCCGGCGCTGGGCTTCCCCACCAGCCCCACCACATAGTCCCACCGCCCCCGCTGGCTCCACTCGCTGCTGCCGCTGCTGCTGCTGCAGCCGGCATCCGCGGCACCCGAGCCATGCTGCGCAGCCGCTGAGGAGCCGGCGGCGGCGGCGGCACTGGCATCACTGCTCCCATCGCCCCACTGCCGCGGCGGAGGAGGAGAAGGAGGCCACAGAGGAGAGGGTGTGGAGGAGGGTGTGTTAACAAGGGGTGGACGGGTGTTGGTAGCTAGGAAGGGATGCGTGTTGGTTTCACAACCCGCATCTTCCTGCAAGCCCAGCGCGGGCCTAACTCCACACCCCCAACTCCTCCCAGCCCCACCCTCCCTGCATGCCTGCCTGCGCCCCCCACCCACCAACCCACCTGCAGTTCCGCCGCCGCCGCCTCATCCACCTCCGCCAGACCCGCCGCCTCCGCTGCGCCCGTCCGCCAGGGCGCACTAGCCGCCGCCTCCGCCACCGCCGCACGGATGAGCTCGGGGTCCGCCTCCTCCCGCAGCCACCACGTCACATTGCCCGCGGCGCCTGTGGCGGAGGCAACACCCAGAGCCGTCGCGCCCCAACCCAGGTTCATCACACCAGGACCGGCGGCAGCTGCGGCTACCGCCGCCGCCGCAGCAGCCGGCGTCAGCATGCCGGCGACTGCGGCGGTGCCGCTGCCGGCAGCAGCAGCTGCAGCAGCAGCTGCAGATGTTGTTGTGCTTGTCGTTGACTGTCCTGTTGTTGCTGGGGTGGTGTGGTGGGGTGCTGCGGCGGAGGCGGGGAGGGAGGTGAAGGTGGAGGTGGCGGGGAAGGAGGAGGAGGTGCCGGTGTCCCTGCGCTCGCCCACGTCGGGAGGCAGGTGGGTGTCTATCCACTCCTTGGCCGCCTCGACCACCTGTGCGGCGGTGGTGGCGGTGTGTGGTGTTGTGGGGGTGGGTGGCAGCATGCAAGGGAGCCATGCAGGGATGGCAGTCAGAGACAGACCAAAATGAAACCAAACCGATTAGAGAGAGACCAGAATGGGAGTTCCCATTGAAACCCGCAGGCTAGGGCAAGGGATGGGGAGCGGTGCACGAACAACAAAGGACAGCGGTCCCCTCTCCCCTCCCCCTCTCCCCCCTCTCCCCCTCTCCCCCTCTCCCCCTCTCCCCCTCTCCCCCTCTCCCCCTCTCCCCCTCTCCCCCTCTCCCCCCTCCCCCTCCCCACACCTGGAACACGCAGCCCGCCCCCGAGCCATCCACCGCCTCCCGCGCCGTGTCCGCTATGACACCCGCCAGCGCGTGCCGCCGCGGGTCGTTACCGCCCAACGGGCCTGCGGGGGGAGGCGGGGGCGGGGGGCCAGGGACCGGGACAGGGGCGGGGCGGGGCCCCCGCATGCGTCACCACCGAGGATAATGTCCCCACCAAAACGCCACTTCCTTGGCCAAGGGAGGTAGGGCTCTAGGGCCACACAGGCGGCCTTATCCGTAATGGTCAGAAGCGCTCTCGGCGTTGAGTATGCCAGGTGTTTGCTTTCAGCGACCGGTAACCCCCCCAAAGCGACGTCGCCAGCTTGATGCCCTACCCGTAATGGTCACCAGCGGCGGTTCAGTTGCCGGGTAGCCCGGCGGCAGGGTGAAGGTTAGGGTGAAGAGCCGCGAGGGAGGCCCGGAGGCGGGGGCGCCGTCCTCCTCGCTGGCTGCTGCGGCTCCTGGTTCCCGGAGGTGGATGGTGAAGCGGGGCGGGGCGGCGCTGATGTGCCGGTACTCCTCCATGAAGATAGCCTGCAGGGGGGGGGGGTAAATAGGGATACATGCTCCACATTAGGGGGTTGCGGGTGGGGTTGCGGGCGGTGGGCGTGTGTGTTTCACGCAGGTGGTGACACCGGTACGTGAAGTTGCGCGTAAACTGTGCTGGTGAAGGGCCAGGGAGAGAGAGAGAGTTGTTGATGGACGCAAAGCACAAAGCCCTATTTGAACCCAGACGCCAGCACCAGGTCTTCTGTCGCACCACCCCCTGCAAACCCTACCGGGACCCTCCCCTCCCCCGCATGCGCACGCAGCCCCCCCCTCTCGCACCTCCAGCGCGTCCATCTCCTCGCGCTGCTCCTCACTCGCCTCCACAGCCGGCACCGCCGCAGCAGCAACCGGGGCAGCAGTAGCCGGTGGGGCAGCAGAGGGGGTGGTAGGAGCTCCTTTGCCTGGAGCCCCTCCCGCGGTGGCAGGTGTAGCGGCGGCGGTGGGAGTAGCAGCAGCACTGGTGGCGGCGGCAGTGGCTGCGGCTGCTGCTGCTCCGGAAGCAGCACCGTTGCGGCTGGCTGTGGCTGGCGATGAGGATGACGAGGGGGCCTTGGGGCTCGGCGCTGGCGCCGCAGCCGCCGCCGAGGGTTTGCAGCTGCTGCTGTTGCTGCCGCTGCTGCCTCCACCACCGCCGCCATCGCGACCGCTGCGGCCGCCTCGCGACGTCGCTGCTGCCGCCGGGCTGGTGGCGGTGGTGGTGGGGGCAGAAGTCCTGTTGCTGCTGGTGCCGCTACCCATACCACCTCCTCCTCCCACTATCAGTGGGGCTCGAGGCGCGGGAGCGCTTGGAAGCTGGCCGCCTTGCCGCTGCTGCGGCTGCGGGTGCTCTTGCGGTTGGCGAGGTGGGGGTTGCTGCTGCTGACGTTGCTGCTGGTGCGGCTGTCTGGACGAAGCACTGGAGCCCCCCGAAGTTAAGCCATGCTGCTGCCCAACCGCCGCTCCCGCCGCCCCTGTCCCCGTCCCCTTACTAACCGCGAGGGAAGAAGGCGGTACAATGCCGGACAGCGCCGCCGCAACAGGGTCCCTAGCATCTCCTCGTCCTCCTCTGCCCCCGCCTCCTCCACGGCCTCCGCTGGCCCCGCCTTCACCTCGTGCCTCCCGCCTGCTAGCACCAGCAGCATTGCTCCGTCCCTCACCGCCACTGCTACCACCACCACCACAACTAGGAGCGCTGCTGCTGCAAGCTTGCCGTACGAAATCCAAAACCGCAGCGGTGTGTGGGGCCTTTTGCGGCAAGCAGTGCCCCAAATCATGTTCCAAAATCGTACGGCAGCCCACTTGGAAGCAAGCCGCTAGTTCCAAGGAATCAGCGTACGGCACTGCCACGTCAGCGGCGCTGCAGAAGTGCAACGACATGTACGGCAACTCCTTTGCTAAGCGGTTGATGATGGCGTCATGGGGGGTGCTGCTACTGCTGCTGGCGCTGTTGCTGCTGTTCCTGTCTGCGCTTCGCTTCTGTGGGAAGGTTGTTGTTGTTGTTGTCATGCCGGTTGGGATTAACCGCTCCAGGGGCTGCGGTACGTAACCGCCGGCTAGGATAACGAACTTGAGGCCAGGAAGGGAGGCCTGCAGGAAGTTGAAAGGAGGTAAGATGAAAGGCATGAGGCGAGGAGATCTATCATGACACCAGCGTCCTGCATCGTTATCCGACCCACGGGCGACCCACCGGGTCAGCGTGTGCATAACATGCCAGCAGCAGTGCCGCCGCTGCGCCGTTGGAGAAGCCTAGGAGGCCGTCGAAGGGGCCGGCGCGCCGCCACTCGGCGACAAGCAGCTGCGAGGGGGGAGGGGAGACGAGGAGGAGCACAGCAGAGGCGGTGAGGAGCACGGAAAGCAGGCCACGGAGCCATTTTTCCCGATGTGGAATGTTACATTTTTCCCGATGTGGAATGTTACAGGTTGTAATGTTGTGGAATGTTCACAAGAGACGTCATGACGCCATGGCGTTTCATGAGGTCGTGACGTAACCATGTAACAGGTTTCTGGGGTCCCGACGGCGCACGGCATGGAGGGTCGTCGTCATGTCCCGGCGATACCAGCCCAGGTTCCTGGAACGAACCTGGAATGATGCCTTCCAGTCCCGCACGATCTGCTCGTCCCAACCGTCGGGTGGCAACGGTGCCGTTGTTGCTGCTGTGGACGCTGCTGTTACTGCCATCGCCGCTGCTGCTGCTTTTCCCCTTTCCCGGGTTTGCTGGTCGGGGTGAGCAGCACTCATGCCATCTGAATCCGGATCCAAAACGGTTGGATCCTGCTGCGGCAAGTTCCAATGGCGCCACCAGGTTCGCATGGCCACGCTTTGACCCTCCGACAACGGCAGCTCATGGGGTGCGCTAGCAAAGTGTAGGTCCTGCAGTACAATGTACGGCAGCAATGCATCGCTCGCGACATGCGCCTTTATAAGTGCCCCGGCTGGATTGTGAGACTTAGATGCTGTGCAAAAGGTCAATAATTATATAGATGGGTTTGTGGCAATATGGTTTGTGGGAAAGGGGAAAGGAGGCGGAGGGAGGGATGAGGAGTACCGCGCTTTTTGCAGAGGTTGCTAGCAGAGCTACTGCCTACTGCTGGGGCACACTGCACATGGAGCCGCACATGTCTTCAGAGCATGCTTTTAATGACATTCCTAGCGGCCCCATGACGCCACCATTCCCCTTGCCGACGAGGGGGGCGGTTGGGGAAGGAAACACGCCCTACGGCCCTAGCTCTCACCGCAACGCCTGCCAGTTTTCGAGTAAGGTTCCTCAATCGTTGTGAAAAGAGCTCTCCATCCTGTCGGCTGCCGTGCAAGCAAAGGATGCGAGCACGGACTCCGCTGTCCTTTGCACCTCGCGGAGTCGTGGAATCCATTGCTTGCACCTTGACTGTTAAGTTGGTGTTGCTATCGTCAGCGGAAAGGCTCAATCAGACGCAATAACGGAAGGAAATCCATTTGTCTACAGGTATCACTACCTGGCAACTACAGTGCGAAAGTTTCTGATGTGCGTAGTAAGTACGGCGTCGGCGTTGGGCGGCAAGCGGGACGTTAATTCGGCCATAGCAGTGCAATAGCGGATCTCTAAACGTGCTACTGGATCAGCAATTGCTCTGTCACTGCTGTGTTTCGCGTACATACTGTGAACTGTCCTTGATCCCATTGCATTGGCACCCATCTGTCACAGGCTCGCTGCTTTTAGCCAACCCAACCAACATGGCTACAAATGTTGTCGCCGCTGCTAGTAAAGTGGATATCGACACTAATGTCGAGCTGACGGAGGCTCGCGATGTGGTCCTTGACACTTCCGACGAAGAGGAGATGGCCAGCAAATGCTCGGATGTAGAATTCGTTCTTGGAGACAATATAAGCGCTGGCACCGGAGTGCTGCATCTTACAACACGGCAAGTCGCTGCACCCATCCCATCCGCAGTGCCATCATCCCCTGCTATCCACACCTTGTTACTCGGCCGCAAGCAACCATTTACCTTTCACACAACCACGCGGCCTCTTCACCTCACGCAGGAGAGTTGTGTGGGTGAGCTCCCAACCCGGCGGCCCGGCTTTCTCATTGCGCTACCAACAGATTGTCATGCATGCCATCTCGCGAGACCCCTCCTCCTACGCCAAGCCCTGCATTTACCTTCAACTCGACGAGGGTTCAGAGGACATGATGCAGCAGGACGAGGCGGAGGAGGACGGCCCGCAGGAGCAGGCGGAGGTCTCCGCGGAGGTTCGGCTGGTGCCGGCGGAGGAGGCCAAGGGTGGGTGGGGTGCGGGGGAGGTGCTGGTTGGGAGGAATCGGGGCATCAAGCAGCACCCCCCGGCGTGGTTATGCTGGCTTAATCAAAGGCGATGCGAGCCGTGCGCGGCACCCCCGTCGCTGCTGCTGCTGCTTGCCTGACAGCGGCCCTCTGGTGCTGTCACACATGTCTTCTTGGTGCTGTCGCCGGGGGGGGAAGGGTTCTCTTCCCTACGCCCATGCTGCTCCCCATGCTGCTCCCCATGCTGCTCCCCATGCTGCACCCCTCCGACGTCTCACCCTTCACCCTCGCTGCCCTGCTTCACCCTCCTGCCGCCGCAGTTGAGGAGCTGTTCAAGGTGCTGTGCGACTGCGCGGCGCTCAACCCGGACTCGGAAGTGGAAGGTATGTGCGGTCTGTACCCAGGAATTGCCGGCAGCTTCGGCGCTGAGGAGGCGGCTCCCTTGTAAGGGGCGTTTGCCTGGGGATTAGAGGCCGGGGATCCAAGCAGGGATGTCGGCGCCAGCTACGCATGCATACCGCCATGTCTGCTGTGTTGTTCCAGGGGGCGCATCTGGACCCCCTGCCTGCCCCCTCCCAACATTCCCTTCCAACACCACTCTCCCAAGCCCCCTACCACTCCCCCACACCCCGCCCTCGCCCCGCCCTTGCCCCGCCCTCCACACCCCATGCAGGCGAGGGTGACTTCTTCTTCGACGAGGCCGAGGTGATGGCGGGGTTGGACCCCTCCACACGCGCCGCCGTGATCGCAGAGCGGCTGGAGGGCGGCATGGAGCTGGGCGAGGAGGGAGAGGAGGGAGAGGATGGGGCGCCGGAGGACTTGCAGGAGGTGAGTGAGATGGGAGGAGGTGGAGAAGAAGGTACAGGGCATAGTGGGGGTTTGGGGGTTGAACCCGTATGGTGGCAAGAGGGCTTGGCGTGTGTCTCGATTGCGTTGTGGTATGGGGAAGACTGTGGTGCTGTTTCCAGCTCCTTCCCCTCGCTGCTGCCCTCCTGCCTGCAGTTGGTTGGCGACGACCCGAGCCGGTTCGAGGACGAGGACGAGGAGGCTCAGGATGCGGCATAGCGCCGTGTCGCGTTTGCGATGTGGGGGTCGGCACGGGCGCAGGCCTGACGCAGACTTGCTGCTTTAGTGTCGCGATGGTGGTTCGTTGCGGTAGTTAGCAATTGGCGTAGGGTACGCAGCGTTAGGCCTGGGCTTTTAGGACGTAAGGACGGGAATTTTGTTCTGTTCTGTCACCATACGGTCCTGCGTATGACGGTCGCCGGTAAGCGGATGACACTTCCTGCATAACGGATGACGTTTCACAATTGTCGCAAAAGCCGAGCCCTACTACGACTCCCAATCAACTTAAATCTCCTCTTGATATTGAAGGCCTCTGCTATACTTTTGTTAAGCCAAGAGTCGCTCCTTCTTTGCCGGTGACCAAGCAACTGTCGAACTGCAAGGCTGTTTTCGGCATCAGAGGATTTCAGCATATGCGAATCCAGTTGCTTCATCATCGCATAGTGAACCCCTTTGGGTACCCTATTGGCCTGGCATCTCGCATTTCGCACCGCACAACAGCCACAATAGCCATGGCCGCCAAGGCACGCACAGCTCTAGATGAAACTTCGAAAGCAGGAGAATTCAAAAGGACAGAGGCGGGATTCCGCAGCAAGGTTGAGCCCGGCGGTCGGTTTGAGCCCGAAGGTCAGTTGTCCTTGCAACCGAGCGCTGCCCCATCCATACTCTTTAATTGTATCCCCCTCACTTGTACGCGAGGCATATTCGCACTTTGCAGCGATAGAAAGGAGGTTAGGCAGCGAGCGCTCGTGTGTAATCTACAGTGGCTTGCTTGCCCCACTGCAGTTCTCCTAATCCTCGGTCGCCACCCGTCCCTCCCTCCCCCTTGGCCGCCTCAGTTCCACTTACCAACTCCACCACATCCCCCCGTCCCCACCCCATGCCGTACTTTGTCGTACTGCAGCCGGTCGCTACCACCTCTACATCTCGCTGGCCTGCCCCTGGGCTTGCCGCTGCCTTGCCGTCCTGTACATGAAGGGCCTGGAAGACGCCATCGGCCTCTCCGTGACGCACCCCACTTGGCAGCGAACTCGCCCGGATGACCCGCGGGACGAGCACACCGGCTGGGTTTTCCGCAGCCCCGGGGACCCGCCGCTCGCTAGCAGCACGGGGCACGGCTCGTTTGGCTGCGAGGGTTGCGTGCCGGATACGGTGAATGGGGTGCGATGCGTACGGGATCTGTACGAGATGGCCCAGGATACGACAGGTGAGGTTGAGGTCCTGTGAAGGTTGTGTTTGGGGTGGCTGCTTGTTAAGTATGGGGAGAGTACCGATAAACGTTTGCCGCCATGGGCGAACTCGGGTCGGCGGCTTAGGGAAGTGCCGGTTGTGAGGCCCATTTTGCTCCGTAGCAGCTCCAAGCGGCAGCTTCCCGGCTTCTCCTGCTCACGCCACCCAGTGTCTCCTCCCGTTCACACCCCGCAGGCAAGTACTCGGTGCCCGTGCTTTGGGACAAGAAGGAGAAGACAATCGTTAATAACGAGGTGCGCGTTAAAGCAAGGGAGTCAGCTTGAAAAGGCTGACCGTGAGCCGTGTGCGTATGTGCTAGCAGGGCTGCTTTGGAGGGGGGAGGGAGTGAGCACTTAACGTTCAACGCCCTATCCTATGTCCCCTCTTTTCCGCACCTCCCCTCTTTTCCGCTCCCGCGCAGAGCTCTGAAATTATTCGCATCTTCAACTCCAGTTTCAACAATGTAGCCAAGAACCCAGGTAAGAGCCCTAAGAACCCGGGTGCATGCCTTACATGCGGTGTATGCGGTGTGTCGTACGGTACGATGATGGGGCCTCGGAGCAATGTTGTTAGCTATACGCCGCGCATACCGCCGGGCGTATGTGTTCCACTCGTTGGGAACACCAGCGCCATGCGTCTTTCCGCGTCTTTCGTCACAAGCTCTGGCAGGCATGCTACCGTAGCATATTCTTCTTAACCATTGGACAGTCCCCTTAAAAGAATCCAAATTCCTATTGCCGTACCCTTTTGCCGTACCCGTACCATACCGTATTACCGGCAGGGCTGGATCTGTATCCCGAGTCGCTCCGCGGCACCATCGACGAGCTGAACGCCTGGACCTACCCCACCATCAACAACGGAGTCTACCGCTGCGGTTTCGCAACCTCTCAAGCGGCGTACGACGCAGCTTTCGAGGTGAGGTGTGTGTTCTCAGGCTGAGGTGTGTGTTCTCAGGAGCGGCCGATGAGAGGAAGAAAAAGAAGAGAGGTGGTATTACGGTAATGCGGTGAAACGTTGCTGAGCACGTACCGGTACTAATGTTGTGAAGCGATGCAGGACTACTGCTGCAGCCATGCTGTGTAGGGGGGCCCTTAGATGCAAAAGGAACTCGTAAGGCAGCAACACCTTCCATGACCCCTCCTAATGACCCCTCCTATTAGGATTGACCCCACTCTTTCCTTCCTCCCCTGCCCCTCCCGCCTCCATCGGAACAGGAGCTCTTCTCCGCCCTAGACCGCTGCGAGGCGCTGCTGGCTGGTCGGCGCTACCTGGCGGGGCCGCAGGTCACGGAGGCGGATGTGCGGCTCTTCCAGACCCTGATCCGCTTCGACGAGGTATACGTGGTGTACTTCAAGACAAACAAGTGGGTGGAGGCGGGGGAGGGGGATTCCTTGGTTTAAACTGTGGTAACCCGTGGGCCATGCAGGAGCTCTATTGTACCGGTAATTACACACACGTTGTGGAAGCAGAGCTATTAGCACCTAAGTAAGGGCTTCCTGTCCCTGTCGTCGCCCCCTACACAACAATGGTCATGATGGCCCCTGCAAATGCTTTTCTCCCGATGTCCTGCTACTCCACCTCCACCTCCACAACTACTTGTGGTTCTCTCACCTCCCTTCTCTCCGTTACCAAACCTTCCCCGTTCCTCCCCTCCCCCAGGCGCTTCATCCGGGAGTATCCCAACCTCTCCGGATACATCCGCGACCTCTTCCAATCCCCCCCGCTGGGCCGCGCAACCGACATGTCGCACATCAAGACGCACTACTTCACCTCGCACCCGCGACTCAACCCGCATGCCATCATTCCGGGGGGCGGGGAGGCCTGGTGGCTGCAGCCGCATGACCGGGACGCGCGCTTCCCGCCGCCGGCAGGGGCTGCGGCTGGGGGAGCTGCTGGGGGGCAGGGAGGCGACGGAGCTGGGAAGTTGTGAGTGGTGAAAGGGAGGAGAGGGGCTGTTCGATGATGGCGAGTGAGGCTGTGTTCGGTGGAAGAGATGGGAGGGAGGGTGGAGAGGTAGGACATAGGAATAGTGGAGAAGGGTGGTGTGGAAATGGGTACAAACCCGTTGCCAAACCCGTTGATGTGGACATGGGAAAGCTACAGGCTGGGGTGCCCTAGTCTGGTCTTTGCAAAAAACCAGAAATTGCGAAGCGGAGACGAGTTGTGAGCCCAGTTGGAGTTAGACGCGGGGGTTGGAACGCATTGCACAGTTCAAACAGTGGAACTGTTCAGCAGAACAGGCATGACGGGTCAGGAAGCCCCTCAGGAGGCACGGTGGAGGGAGCTTTATCAGGAGGGTGTCTTTTGTCGACTGTTTGACGTCATCGTGCAGAGTCCTCAAATCATTGTATAAAGTATAATGGAACTGCTGACGTTACCGTTGCAGGTTGTTGCTGCTGTGTTGTTTGTTTGCGGGTTTCATCGGACTGTGCCATGACATGCCAAGCATGTACTAGATAACTGGCACTGTAGAGGCCCCACGCGTGCATGCAAGCTAGGCTGTTGGCATCAGTTGTTGCATGCACATGAGGAGACACAGCATGGACGGAGCGTTGACAATCTTGTACTGCATACACCACTACAAATGCGCTCGACATGCGGCGGTAACCCACCTTCCACGCATCTTGCATGAGCTTTAACGCAAAAGCTGCAGGCCATACAAGCAAATTTGGAGTGGCCAGGGTCCTAACAATAATGACCCTCGCTTACAACACAGCGTGGAGGGGGATGTTATGCACCCCGACCGCACGCCACCACGCCTCTCCTCCCATTTGAATCCCAATCACCAGCACGCGTTGCTTCCTTACATCCTTAGGTAGTCCTCCCCCTTACACGACTGCTGTCCAAATTTCGCAGAGCCATAAGCGCAATGTTTAAACCTAAGTACAATGCACCTCGAACAATGTTGCACAAAAAGGAGTAACGCCGACGCATCAGCTGGTGGTGTTCACTCACATGTAGCACATGGAACCATGCGGTGTAACACGCAACACCGAGTCCAAGACAGCAACCTCCCACACCATACAATGCAACAACGAACGTACTCGTGATGCAAGTACAGCCGTCATGACCCATGGGTCGATGCGCACCCACTCTGTTACCGACGCCATGGAGCCAACATCATTCCCCGCCCATACTGCCAACATGAAAAAGAATGCATGCGTTGTATGTCATCAGGTCCAGGACCTGCTCTGGCCCGCGCTAACTCCGTACCTCCGCCCGCCCACGATGCCTAACTACGGCAACCCACAATTCCAGGTGCAAAGCAGCAGACGTAAGCTCTCTAACCGGCATGTGGAGTGCAACATGCAAACTCTCAACATGTTGTGTGGCAAGGCCATTCTGGCTAAAAACAGGATTAACCGTTCAAACAGGGACATAGGTAAGGAACAAGTAAAGAGACTTTGTCGAAACACATGGTAAAGTTTAGAGAGCCATTCTTAACAGAAGAGTCAACATCAAGCAATGCCAAACACAAAGCACTTCAGCAGTTGTATACCATCAGAATCGTGCAACCTTGTCTGTACGCTACCTAGGATCGTTGGATGTACGGCAAAAGCCTGCAGTCCTCCGCGGCAAACGGCGGTGAAGGCAAACCGCTAACGTCCATTACCCAGTGCAATCCTGCTAATCAGGCCGCTCAGGATACCAAAGGATGACGGTGCTGTTCCAAAAAGCCGCTGTCCTTTATAGTAATGACACCACTGAGTACCCTCTCACGCTCAATTTGTCGCTGCATTCTAACAAGCCTCCCCGCAAGTTCTCTGCGCGCACCCACTGTCATTTACGAGCATGCATTCATACGCTACACTACAGCCTTGCCCGGGTCTGCGATGGCCGTTAAAGTTCCATCCAGCTCCATCCTAAGTGCCTACTGTCCACGCCACCCACGGTATCACGGTATCGGTTTCAAGCCCCCTTCCAATCTCCAAACACAAAACCACTTGCAATCCACGTGTTATCACATCTCTGCCGCCACCGCCAGCATCACTTGAGCCGCCAGTTCCGGGCTATGCAACGCCAGCTTGCTAACCTGTTCCGGAGCCGCCTGCACGACCTCCTTGTAGTGCCGTGCAATGTACGACTTGAGCTTTAACACGAGATCCGACAGGTTGTGGTGCTCGGCCCACATCAGATCCGACATCACACCCGCGGGGTTGCAGCACACCTCCAGTAGCCGGCCATGTAGCTGGCTGCACACGTCAAACATTAGCAGGCGTCCCGCTAGCTCCGCTGTGGGGCGAAGCAACTCATCTGAAATGTCTTCCAACGTGGCCCAGCCGTACATGTAACCCAGCAGGTGCGCGAACGCGTCGGGATCCGCATCTTTTAGGCAGACCTCAGGGGCAGAGCTGTCACCAAAGTTGCCCTCTAGCTGCCAGCGGAAGTACTCGCATCGGTCGGATAGCAGCGCGCGGTAAGCCAGAAAGGCCTTATCGCCGACGTGGACTGTGACCATGCACTTGACTGCTGCGTTGCTGCTGCTAGTGCTGCTGGCGCCCAGGGCATTGCTAATGCTGTTGGTGATGCTGCTGGTGGCGCTGAGGCCGCCAGCGCTGCCGCAGCTACTGCCCCGGCTGTCGCCACCGCTGCCACCGTTTCCGCCAACCGTCTCATTACCACCGCCTCCTCCACTCCTACGGTTACTCGTATCAGCCAACGATACCACCAAGTACTTTAAGTTGTCACGGATCGGTAAAGCATGGGGCACGGCGGGCGGCTGCGGCGAGGATGTTGTCGCGCAAGATCTGGCACACGTCTTGCAGCACTTGGCAGCCCAGCCTACGAGCACCTCACTGTTTGGCTTGAAGCCCTCGCCGATGAGCATCAGCACCGGGCCGCATACTGCCAGGCACCCGGAAGGAAGGATGGCCATGTGCGGGGAGTGTGGTGGGAAGCAGTCCGGAAGCGTGGTGACATTGCAATCGGAGTCCATCTGGCGCAGCGTGCCCCAGTCTATGATGTGGAGGCAGCCATCGGCGCCGGCTAGGATGCCAAGGAGATTGTTGAACCGAGCTACGGTGCCGGTGCCGTCTACGATCCTGCCTTGCTGCTCCCAGTCTCCCGCGACGAGATGGATGGAGGTGCCGCCATCGGGCCCGGAAAGCGGAATGCGGCAGACTGCGGAGTAGGTTGCGGCTAAGAGGGAATTCGTGGTAGGGTCGTAGGCGATGCCAGTGAACGGCCAGGAGTTTGAGGGGATGGTGGCAGGAAGGGTGGTGACGGTTGCCTCCGGAAGCGGCAAGGCCACGGCAGTTGATCCGCCCGTAGAGCTGTTAGGCGGCAGGACGATTTTCCGAATATTCTTGTAGGCTGAAACGTAGAGATGGCCTCGACCATCAACAGCTAGGGCTGTGATCTGAGAGAAGCGCGCCTCGTGACCAAGACCGTCCAGGTTGCCATCTTGAGTGCCTCCGGCTACCAAGCTGATAACGTTGTTGTTATCGAGACGCATAATACGCATTTCCTCCTCTACAAAGTAGATACTATCCGTAAAGGGCTCATATACTGAACAGGAAGGCCTGCGCATGGCGTAGCTCGAGCTTGCAGCGGCGGCATCCGTGAGCGGAAGCGTGGCGCCAAGGCAAAACGGTTCGGAATTATCCCCTCCATCAAGCTGTCGTACTTCTTCCCCTACAAAAACTAGGCTTTGTAGACGGCCGCTGTTTTGCGGCCGGGTAACCACGCCTGTGGCTGGCTTCGGCAAAAGGACAGGACAACGTTGCATACTTCTCAGCACGAAAGTGATCAGTTATGTAGCTTTCAATAGTATGGGCACTAGAAAATGGCCTCCACCCATGTTTTCATCGCGCGCGGTTCCGTACGACAACCGTCATCCTGATTGGTTGGCCCGTTTCATCCAATAACGCGGCTACATGCAACATCGCCATGGAGCCACACTTTTGTACCTTTTTAGGTAACGTGCTGTGTCTGTCTGGAGTAGTAGGGTGTCCTAGCTTACGGCCCCACTACACATGGTTGGGTACAGGACAGGTTCTGACATGAGACGAAAGCACAGAAACAATAACTTCGTTACACCGTCTGCCCCAATAGATGGTAAAAAAAACCTGCCGAGCGGGGGGGGCCAACCAGCTGTCGACGGATCAACCAGCTGTCAAGTCGTCGACCGTATCGGCCTAGCATAGCGTAGTTATAGCATAGCCGACAGCATAGTAGGCGGTTGAGTTGCTACGACGGCCACGGTTATCGAACGTGCGTAGCCCATGGCTGCTGTAGGTGGTCCTTATGGGAACCCCGATAACATGCGACGCCATTCGAACCTCAGCCCTAGTTCGGGTTTCCGCGAAACTTCAACTTATGGGCTTCTCGACACCGCTGATGGTGTTGGATAAGTAATCCACCGTCCGTACTGCACCGGCCCGCTGCCTGTCGTGCAGTCGAACATTATTTAAGCAGGGGACCTGCATATAGAACACGAGCACAGGGAACGCTTACGAGATAGTCTGGCCCAAGGCATACACCACCTACCGATAGGCTACCGGTATCACTTTGGTTCCGGTTCCCGAACCCTCGCTACCACGACTTACCCATGCGCCTGTCTCTGGCCTCACTCGTTAACCCCACAATCACACGCAAGTCACTACCGTCACCTAATCGTTTCAACTATATCGTACTTGCCCCGAGCCAGACACCTCACCATTAGCGCCGCGCAAGCCTAGTTGACCGCCCATCCCATCCACGCCTATCGCTCCACCCGCGTTCTGAAGCCGTGGGGCGCTAGTGCGGCGCTGCAGGGCGCCTGGCCGCATGCCGCCGCCGCTGCTCAGCCGACCTGTGAGGTCATTGAGCGAAATCCGTTGGCGGTCCGTGACCCCGTCTTCACCGCCTCGTCGGGGCCCTAGTGCGGATGACACGTCCAGCTGGGGTTGAGCCATGACAGCGCGGGAGAGGCAGAGGAGGGCGAGACAGGCTGCTGCTGTAAGGGCCAGGCTAAGGGTGACCCGGCGGGTCGGTGCGTGGCTGCTCATGGTAGTTGAAGGCGGACGGTTTGGGATTAGTTTGGAGGGAGAGAGTCACGATATTGGGATTGGTATAGTTCGCACAAGTATGAACGCTGCCGGCTATGACGAAACCGATGGGAACTGGGAGCTACGGTAATATGAAGTCATTGCTGCTGCTATGGCGGTGTCGTTGTCAACTGTCAGCACCTGCTCCTGTTTGAAACGTAGCTGTCAGAACCTGCTTGCAACATGCATCAATCTGACGTACTCCCAGCAACATGCCCTCCATATGACTGTCCTGCATTCACAGCGATGCAGATTGTCTTGGGTGTTTTGCTGCATGTGGGCCCAACTTTCAACACGTCCTGTCCCATCGTTGTAACTCTTTTGACAGGTCCGCAAGATGTCCGTGTCTCAGCTCGCGCAAGGTAAAACAGTTCCATGTTACAATTGCTGCCTTATCCGATACCCAGAAACGAGCATGGTGTGTCTCCCAGACTATACCAGCAACAACCGAGCGATTGAGGCCTTCTGACCTTTCCGCTTGATGCCTCCCAGTTCTCCCTGCTATCAACACACCATGCTCCATTGCCGGCATAGCCCGACTTTGCACCGAGATTTATAGTCCACGTATTTCGCAAAGGCATGCACAGTGACAGCTATGGAAAGATCACGGATCACCCGTGGCTACGCAAGAAACACTTACCAAGGCATCCGTCCTAGATGGGTGAAGAACGGCCATGCGTGATGAGCCGTGGGCCAAGGCACAACATGCTGTTCCCACGTAACTCGTCTAACTGGTGCTAACCGCAATCATGGACCCGGCAGATAACTTAACTGTTTACCAGGGACACTCAGCCTCCATATGCGAACATAATAAGGATCTGTTACTCCTCCCAGGTTAAGCACGCATTTGCACATGTGCCCGCAAGCACCAAAGGCAGCCCTTCTGCACAGCAGGCATTGTATTCATAAACGACCCACAAAAGGTGTCACATGTTGTAGTCTGTAGTTCGAGAGAGTCACGTACAGTCACCAGGTCAGCAACCTAACGCGCCCAACCTTCAGCTTTCATACCCTAAACCCGAAGCGCACCCATGCAAACCCTCAAGCCCCTCCCAGCCATATCCACGAAGGCTGCCTCCCAAACCGAGGCTTCTAAGCGGCTGCCAACCCCACATCAGCTTTTGGACACTGTCCACCACCGATGCAGCGTCACAGTTTTCTAATTTTGCGCTGAAGATGGCCGCTATCTATGTACTTAAAGAAGGACATACTAAGTTCAGAGCTTCATAAGCAAGTCCCAGCTGCTACTGCAGACGGCCACCCATAGCCCTTTGCACTCCAGTGCTGCCAACCAGCATGCACCACGGAGGGTCTGCCAAACACACGCTCCTGCCTAACAAAATCCTTCGTTACCCCTACGCAAACTGTCACCATCCCAGCCACTTGTCTTTGTCCAGGTTTTCGTCTTCAGTATGTAAGGCCAAACGCACTCATGCCAACATACAAGCAGAGCGACCAACACCAAAGCCAGACGCTTACCGGGATGCCCTTCCAACACATGCGTGCGTCTAGGAGGCACGGGTACCACAGCCCTCGCCCCAGACTAAAGACGGACAGCAAGGGCTAGTCACAAAGAGCACTATATAACCGACAAACCGACACGCCACGCTTGGGTCCAACACAAGATATTCCAGTCAAGAGCACCGTTTCGGTGTCGTTGAGGCAACGGTACGCGCACAAATGGACAGCCGAACGAATCATGTGGGCAGGCGTTCTGTCGTCTTACCGCAGCAAGCGAAGGTGTGCAAGCTCGCGTCAATCTTACCAAGACACCAGACAAAAGACACGAAGAAGGAAGGAAAAGCCGGCTATTGCGGCTCTCGGCGACGGCAGCGGGCGTAAGAGAACACGGCCCCACTTCATACCTACCCCGGGCAAACAACCTGGCCCACATCCTCACCACAACCGCTATACCGCGCGCCAAGTCATGTTGGTCATGCAACGTTGCCAACTGACGGGGGCTCACGCCGGGTCTTAATAGTTACCACGGTTACGCTGCTGCTGCATACCCAGTTGCGGCCATATCTGGTTCGGATTGTACGCCGGCTCAAATTTACCGGGCCCCGCTGCGCCTCCCAGCATGCCCCTCGAGTACGGCCGCTCAGGCTGCGAGTCCCCAGCAATGCTGCCGCCACCGGCCCCACGTTGCGCCATAGCACCCTTGCCGTACGCCGCATAGCCAGCACCGCCACCATTCTGCACATCCTCTGCACTTGTCCGGAGCATCAAGCTGTTGATTGACGACACGTCATCGTCCCAATGCCCGCTTATGCGCGGCCCTCCGCCCGGCGGTATCGGAGGAATGTTGCCACGGCTTGGTTGCCCGCTAGCAGGCGCATTCGGCCACGGATCACCGCGACTGGGTGCTCGACTCAACTTCGATGCGCCTGCCGCCGCGTTCGTCTGGTACAGCACCGGCTGGCCGGAAGCAATCGAAGTGCGTCCGCCGGCGGCGCCTCCGGGCCCGTAGGCACCGCCGCCTTCGAGATGTGGTGGGCTGTTGATGTGGCGCGGTGGCTGCCCCTGCTTGGGCCCACCGCCAGGAGGTGTGCTGCGAGAGGAAGCGCTGAAGCGCTCCACGGACTGAGGTCCGTAGGGCCCCATGCCCAAGTGGCTCTGCCGCGGCTGCGGATGGCCACCTGGAGAGGCGTACCCTGGACCGCCCTTGCCTCCTTGCTGCGGGGTGCCAACTCGGGAGCCGGCGCTGTCAAGCCGGTTGGCGTACATCTCCGGCCCGCCTGCTCCCATGGCGCCCATGGCAGCGGTGGCGGCTGCATGCATTTCGCTGATGTCCCTTCGGCCGCTGCCGCGGAGGGATGTGTTAGCGCGCCCGTCCTGCCCGCCGCCGCCACTGCCTCCCTTTGCGGCGGCTGCAGCAGCGGCCTTGCGTCTCGCAACTGCAATTGTGCTGGCAGTGCTTTCGCTGTCTGACATATCGTGGTCCATAGGCTCGGGCCTGCTGAGAAGGGACACCGTAAAAGGAGGCGCAAAGTAGGACAGGGGCTACTGGTCACGGTTGGCACGCTTCAGCACAGATATTTTGGAAAGATAGACAGCCCATGCCAAGGCCTCTACAGGCCTCGTAGCCGGTAAGAGCAGGGTACCATCTTATCACAGTCACAGGGCCCCACGCACCGCAATCCCCCCCTCCACCCCCCACGTACCTGGTAGCCGGCGGCGACGGCACGTCCTCGTCCATGGGGTCTGCGCCCATGACGCTGCCCGTCTGCAGCGACACCTTGCGCCCCACCTGCCGGTGGGCGGACTCCGATTGGCTGCCGGACATGATGCGGCCCCCCGCGCTGCTGCCGCCGCCCACGTGCTTCTCCTCAAGCGTCGCGAGGTAGGGGTGCGCCAGGGCCTGACTGCATGAGAGCCGCTGCGAGGGGTCCATCGCCAGCAAGCCCCTGCGGCGAGCATAAGCAGTGGACGGAGGTGCGGTTAGGGGCAAGGCTGTAGCAGGATGTGTGCAGTAGGCAGTAGGCCGGCCCGGCGGGCATTGTTCACATGGTAACGGAGCCTAGCATCCCGCACCATTTACGTGTGCTCCCCATTACACCCGCGCCGCTTACTTCATAAAGGACAAAGCGTCGTGCGGCAGTTTGCTCGCGTACTTCCGCTCCAGCGTCTCCGGGTTGCGCATGTCGGGAAACTTGAGGCCGTTGAAGCGTGGGTTGCGTAGGAAGAGGTCGTTCTGCTCTCGGGTCAAGGGGCCTGCAAGGTACAGAGGGTACACAGAGGAGCCTCACGCAGAAGGGGCTTAAACCTGCTTTGGTCCTTATTCACGCCCCACCACCTATGGCCTCCATCTTACCGACCGACACCTCGGCCCGGCTTTACTTGTCATCCCAACGTACACCGGACCAACGTACGGTATCCAACGGGCTCCGCTTGCCACGCACCACAAGCAAGTGGTGGTTCCGCATCCCGTCCCCTTCACTCCCCCTACATGCTACTCACCGAGCAGCCGCTGCAGGATGTAGAGCTGGTCAATGTCGCTTTCCCCGGGGAAGAGCGGCTGCCCGTCAAGCAGCTCAGCCATGATACACCTGTGGAGGAAGGAAAGCCGCAGCACCAGCACCAGCAACGGTCACGCACATGGTTCCGTCCCGGGTCTTACAAGCCGGGTTGGTCCATACCGCAGGCACTGCTCCAAGTACGACAGTACCGAAGCCAGCGCCATCCGCACAAACAGCCCTCCTCCCTCTCTAAGCTGGCTTCGCGCCTAGCAGCTCACTACCCGGCACCGGCCCCGTTGCCTCACCCTATGGCCCAGAGGTCCACCTCCTTGCCGTAGTGCGTGGACCCCAGCAGCAGCTCCGGGGCGCGATACCAGCGCGTGGAAACGTAGTCCGTGATGGACACGTCGGGAGGGGGCAGCTGGCGGGCAAAGCCAAAGTCGCACAGCTTGAGCTTCCCCACGCCCCCCGTGGAGCCTGTGAGGGGGGAGAGCAACAATGCGGGGGAATGAATGCAATTGTATGGAGCTGTTGGAGGTGGTGTCGTCACCAGAGGTTCGCCTTGCTCGGCATTCTCCGAATGTTGCTTTTGCGGGTAGTACACATTCGGTTGCAAAGCGATATAAGCATGCCCTCAGGCAGGTTGCCCGCACTGGAAAGCTCCCCCATCAGTGAGCGTACTTACTGGGACTGATGAGCAAGTTCTCCGGCTTAATGTCCCGATGTACGATGTTGTGTTGGTGGCACCAGCCAACCGCTTTCACCAGCTGGTAAACGTAGTTCCGTACCTGTGGCCCAACGGCAGCAAGGCAGGATGTGTGTAAGCTAACAGCCTCTATGATCACCCGTGGGATCGGGGCACAGCGGAGGACGTACCTGCTCCTGCTCCAGGCCCCCTGGGTGCTCCTCCAGGATTTCGAGCAAGTTCCGCTCCACGTATTCAAACACCAAATACTGCATTTCAATGCCAGAAGAGCAATGTAAGGGTCACTGCTTCCCAGGGAAGGCAAGGGGCCAAGAGGGAAGAGGACTAACCAGCTTTTGCTTGCGGCGAAAGGCCTCCTTCAAATTTACTATGTTTTCCTGCCGCAGCGCGCGCAGCATTTTGACCTCCCGCAAGGTTGTCTTGCGCACGATTTCATCCTCTGCAAAGCAAAGGTTGGGACGGCATGTTGCTTTACCTCACAGAGCGCAAAGGCGCGAAGTATAAGTATCCGCGGCCTTACCGTCGCTCTCCTTGAACTTTTTCACCGCCACAATCTCAGATGTCTCCTTATTTCTGCACTTGAGAACTACACCGTATGCCCCCTCCCCGACGATAGAGATGATTTCGTACCTACGTAGGGAGAAGCGGTGAGGCATCGAGCGTCCCAGCAAACCCAAACATAGAAGTGGGCCCGGCGCAAATAACCCAGCCCTAACATTACGTACTTGTTCTTTTGTTGGAGGGCGGAGCCAGGCGAAGAAAGAAGATACGGAGTAAACAACAAGAAACCACAAGGGTCAGTTCCAGAGCCCATGCCGAGCAAGCCAGTTAACTTCATATTACAGCATACCATCTCATGTACGCCCCTCCGCCAGCCTTCCAAGCCGTTCTGGGCTTGGCCCCAGAGCTCCGCGTTGCCCCGGGCCGCTGCTTCTAAACTCCAATTCCAAGCTCAGAGCTCCTAGACTGCTACGTAATGCCTTGCTTAGAACGGGGCTGAACCGGCGGGGACGTCGTAAGGCTCTAAGTCCCTCGATAATGCTGGGCCTCGAAGTGATGGGACATTCCCAAGAAGCGTCCTGCTAATTTCCTAAATGATTTAACTCTAAATAGATAAAGTTATAGCAGCATGGTGTTGCTTAGCCAGCCAAGTAAGCATAGCACCCGTTGCGGTGTAAGCTCCTGAAAGTTTCGCAAGCCTTTGAACTATGGTCGTGAGCCTTGGTCCTTACAACTCATGAGCAGGGTTGTCAAAGGATACTGGGACGCAAAGTCCATGGGTCGCCGTACCAGTATACAAGCTGTCGTATGCCCTACACATACAAGCGTTAAGCCGGCAAGGATAGATGGGATACCCTTCTATAAGCATAACGTGCTGCCCTACCTCGGAGAAGCTTGTGTCGTTGTGTATAGTAACCAACTGTTAGCTAGATTGCGACTGACAAGCAAGACCGGCATCTGTTTTAGGTGACGAGCCAGTCCGATGTGAAATGGTTTGCATTCCGCGAAACTTTTGTGCCGGGTCATAGGACTTTAAACAGCGACCCAAATGGCAATGGCATCTCTGTGGCCCAACGTAACCCTCAGGGTAAAGCCACCATGTCATACATTTAGGTGGTATTGGCAAGAAATACTTCCAATAATAATACAAGACCGTAGTACTCTGGCACCTGCAATAGTGGCAAGCTCGAGGCCTGGATGGCAGGATGTGGGTGCCATTACCAAGTTTGGAGTCCTTTTCGTGGACCTCATACGAGGTACCTCTTCAACTCACCTATGACCTTAGCATTGGTGTACATGCTTTGTGACACACGAGCCACATGCCGTTGTAAGCTAGTGACGCCAGTCCACTATGACGGATGGCGTAAGCTCAGCCTTTACACGTCCACGGTGCAGTTCAGCTAGTTTAGTGGTTTCGACCCCAAACGGACAAAATGGTCAGCCGTCAGAGCGACACGGGTTTGCATGCACTTTCGACTTGCTTCCGCTCATAGGTTAGAAGGAAGTGGCCTCAATAGGCATCTAGAGCCATAACACCCGTCTCCACCTTTATGAACCTATGGGGCGTTGGGCTTTGTTTTGGCGATGTCGTTGCTTTTAATATGTGCGGGGCATGCCTGTTGCTTATCGGGTACGTGCTCACAATCCAAAACCGGGCACGAGCTGTTCGCACCCATTGCAAGCGTTGACTAGCTGGTTAGCGCAAGGGCACGTGCTGAAAGGTAATGGGGCTTCAACCCATCGTAATGAATGGCTCATTTGTTTGAGTGGTCCGACTTCACTGCCCTCGGCAGTAGGGGTATGCGGGGGTAGCTATTCCTCCATCCAGGACACCATTGTCTACAGTTGGAACCATGTAAAGTTGTAAACGGTCAGTGTGAGTTGCCGGTGGCCGTTTACGTTAATATGTGAGGTCATTGGATGTTGTGAGGGGGCATACAGACGCTAACGACTGGCCGAGATCCGCTGGACAGCTGAGCTGCTCTGATAGGCTATGGCTGGTATGCGGCTGCACTTCCCAACCGGACCGACCCGGGTCAGTGACCCATGGGTCCAAGCCCAGTACACCCACCAATCCCACCCCGAGCGACCTGGTGCTCGTACATCGGCAGTAAGGAGCAACGGGTGCGTGGTGTCCGTCTCATTGACCACGTACGCGGCTCTCCTCGCATAACGTCGAGGGTACAAGTCCTGTCCGCGAGCCAGCTGGCTCATCAGCCGCCTACCGCAGTACGTACCAGCACGGCGGAGCACATGTCGTGGCCCGCGGCCCGTGCGCTGGCACCCGCTCTCGTCGTTGTTGTGTTCCCTGGCACAACGGATTCGGATATACAACCCCATCCTGCGGGGTTGGGTCCCTGCAAGACGATCGGTGTGGGGATTCTTAGTGCTGCCGCGGGCGGGAAAGGTGAAGGCTGCATCGATGGTGATTGCGGCGGCGCAGCAGGAGAGGGCTGCAGCATGGCGGCATTGGCATACTCGCTACGCAGGTTGCGGGGAACGGGCTAGCAGCTGCTGCCGTTGGCGCGGCAGGTGGGGGCACGGGTACGGCAGAGTCCGGAGGGAGCTGGGATGGCTGCTGCTGTCAGCTGGTGATTGGTTCTGGATCTGATGGCAGGGCGGATCCGAAGGCTGTTGTGCCGTTCAGGAGAGGGCATTGTACCTGTGGTGATCACCTCCTCAGTTGGGGTGTGGGTTGGTTTGTGCGCTTGGAGGAGTCGTGTTGCGTCGTGTGCAGTGGAACGGTTGCAGGGAGGAAGGTAACACTGTGCACCGCACTTCATGCAAGCTTGCCATGCAAGGGACCATGCTGGCATGCGTGAGAATCTGAGAATAGCTGTCCTTAGCTTTGGGAAGGCGCGAAATCGGACCGACACTGCTGGTTGACCGCTACTCCCTGTGGGCACATGCAAGATGGTGGTGTAGAGTCCGCTTTTCCAAGCCCATGCAAGGGGGGGGCCTTGGGTCGGGTCCCCAAACCGAACGGCAGCATGCAGCTGATTGTTGCTGCAGGTGCGAACCATGGTTCGCCCATTTTACGGTGATGTTAGCAGGCATACGTTATACTAATTACTAATACATACTAATCACGGGGCATGTGGGTCAGCGTTATCTGTTGCGGATTAGGGTTACCCAGACGCGAAGGTAGCCCTGTATTGAACCGGCGCATGCTTAAGGATCTCGCTCGGCAGGTTTCCGGAGCGGCCCGGCGCACGTGGCTCGATGCGAACACGCAGCTTCGCCACCCGCAAGTCTCAGCAGTGAATATCTATGTCAACTAATTGGCGATTGTGTTTTTAAGGCCACAGCCGCCCGTCACAGTCGCCACACCGCCCATTTGCCGCACCACGTATGCTCCCGCCACGGCCGCCTCTTCCTGTCCTGTCCTAAAGGGCTAAGAAGAACAAGCGGTTGTCCAGCTACGTACCAAGCAAGGAAACAGCGTCCCCACGCAACTATGGTCCGCCTGATTTATGGAAGTATTCCTTCATTTGCGGTTGAATAGGAGTACCTTGGCTTGGCGAACCTGCTGCGGCTGACGGTTAGAAGTTGCTCGCACCTTTTACGGAGGGCATACTTGGGCATGAATCTTAGCGTTGTCTGAAGTTAGGGATTGTAAAGAGCTAAGGTGGCCTTGAACAAAAGCGCATGCTCCAGGATTATACGTTGCTTGTAGGTTTCTGGAGCGGTTTTCATCGAAGTCCATGTAGCTCGGCGTTTCCCTTTACTACCTTCAACCTTTAGCAGTAAGTAGCTACGATGACATACTCTTAAATAAATTTCATAAAGGCCAGAACGTTGGCACACCCTATCTGTTGATGCACGGCCGCTTCCAGCGCAAGTAAATGCTTATTCCGTGCTAAAGGCGGACGTGGCTCTTGATTTTTGAATAATACATATTATCCCACGTACTAGGAAACTACAACCTGGGCTTGTCCTCAACTGCGCCTTTTTCCTTAACAACGAATTTAAATCTAGGATGCAGGAACAGCAGGATAGCTCCGAAGGGCCTGCAGCAGAGCCAAGTTTCCTCCTCCTACTCCCTGAACACCTCCTCTGCCGCATCCTGCCCGAGGCGGCCACCGGTGCAGCGGGCGCCTACGCCTCCTGCCGCGCGCTTCGAGATGCCTGGCAGGCCGCGATCAGACACCCAGACGGCGCCAGCACCTACCTGAGGGCTCGCTACAGCGCCCAAAATGCAATCTTCAATGTCTACACCTGCCCCGGCTTGCTAAGTTTCGTGCTGGCTGGCCTTCCCGCAGCCGAGCACGACAGCAGGGTGCTACAGATCATGAAGGCGCTGGAGGAGAACTGCAAGCGCGGCGTTGCAGGAAGCCGGCGCTCGGCCCGTCAAGCTGCTGCCACCATCCTTAGCATCCGCGAAGCCGCAGCCGCAGGTCATCTAGACACGTTGCGGTGGCTTCTGTGGCGGATCCCGCAGATCAACACCTCAGCCGTTAGGGACTGTTTCCGCGAGCGAGGCGGCACGCCGGGGCCATCTGCATGTGGTTCAGTGGGGGCTGCAGGAAATTGCGATGAGGGCAGGGGTGGCGGTGGCTGCAGAGAAGGCCGAGGAAAAGGGTCGTGGCGGCACCGCCCGCAACGGAGGCGCTCGTGGATTCATCGCTGCTTTGGTGAAGTCGGCAACCTCTGCAGCTCTGGTTGCTGCCGCCAAGTACAACCAAGCGGAGGTGGTGCGGGAGCTGGTGGAGGCGGGCGCTGACCCACAGGACGTTGAAAGCCAGGCTCTGAAGGAGGCATCGAAATGGTGAGTAGTGTTGCCGATTACGAGTGTCACGTGTTGTAGCAAAGCCTTCGATCCAACTGGGTCGCCTTTTACTTGCTGTTTTCCGTACACGATCTTGTGTGGGCTTCAGGGCGACATGCATGCTTTAGGGCGACATGCGGCACCAGTGGAACACGAGTATTACTGTTCGCATATGATTAGCTAGGCGAAACATGTATTCGACCCAGGACAGGGCGAAGACCCCAGCCAGTCCTGCATTTAGCCGCCCGCGCTAGGCCTCTACGGCCTTGCCGCGTTGCCGGCCTCAAGTGGTCTCATGCATCCGCTCTTACCTCCTCCTACCTCGCGTGGGCGGGACACATGCCAGTAGGCAGGCAGGTGCCTTTTTCCTCGCGCCTCTGAACCTCTCCCTCCCCTGCCACCCTTTGGGCCCCATGCATGTCCCCTACCGCTCATCCGTCCCCGTCCAGGGGCTCTGAGGAGGCGGTTGCGGCGCTGCTAGCTGCCGGTGCGGATGCCAGCAGGGCCCACCGGGACGAAGCCCTGGACCTAGCATCCGAGTACGGTCACGCGGGCGTCGTACGACAGCTTTTGGACGCGGGCGCTGACCCCACCACTGCCCTTCACTCCGCATACGAGCACGGCCACACGGAGGTGGTGGAGCTGCTGCTGGCTGCGGGGGCGGATGCGGATAAACAACTGGCTCTCGTGTCAGCCCGGGAGGGATACACGAACATAGTGGAGATGCTGCTGCAGAGGGGCCGCTACGACCTGAAAACCTGCGCCGACGTGATCATCTCTTCAGGTGGCGGCTTCGTGCTGCTGTTCCAACTGACCTGGATTTGCCTGGCGGGCTCCTGGCGGCACCGGCAGCAGCCAGCGGCAGCAGCACCGCGACCCATGGGTCACCGCATCCTGGCCTTCCTCACCTGGTGCGTCCATGCGGCCGTGATGCTCTTCTGTGCGGCTGTGGTCATGCTTGTGTGGGGGCTGGTGCTGTTCATCCCTGTCGTCCTTCTGGTTTATGTATACCGTGTGAGCATCTTGCCCCGGGTAATGGTTGCG